CATACATACATACATACATACATACATACATACATACATACATACATACATACATACATACATACATACATACATACATACATACATACATACATACATACATACATACATACATACATACATACATACATACATACATACATACATACATACATACATACATACATACATACATACATACATACATACATACATACATACATACATACATACATACATACATACATACATACATACATACACATACATACATACATACATACATACATACATACATACATACACATACATACATACATACATACATACATACATACATACATACATACATACATACATACATACATACATACATACATACATACATACATACATACATACATACATACATACATACATACATACATACATACATACATACATACATACATACATACATACATACATACATACATACATACATACATACATACATACATACATACATACATACATACATACATACATACATACATACATACATACATACATACATACATACATACATACATACATACATACATACATACATACATACATACATACATACATACATACATACATACATACATACATACATACATACATACATACATACATACATACATACATACATACATACATACATACATACATACATACATACATACATACATACATACATACATACATACATACATACATACATACATACATACATACATACATACATACATACATACATACATACATACATACATACATACATACATACATACATACATACATACATACATACATACATACATACATACATACATACATACATACATACATACATACATACATACATACATACATACATACATACATACATACATACATACATACATACATACATACATACATACATACATACATACATACATACATACATACATACATACATACATACATACATACATACATACATACATACATACATACATACATACATACATACATACATACATACATACATACATACATACATACATACATACATACATACATACATACATACATACATACATACATACATACATACATACATACATACATACATACATACATACATACATACATACATACATACATACATACATACATACATACATACATACATACATACATACATACATACATACATACATACATACATACATACATACATACATACATACATACATACATACATACATACATACATACATACATACATACATACATACATACATACATACATACATACATACATACATACATACATACATACATACATACATACATACATACATACATACATACATACATACATACATATATATATATATATTTGAATGTCGTTTTGAATTAAATGTTCCTCCAATATTTTTATAAATAATAATTGATACATTATTATGTAGCCATTGACATTTACCTCAACTCGACAATCGGATGAGCAACATATAACTATTACTATTCGTCCCGTTCGTGATATGCGTGTGGGAGATAGTCATTACATCCAGTTCTTTAATATTATTATGAGAAAATGTTACGAATTTTTGAGATTACAATTGGTTGGTCGCAATTATTTTGATCCTGGAAATAAAGTGAGTATAACGCAGGATATAATTAAGATTTTATTTAATGTTCGGAGAAATAATCGAGGCTCGCAATATAATTACAGGTTGAAATTCGGGATTATCGTTTGGAATTATGGCCAGGATATGTAACGTCTATTCGTCAACATGAACGTGATATATTAATGTGCGCTGAGATAACAAGTAAAGTTATGCGATTAGATACTTTGGGGGATACTCTGTCGACCTGCTATAATCAAAATCGTGCACAATACAAAGTAAGTTAGATTTTTAAACTTCTTAAATTTTTAAATGAATTTTTACACAAAAATAGATTTTATTATTTTGTCCATTTTTAAGGGATATTTACAGAAAAATTATATATTTAAGTATTTATCAAAATTCTTTTTTTTAATTGTTGCTATCTAACTTTTAATTTTATTACAATTGTATGTACTAAACGTGTTTTTATATTTTTCAATTTTATTGCAAAAATGTTATGTATATGTATAGGAAAATTTCGCCAGTACTGTGATTGGCACAGTAGTTCTTACCGATTATAACAACAATACCTATCGTATTGAAGATGTGGACTTTAATACGACTCCTTCTAGTACATTCTTCTTGAAAAATGGCGACAAAATAACATATATGGAGTATTATAAACGAAAAGGAATAACTATAAGAAATGTAAATCAACCGATGCTTGTAACTAAATCTAAAACAAGAAGCCGACAAGCCGAAGAAGCGGAAAAGATTTATTTGGTTCCCGAGTTATGTCGGGCAACAGGTGCGTCATTACAATTATTTGATCAGTTTTTTCGAAATTTATATTTTTTGTTATTGTATTTATGGATTTAATGAGATGCTGCTGTCTTGTTATAAATAAATAAATTAAAGCAATTTATAATCTTTTGTTTATCTATTTAATTTTTAGCAAATTCTTTTTTATAATTTACAGGTTTAACTGATTCGATGAGAGAAAATTTTAAACTTATGTCAGCCGTGGCTAAATATACCCGTCTCGGTGCAAAAGAACGTGTCGACAGATTGAAAACCTTCAATCAAAGACTTAACAATCAGGATAATATTGTGAGAGAATTTTCTGAATGGAACTTGCAGTTAGATAATAAGTTACTTGACGTACCAGCGCGTATTCTACCTAAAGAGATGTTATATGTTGGCGGAGACTCAGCTATCACTTATGAGGAGGAGGACGGCGACTGGGGGAGACCAATGCAAAAGAAATCTTGTTTAGTTAATAAGGATCTGCGCAATTGGGTTCTTTTAATTACGGAAAGAGATAGGCCTTCTCTTTCGGTATGATCAAATTTTCACTTACATTATATTATTACATTCGTATTATTTGTTATTTACCTTATTATGTATTTGTACGTCCTTTTTCTGTCTCACGTTTTATGCATATATTAACAATTTTCTGAAAAATAACTAATTTCTATTCTAGATATGAAAAATATCTACAAAATAATTGTTTTTATATTAATTCTTTCTCTCTCTTACTGTTATAGTACTATTAGAGTTTTAATTTTTTGCATTTTTTAACACTATTTTTTTTAAATAAAAACAAGTAAATATCAGCATGATAGAATTAAAACGTGTTACATTAAATATATATAACGAAAATCAAATCCTTATTTTAATTGATAATATTTTATTTCAGGCATTTTTAGATAAGCTAAGCAAAGTATCCCTAGGATTAAGATTCCGACTGGAGCCTCCACAAGTACACACTCTTCGCGACGACAGACCAGGAACATATAGCGAAATGCTAGAACGAATTCTAAGCAAACAAACACCGGATTTGGTATTTTGTGTGGTATCGAATAATCGTAGTGATCGTTACTCGGCTATTAAGAAGAAGTGCTGCGTAGATCGACCTGTACCATCGCAGGTTTGCGTGTTTAAAACAATGACGCATAGGAACGTTATGTCTATCGCTACGAAAATAGCGATACAGATGAACTGTAAGTTAGGCGGAGCACCATGGTCCGTGGACATTCCGATGGACGGATTGATGATCGTTGGATTCGACGTATGCCACGATACAACTACGAAAACCAAAGATTTCGGTGAGTAAGGATTGTTGACCTTTAAAATGTTTCGTGAAATCATAATATAGCATACTTGGTTTTCATAAATTAAATCTTGATTGTTATGATTTTTTAACTTAATCCTCGAATTAACTCTCAAATTGTGCGTTCTGTTACGTTTTAATATTTTTCTACGTATAATTTCTCTCCTCCCCCCTCTCTCTCTCTCTCTGAAATATGGAAAAAATGTGTCGAAGGAAATGAATTTTTTCTAATCGTGATACGTGTAATATATTAGTTGCTTTCCATTTATATCAAAACTCAGATAAATCTCACTTGTGTTTTTCTTTAACATGGATGTTGAAAAAAGACAGAAGTGAGATTTATCTGAGTTTTGATGTAAATAGAAAGCGCGCAACTATTATGTGCATTGGAATTCTTACTAATCTCTTTAAACATTGCAGGTGCTATGGTAGCGACCTTAGACAGACGTATGACAAAATACTTCAGCACAGTGAGTGCGCATTCAAATGGCGACGAATTGTCAAATGAGCTTTGCAACAACATTAGAAAGGCTACGGAAACATATAGGCGCGTGAACAATGTGTTTCCGTCGCGCATCGTCATCTATCGCGACGGCGTTGGTGAGGGCCAAATACCGCAGGTGAAGGAACGCGAAGTCGAGGAGATCAAAAAGGTTCTCAACAATCTGTACAACTGTACATCTGATAGACCTACATACAAATTAGCATTTATAATCGTAACGAAGCGGTTGAACACGCGATTGTTCTTCAACGGTGAAAATCCAAAGTCGGGCACGGTGGTCGATGACGTCATTACGAGTCCGATCAAGTATGACTTTTTCATTGTGTCGCAACATGTACTACAAGGCACGGTAACACCTACCTCGTACAGCATAATCTATGACAATCTCGGTTTAGATGCGGATAAACTACAACGTATGTCGTACAAGTTGACGCACATGTATTTCAATTGTTCGAATACCGTTAGAGTGCCAGCACCCTGTCACTACGCTCACAAGCTGGCGTTTCTTGTGAGCAAATTCATTCACCAACCGCCAAATTCGTCACTAGAAAATACTTTATATTTTCTGTAATCTCTCTCTATGTTTCTACATCATCATTATTATTATTATTTTTATTATTATTATTATTATTATTTTTTATTATTATTATTATATATAATAATATTTCATCTTTTTATACATACCTAATATCATTAGAGATATTATTTTTATTTTGTTTTTATTAACATATTAAGGAAAACACTTAAATTAGAAATAACACGTTTATGGTTTAGTTTAATTTTATGAAATCACATACTAAAAAAATATTTTCTTCCATTAGCATTAAACGATGAACGATTTGGATGAGCATAATGAAGTTTAGAAAAAATTGAAATTAGATAATTTCATTGAAGTAAAAATGGCGATATATCACGATCACGAGAATCTCGATTTCCTAATTCCATAAATTGGATTATGATTAAGAATTTTTGGACATATAAATTGCGCGTTTTCATTTTTTGATTATCTTTAATTATCAATCTTAGTCTGTTATAATACTTATATTTAATTTAGTAATCTTGTAGTTTATTTCTACATTCTTTTGACAGTTGAATTAATTAATAAATCTAAAAATAAAATATGAATATAAATGTTACATTATAATATAAATGTTACATTATAATATAAATGTTACATTATAATATAAATGTTACATTAAATATATTTATGAAAATTGATGTATTTTATCAATCGTACTATCAAACGAATAATTAAAATGTATAATTCAATATATAATAAGGAATTAGGTACAGCTTAATCAGTGTTTTTACGACATATTGTTAACAGTAAGACGAAGCTTAATGTGATAATAATACTGAACTATTCTTTAAATACCAAATTTTTCATATGCTGTTATAATCTTCGATTTTTATAATTATATATTTTTGTGTTTAAATGCGATGGAAATTTTATCCAAATAAGGATGAAATAGTCACAGTTACCATAATATAGATTTTAAGTTTCATACCTTATGATATTCTGCACAAAATGCAAATTGTGAAATTATATTTCAAATCGTGAATTATTCTGCAATCAGAAAAGATACATTATATATATATATATATATATATATATATATATGTATCTTTTCTGATTGCAGAATAATTCACGATTTGAAATATAATTTCACAATTATATACATATAATATACATATACACAGGGTGTCCCATAATTCGCGAACCACCGCGAATGGGCAGATAGAGCGTGTTAAACTGAATTGAAAAATCCTGTATCATTTTGCGATATTCGCAATAATTATTGAGTTATTAACTAAAATATCTAAACGAATGAGCGGGTAGAAAGCGGTAGGCCAGACTCGGTGTGCATGTACCGCTTAGTATCAAAAGTATCTTACTTTTCGGCGCCACTACATTGGTCGCCGCTGCTGCATGACGCCGCCTCTCGATCAAATAATGCTTTCTACCTGCTTATTCGTTTAGATATTTTAATAAATAACTAATTATTGCGAATATCGCAAAATGATACAGGACTTTTCTATTCAGTTTAACACGCTCTATCTGCCCATTCGCGGTGGTTCGCGAATTATGGGACACCTTGTATATATATATGTGTGTGTGTGGTGTGTATATCTTCTAATTGCAGAATAACTTAATGATTTAAAATATAATTTTATTATTAATATTATATATCATTTTTTTAATGCTAACAATGAATATATTTAATGACACCAATAAAGAATAATACATATTTGAATTTAAGAAATTTCGCTAAAATTGAAATAAAAGCTGTATTGTTTAAGTGAAGAATTATTATATTCTCATATTAATTTAGATGTAATTTCTAAATTTTTACAATACTGCTTGGGAAAGGAGTGGGACCATAAATATTTTAAAAATTTAGCGTTAACATTTTTTATTGGTGCCAATCAATTCATTGATGGAGAATCATCCTTTGTATGTTTATTTTGAATTATTATGCTATAAAATATATGTAATGAATAATACAATAAATGTAATAAAAATTTTTTAAATCATCACGCATCTTCACTTCTAAGACATTCAAAATACCAAGTTTTGTATTTTCTTAGTTTTACTATTAGGATATATATTTATATTTCATAAGAATTGCCAAATTTTTTAATATTTTGTTATTAATGTTGTACACGTAAGATTATAAATTAAAATTTGTTTGAGAAAATATAAAATAATTACTTAATGTGTGTATATATTCTACATATTTTATAATTTATATTTATAATTTGTAATTTATTATATGCACATATTAGATAATTTTTATATTTAAATTTTAATCTTCAGAGAGAAGAATAAAGACATTTTTTAAATATAATAAAATTCGAAATTAGCTTATAATTAATGGATATAGGATGTAGATGGATATATGAAATAAAAAAACAAGTGATTCCTTTCAAAAGGTCCTGTTGCAGACAAGTACAAAGTATGCATTGTTTTCAAGATGTCGGCAAGCGTGATTACCATTTTTCGCTAGTCGCACCTCCCCAACTTTGAGTAGCAGCAGTAGCCACAGGTGTCGACCACTCCTCTGGAGGCTAAACAAATAATCACCAATTATTTAATCATTTTTGTGCCATTAATATAATTATATACAAAATTGTGATAAGGAATTTAAATAATAATAAATACCAATAAAGTTTTTAGCTCTCTTAACAAAAATGTTATAAGAGTACAACTTAAATTTAATAAAATCGAAGAAAATAGATATCTCAAATGTCTCACCTGCGCGGCCCAGTCGCCGCTTGGTTGGAATGCCGGTGCAGCACCAGCTGCTGGGGGAATGGCAGCGGCCGCTGGAGGTACCTCGTCAGCCCAGTTCTCGGTGGCTACGGTGGTCGATTCGACCTCGTTCACCCAGCCAGGCTCCGGAGCAGGAGCAGTCTCCACAGGGCCCGTGAACTCCTTCGCCGGCGCGATCTCCTTCGCGGCTTGTTCCTCCTTCTCTGCCTGGAAATTTCGCACATCCAGTTAATATAATTCGACAAATATGAGTTTTTTTTCTTTAGATTAAATGGTAAAAAATCAAGAGATTTGTTTTTGATTGCTTTTACACAGAGTATATACTCAAATCTTATAAATAAATTCCATGATTTTCCAAGTACTTTTGTTCAAAATTCCAGGTAAAATTTAAAGTATTTAAACAAATTTTAAATATAATTTTAAAATAAGTTTATCTTTGTTATACAAAATTTTTTAACAAATAAAATATTTTTAATATAATAATATATTATAATAAAATATATTTTAATATACTTTATATAAACCTAATAAATTTTATATTCTTTAAAGGTATATTTAAAAATCAAAGGGGTAATTTTTAAAAAATTCCCTGAGTTTAAAATAAATTCCATGAGTATTTCAGGATTTTGCAAGGTAGAAAAAAATTCTCTGAGAATTTCAGGTTTTTCCTGGGAGTATACACCCTATTTTAGTATCGCTAAATTTGAAAAATAAATTTGAAAAATAAATTTGAAAAATAAAAAGACCTCTTCAGGATCTCTGTAGAAGAAGAGATCGACCACAACATCCCACTTGGTCTCACGCGGGATAGATCCTCTCAAGCGAAGCACCTCTCTAGCGAGTAGCCACCACATCAGACCAACGGTGTGTAAGCTCTTAGTGTTGCACGGGATTGCGATGTCCACAAAACGCAGCGGCGAATCCGTGTTGCAGAAAGCAATAACCGGGATATTCACATAACTGGCCTCGGTGATAGGCTGATGATCCGTGGATGGATCCGTGACGATCAGCAGACGTGGTTCTCGGAAAGCAGCCTAAAAGAAAGAACACCAGAATTACTAGGATACACGCTCAACCAATTTTTTACTCAAAATATCTGATATAATATTGAAAAATCAGAAAAGATTAAGCCAAAAAAAGCCAACAAGTGTCGATTCTGGAAGAGAATGTTTCATCATTGCTGATCTGTTTTTTTTGCGATGTAAAATGAAATGCTAGCTGTATATTTTCACCTGAATCTGATTGGTGAATGCACCAGGAGTGAACCGTCCAGCGATGGGAGTAGCGCCAGTGTGGGCTGCGAACTTCAGCACAGCTCTTTGACCCGAATGACGGCAACTGATAACGAAAACCTCACTAGGATGCTCGATGGCGACAATGGCACGAGCAGCAAGCAGCAGCTTCTCCCAGGTGTGACGCAGATTGATAACATTTACACCAGCACCTACATTTATAGAAATATACAAAGATTGTAAAACCATAATGTACAACTATAGCATTTAAAGAATGTTTAATTAAATCAATTACTTACCATCGACTCTCTTCTTGTAGACGTACTGTTCCATTTGAAAGTTGACATTTTCAGCACCCAAGTGGGTACCAGCAGCCAACATCTTGGTAACATCGTCCTCTTTGAGGGCTAATACATCTAAACCTCCTGACATTTTAACGCTGTGATTGAATTACGAATCAACCTGAAATAAAAATTTGGTTTTAATTTATTAGTAATACCATGTAATAATGTATTAAATAACTGAAACAATTTGCATTCTTTCTCTATATCCATTCAAATCATAAATTCTCTTATCTGATATTTTATATATATTAAAATATAATTTAATAAACATCCTTTAAACTAATTTTATTTTGCAAAAAAAATAATTATTGAAAAATTTAAGTGCAAATGAAATAAAGTGACTAATTTTAAGTCTAAATATGTAAATTTTATTATAATTCGTAAAGTTCATTTTTGCTGTTAAGTTTATGTACAATAATAAAAAAATAAAATATAATAAATTCATAGAAGTTAATACAAATTAAACTATTATATCTGAAAAATGCGTCAAAATGTGATCACACATAACCTCAAAATTAAGCAGGTATCAATATATAGAAACTTTAATTACAGACATATTTGTATAAGAATTATTTAATAATTGCTTTCTCTTGTTCGAAAACATGCTTAAAAAATTAATCACAGAATTACATATATAATAACAATTTAAAATTATAGAGCATACCACGTGTGCCAGATGCTTATTTTACATTTAATCATAAAATATATACGTTCTAGTCGAAATTTTATTGAAAATACAATTTTAGAAACATTTGTACCTATGACGAATTTATTTTGTTTAATTTTTTTATGCGGAAACACAGAAAATTAGATAAAAATGCAAGAAACCTTACGTTATAGGATGCCACTAGGAGACCCACAATGGGAAAGGAAGTCAGAGTACGCCATATGTTATATCTACACGCGGAATGACTACGTAATCAAAATAGCTGTTATTTTTCAACCAGATAAATGAAAAAGAGAATCTATTACAAATAAATCAATTTTATAATTTCAAATAAATTAATTTTTAGGCGATACAATATAGAAATAATACATTAAATTTTTATAATAGCATTTTCAAACGCATCTTTGGATCATAGAAGCGCGTTGATACAAATTTTGAGACGTATCTATTTAAATATATTTGAAAGTTTAATTATTTCATTATTTAATTATTTATTAATTATTTATTAATAATTAGCCCTTAGGTCGGATTTGTAATAGATAATGAAAAAGTGACCAATCACAGTCAAGTACAGTCATAAGAAATTAACCAACCAGAATCGATTATTCTCCTCATACTCGACTGTGATTGGTCAATTTCTTAATGCATAGGGTTTAAATCACTTATTGTGGATCCGGCTTTATTTATAATCATATTTATAAATACCGAGAAGTATGAAGTTACATATACACATAAATAAAAAGATGACAACTTTTTAAAAATTCCCTAGGGTGCACACCGGCTAGTTTTTTTCTCTAGCTGCAAAAGTAAAAAAGATGACAACTTAAAACTGAGATTTAAAAATTCCCTAGGGTGCCATCCTCTAGTTCTTTTTCACTAGTTGCAAAAGTGAAAAAAGATGACAACTTAAAACTGAGATTTAAAAATTCCCTAGGCTGCCGTAACTTAGTTCTTTTGCTCTAACCATACAGAGAAGAAAAAGATGGCAACTTGCAGAGATAAACAGAGCTGCATTTAGATTAGCAAATTTCATCAGTTCGTAATCAAATGATAATTCTGGCGATGAGATTGCAAATTCAAATCTAAATTAATAATGTTCCATTAATAATGTACATTCATGTATATTAAGTGTAATTATTCAGCGCTTCTATGCATGCGTGCATCATGTAACGTACAATTTATATATCTGATCTTTTGTTTATTTTAAAAAAATCTTGAATATACTATGATATGCGAATAATTTGATAAAATATTGAAATATCGAATTATTTATTAAACTACTAACAACAAGATTTATTGTCACGTAAATAGTTACGATTTGAAATTTTGGGTTAACCTCAATATGAATTGTTGAAAAGTGGAATGTGAGGAACGAAAAGATTCGCTCTGTGAAAAAGAACGTAATTATTGCATATAATAAGCGGGAAATGTGAGAAAATGTATCCCGCGAATCACAAGACTATATTTGTGTTGGACCACACTCCATACTTTGGCATCTCCACCGAGTGTCCATTAGAGTTTGATTTTCTCAAGAGTAGAGGACAGAATTTGATTCCACTAGCACCAGTCTGCAAGTCCCTGTGGACCACTAGCGTGGAGGCTTCGTTGGAATATTGTCGTATTGTGTGGGACCTCTTTCCCACAGGCAAATTGGTACACTTTTAAATAAATTTTCTTTTACAAGATATGTCAATGTTACAGTGTGTTATATTGTATGTCCCATTTTTTCAGATTAGATTTGTCATTACTGATCGTGCTGCTTATGTATTGAACTCATGGAGTCCATCACAACAGAACTTGAATCATGCAAGTGTCCTTTTAAATTTATACTTTAAATAACAAATGCATTTATTTTATGTAATCACTAATATGCAACTTATTTCATTTACAGATAATGAATGGCACTGCAATTTTAGGAGTTCCAATAAAGACACCGGATCCTGGGGAAGACTATTCAGTGATACATGGTTTGCGTGTGGCAATTGAAACTCTGAATGAGTGCTCTGATATACAGCATGAGAAAAGGACTTCTCTGAATGAGAACACTAGTAAGCTGATAAACAGGGGTAGAGTAATATGTATCACTAGCGCACGTGATAACAGCAATATGAAGAGCTTAGAGAATATATTTCTAAATGAGCTAGCACAGGAAAACAAGACTGCGCTAGCTTCGGATCAGTCAGTACTTTATTCAGAACATTCCATTAAATTATTCAGCAACAGTATTTTAAACATTCATATTTTTGTTTGTACTGATTTGCAGCTTGATACCCATTGATTATTGTCACTTGGTTATATTGAACATATATCCTAATAACATTGAATCTCAAGTCACTAGTCAGGGCCCTCGAGAGGTACGTTTTATTCATAACTATTTAAACATTCTTGCCATCTATTTGTTAAATATAATTAATGATTTTCCACTTAAATATATGTTTAATTTAAATAATTGAAAATTTTTCTATATTTTTTTTTAATTATGAATGTTCTGTTAATGCTATTTAATAAATAGTGAAAAATGTTAAATTAAACTTTTTTTTGCAGATATCGCCCTTACTGACGGTAGAAGTGCATTCAATTAAAGCCTCAGCACTTCACTCCAAATTATCGCATTTGATTCTGTCTCATTACGATCTAGCCAGTACCACAGTGACAGGTATACCTATGAAAGAGGAGCAAAACGCCAGTTCTTCAGCTAATTACGATGTCGAGATATTTCACTCTTCTGCCGCGCATACTGCAATTTTGAAAGGTTTCTCTCAATCATTGAAATTCTTTTTCATAAATAATCTTCAAATTTGAGAATAATAATAGAATTTCTCCTATTATAGCAAATCCGCAAGATTCAGCGTTGATAAAAACATTCAGACGTTTTGAAGAAGGATCAGAATATGAAACGGTGACTTTAAAATGGTGTACACCACGTGGCTGCAGTGCATCAGAGATGCAATATTGCACGGCGATGCATCGCATTACGCCGGTTGATGTCAACAGTAGACCATCTTCATGCTTGATCAATTTCTTATTAAACGGACGATCAGTGATGTTGGAGATGGCCAGGAAGACTGGTGGAAAGACTATCTCTCATCTGTTGGCAGCACATGGAGGGGAAATTTTCATTCATACTCTATCCACTGCTCGAAGTGTACTCGAGGATCCACCATCAATTAGCGAAGGCTGCGGTGGACGAGTTACAGATTACAGAATAACCGTAGGACATTTTTGTAATTATTTATTATTTTTAATTATCCTTAAAAATTTTGCATACATATTATCAGTTAGTTCTACATCGATTCTGTAGAAAACATTTTGTTTTTAGCAGAAAGAAACTAATTATTTTTTTTATTATATTTTTAATATATTTATATTTTTATTATATTTCTCAATTGTCTTTTTTATTATAAGTAAAATGCGAAATTTTTTATTTGTGATAACAAGTACAACTGTTTTGACTTAGAAATCTTTTTGTTACAGGATTTCGGTTTCCTTATGCGAAATAACATATTAGCACCACTTAAACGTATTCCCAGTTCTAATGATGATGGTCTAGTAGAAAAAATGAGATCAAGATTGGAACGTCATACTAAGTATTGGCCCATGACTATTTCTAGTACTCTCATGTTTAACTTAAAACAGGTTTGTTTATATTAAGAAAATTATTGCATTTCCAAAGAGAGTTAAACACCTAATTTTCATTTTTATATTTTAATAATAATAAGATAATCGAAATTAGTAAATTAATATATTCCGATTTAATCTTGAAATATTCTCCAATAATTTTTAATTTATCTTAATATAATATAGAAAATTTACATTATTTTTGAATCTTTAGAATGTTAGAATTAAAATATTTTGAAGATATAGATCTCAAGTATTAAAATCTTAAATTTTGAAGAATATATTTTGGACATTCATTAATGCTAATCTTTAAATTCTTTACACAGGTGATAGATCCTCTCTCGGAATTAATAGTGAAGGAGGAACTAAGTACGGACGAAGTGTTACAGTGCAAACAAATAATCTTTAGTGTACTCGGATTGGAAGCGAAACACGAGGCGTTGCCGCTGCCAAATATCGGCGGAGGTCGTGGCGGAAAAGGAGGAGTACGTAGGGAAGAACATTATCGTTTGCTATGGGACGAGATGGAAACGTTTCTCAAACACCACGCGAACAACTCGGCTGCGCATACCGAGGTATTAAACTGTCTATTAGAGATCAGGAATAAAGATGACAAGGATAAGGTGGAGCTTGATCAGGCTCTACGCGAATTAGACAGGTAATTAAATAATCGAAAATATCAAATATAAAAAGAAACGTGACTTATAAATTATTTTGAGATTACTTATTACTTTTAGATATTTATTACTTTGAGATTAATCAAAATTCTTTTATTATCATAAAATGTTTTATTTCTATATTCTTTTATGGTCTTTATTTGTTTTTATTTTAAAATTTTTATTTAATGGTTATTATTATGGGAATATTAATTTTTGATCGCAGTTGGGTATTATATATTTTAGAAAGCAGAAATATTATACTGAATACTGAGTACTGAATTTTACATACATATTTATAAATACTAAAGTTCACTGCATTTTTGTTTCATCATAAATGAATTGAATAGTGAATAGTATATAAATAAATAAAACTTTTATTTGTGTCACAATATACATAGAATAGCAAAACGAACAAATGACATTTGTATTTAAAAATAATAGAAAATTCGAAAGTTGGAGTTTCTAGAGATCTAATCAAAAGATTAATTAAAGGAGAAGAGATTAATTAGAAAAAGTAATATGAGAGAGATTTGATTTAAAAGTGCAAATATAAATATATTTTAAAGCTATAATTCTATAAGAGAAGAAACATTTAGAGATTTTGGAATCTAAAGATCGAATTTTTTTTAGCTTTGGTAAGGAAGACGGAACTGCTCGAGTTAGCGTAATCAGAGCAACGACAGACTCGCCGATGTCGCCGCCTGCGAGCGTGTCGATACCTCTGAACAAGCAATTACACAAAGCCAATGCTGGCTCGAAGAGTCTCTTGGATATTTGGCTGCAGCGTAGCGCTCCAAAGGACAGAAAACCGGACTTTCATGGTAGAATCAATAGCGATGGTCCTAAAGCGAAGCTGTATCCAAATTTGAAGGACACGGGAAGAGAACCTAGAGAAACCATCTTAGAAGGATAGTGTGTGAACAAGGATTTTTAGAAAAGGCGGAGTGCATCCTGCAAAGACGTAAATATGACTGAATACATATTGGTTTATCGGACGGTATTTGTGATTATATAAAATAAGTTTGATAAGAATTTAGAATTTAGAAGAAAGATTATTACGATTGCATTTGAATAAAAGCAATTATATATTTCTTATATTAAAAACAAGTGTACATATGTGTTTTTAATATTTTATTATTTTATGATATCTAAAAAGGAGAATCATGAAATACAGATATATTTTTAAATTTATAATTTTATGGATTTATAAGAAATATTTTGTAGTTTTCTTAGATATAGTAATTGTGGTGAGAGATATAAATATTTCATGTAAGTGAAATGATGATCTATTTCAAAAATGACATTTTCGTAAATTGAGCAATTGATCTTAGAATTCGTAACTTTCACAAAAATAAAGAGAATACAAGAAAAAAACTACTAGAATCTACAGAGAATATAGAACATAATGTAAGAAGAACCTGAAAAGTTAAAATCAAGAACTATTTGGAACACAACAAATTTAAAAAATTAATCTAGAATTTATCAAGAATTGACAGATTTAAGAATGTATAACAAGAATTAAGAAAAAAAAAATTTTTATTTATTAGAAACTAGAATTCCAGACGCATATACTCAGATTATACAAAAGACTATTGATGCGGTGTCTTATAAATATGTGATACTTTTTAATACAGTGTTTTTATAAGTTAAGAAAAATTGAAGAATTCAGCCGGGATGCGAGAAGTATAACGCCGAGACAAAACTAGAGTACGAGGGTACGATTATCCGAGATTACTATCGGGCAGCATGCGAAGATCCATCTGTCTACAAGAGTATGCGGAACGAAAGTGTATCAGTGGTACAACACCATTCCAGCTCCCACCTTTTCCTACCGGCGACCGCATCCCTCTCTCTCTCTCTCTCCACCCCTCTGGCTGTTTTATAGTCGACACGTCTGCCGAGTGTCTGAGCCGTCTAAGCGATACATCGACCTCTGTCGAATCTATAGTTCACTTCGGCGTGCGGCCCCCGCCGTGCTAATCGATGAATGTGGGAGGACATCACAAAACGAGAGGAGGGGCTCGACCGCGTGTATTGCGATGTAACGCAGTGTGCACGATCTCTTTCTCTTTCTATCTCAATTTGGGAGGGAGAGGGAGACAATGCGAGAGAAAGGGAGATACATAGAGATTAAAGAAAGCCCGTAGTACTGGGTGACCATCAGGAAGTTGTTGAAACTAAACTGACGAATTGTAGAGGTGTATGATCCTAGTTGATGCAACTCTTGTCAGGATGGGAGAGAGATATAACGATTTATCCGAAGATTTGCAAGTTCACAAAATGATAGAAGCATCTAAATTCAAGATTGAAGAACTTGAAGCAAAAGAGAAGACATCAGAGAGAAATAAACGTTGAGGATTAAGAAGGCAAATTGAAGATCTCCTGATGTAGCTTCTCTGGTCCAGCCGCCCGACAAAATCTCTCAATTGTCCTAGACTCTTTAAGAGATCTCCATCGGAATTTATTCACAATCATCAGCTCCTCCGAAGAGAGAAGTGCAGCTAGAAGAAAATTCTGTGACAATCAAATCGATCTATTTCGAGCGAGGCCATTACTTATGCTGCACCTTATATAATGCAAGCTGCTAAAAGAGAGACAGACGGGACGGTGGCAAGGGAGGCGAGAGGATTACGAGGAAGAGGTGGAGAGAAGGAGGAAGAAGAGGAGGGTTGCGGAAGGGGACCAGTGAGTACAAGTGCATGACGTAACGGTTCATTCATCCCGAGACAGGCGATAGAGGATATCCCGGTCAATGGTATACTTATGCATGTAAACGCGCGCACACGTATGACGTATGTAAGTATGAGTATGCAGCATGCACATGTCCGTCGCGTTGTTCGTTTCTTTTTTTTTTTCACCGGACGTACGCACCACGTGCATGCGTGCATACAGAGAGATGTGAAGCAACACGTGACGGAGAATGTAGAAATGTAGAATGTTCGTTTGGGGTTTGCTCGAATTTTTTTCATATTCTCATGTTAGAGGGTTTGTTGTATTAATTGCGTTATTTAGTGGTTTTTTTGTCATCATGGAATCATTAAATGTCTTATATTTGTCGATGAATTTACATATCTAATTTTCAATTACATATTGCTGTATAATATGTAATTAGAATATTATTACTATAATATTATAACTAGATATTATATATATATATATATATATTTTTTTTTCTTTTGAACATTTTACACTTGTATATTATTTCGAGACTTTATTTAGGACAGACTGGAATTAACTCTAACAATTTCAGCAAAATTTTTGAACATAATTACAAAATTGTTATTCCAGATATTTTTTTTACGAGGAATACGGTTTAATATGTGATATTGTAAATTTAATTTTTATTGGCATATATAGCAATACTAATTATCACGAATATAACAATTATTTCTCGTTAAATTTGTAATTTCAAGTTTCGTTACTAAATTGAAAACATTTTAACTGTACAGATATATTAACTTTCTGAAATATCTCTCAATCTCTTTATTCTTGTTTTTTTATATATAATAATTAACAACATCGTTACATCCTATTTTTTTTTATTTTGTAAAACAATATGTTTTTTATCGACAACCTGTATGTGATCAAAAATGCAGTAAAATTAAGAAAAATAAGTATAAGTCATCACAATAATAAAAAGTAATAATATTTCATAATTATATTAGTAATACATATTTATATCAGAAAATCTCTCTAACAGATTTTATTGAAGAAATATAGGTCTCTCGCTATATATAATTATTAGGGATGATGGCTTTCATTACATATATATATATATATATATATCTGGTTTTTCATCGATATAAAAATTACATTTGACAGACATAAATGTATTGATAATTTCTGCAAAATTGCGAGGGAATTCTGAAATTCTAGTTTTAACTCTTCGTTAAACGTCCAAATCGATGATCGGCGTTACATAATCGAATCCACATTGTCCAGGGAGCTGCATCAAGTATATATATATACACATATATATTACATATATATATATATATATATATATATATATATATATATGTATGTATATAAAACGATCAATATCAATGAAGTGCGATAATACGCGCTCCTACGGCCAATTATTTATAGCGCCGTCAATATTTTATGGCGTAAATGTTACATGCGGTACATAACGGCGGTGGATACTGAATATGTTAAATAGATGTATTAATTGTGTTCCCGATAACGCGGCGCATGGCAGCAGGAGCAACTGTATCGGCAAGATACGGGAGTGAGTGTGCGGCGTTTATATAATTGAAACTCGCGAGTATAGCTGGTACATATCGATCGCGGCCTCCGAGAGGGTCACTGAACGAAACGCGAAACGAGGAAACGAACCGGGCACAGGGCGAGCACACAGGGGCGTCCTTCTGCGCTAAATATAATTATGGATATAGGAATTTTACAGAGAGAAAAAGAGAGGCGAGAATCTCTCATTGAACGCCGATTATTATAACCAGATGAATTATGATCTATTAAACAATTTTGATTGATTTGGATTTTAATTTAGAAAGTGCAGAAAAAAAGAGGTATATATGTATATTTTCTCTCTCCTCACTTTTAGATAGATTAATTTAGCTTTAATTCATTTGATTTTGTTTTATCTATATGATATCTGCCCAGCAAACACCGGTATATAACTGTTACATTGCTATAATAAAACGGAATGTAACAGGTAATATAACGTGTACGTTACATGTAACATCCATGTTAGTTGTAATTTCCCACTCATAGATGTAACATTTTTAATATAACATATATTATATTATAATTATATTGTCATTATATCCCAAGATAGCACTGACTTATCAATACATCAATGTGCTATTTGGTATGAGTGGGAAATTACAACTAACATATACGTTACATGTAACATGCTTGAATACTTACATGTATATGACATTTATATACCGTGTTTACTGGGTATATTTGACAGAAACGATCAATTTTGTGTTAATCCAGAATTATTTAATTGAGATTTTTATCTTTCAGATATGAGAATTCATTATTTGAACGCAAATCAGTATCAATAATGACTTAACACATTCCTTGAAACATGTTTTTTCTATGCTCGTGCAATTTTATTTTATATATAACATTTAATTATTTTACACAGAAATAATGCTATTAAACATTAAATAGATAATATATATATATTTCTTAAAATATTAATTCTTTATTTATGTTCAAACCAGAAATATATTTTGGAATAATGAAGCTATTTCTCGATTAATTTGCAGCTTCAGCTCAAAGAAACCTTTGCACACCTCGACGGAAGCAGAAGCTCTCAGGCTTGAATTTTTCAGGGTATTCCGTAGGGTCCCATTGAAGACTTGGCGGCAGCATGGAACCCGTTTCCCCTTCGTAGGGCTGCCGCCCTTCAAGGCTTACGGTCCGACCGGCTCTTTGTCGTCCCTTTGAGCGACGTCCCTGCAGGATGTACATGCGAAGCACTAAAGCGAAGCGCAGGGACGTATGGGATTGCATGGGGAAATATACAGGGTATATCTTCAAGATTTTTTTCCTAAAAAGGTAGAGCCGCATTATGATTCACGAAACTTTAAGATTACGCGCTATATATAAATTTCGTGTCAGTATAAAAACGATATAATTGTGTATAGGCAATAGAGTAACTTTACATTCTCAATAAATTTGTAGAATTTTGTATCTTTATAAAAAGCGAAGATTATTGTATATAAATGCATTAAGAGCAATCAATGATAATTATGCATCAAGAGATAAAGTTGGACATTTAAAGGTTTGAAAAAAATGTTGCACGTTTACTTGGGGAAAAATAAAATCAAATTAGATTTACTAAACATAAAAATTATACGCAGACTTCCTTTGTTCCACTTCGTTAAAAGTTTTAATTAACATATTTACTCGAAACTTTACAAAAAAGTTAAATATATAACTTTATTATTAATTTATTAAATAATGTTTTAGACCAGTATAAAAATTAAAAATCTAATAAAACCGAGAATTTAAAACTAAACAAATTTTTGTTATTCCTTTTATATTTTGAAAGTATACTTATATTTTTAATTCAAAGAAGACTTCACATTTTTCTGCTAAAAAATGGAAAAGTTAAAAAAGTTCTAAATATAATTTAAAGATTTATGTAAATATTGTGCCCAAGAATGTTTCAAAAACTTCTCTCTTTTTTTGTAACATTTTTACACGCCTTTCAGATTTCTTCCTTTGAACTTCAAGAACTGCGAAATACGACTTCGAATGTACCTGCGATCAGGAGTTGTGGAAGAGATTTTGGGAAAAAACAGAATTCCTGAATTTCCACGTAAAATTGCCGGAGCCAAATACCTTGAAAAATAGCACCACGAAGCCGTCCGTTACTGAACCGTAGGGACAGCTGCTTGTAGCAGGACGATTTTCAAAGGGCGACTTCTAATGAGCTTTTGCTACCCCAGTGAAGGGTCCGGGAATACCGCTGGGAGATTATGTTCCGCGCTCCATCCCTTTTCCGTCCTTAGTCCCCGGCTCTTCTATCTCAACTCCGTTTCCACCTTCGGGGAAAATATGGCATATCGCCAGGTAAGAGAGTATCCGCTCGACGTTGAAGCGATTAGATTTCTACCGGGTGTGTTTCGAAATTTCTCAAATGCCAAATACAGTTTTAAAATTATTACATATTTCAAAATTGTTTATACAACTCGGCGCAACAACATTTACAACATTAAAGTTGGATACGAAATTCTATATACTATTTAACGTGTGAAATTTTACATCTTTTTGAGAAAATAATCAATTCATTTTTTAAATAACAATAATACAAATAAATATAAATAATTTAATCAAGTTGAAACTACTTGTTAGCGACATGGATGTTTCATTTCTTTCATACTTAAATACATATATAACTGCTTGATTAAATTGCGATGTAAGTACGAGTACTTAAATAAATATTGAATTTACAGAACATATGAAAAATCTATCTTGGTCTATTGGTCGATCTGCAGGAGTTCCGTCCATCCAATTCCTCCGACTTACAAATGAGATGCGATGAAAGTCATTACCATGATGAATGTGGAAGCAATAATAATCCCAGCAAACACAGTATATAAATGTTATATATTTAAGCATGTTACATGTAACGTATATGTTAGTTGTAATTTCCCACTCATAGATGTAACATTTTTAATATTACATTGTAGTTATATTGCCATTATATCCCAAGATAGCACTGACTTATCAATACATCAATGTGCTATTTGGTATATAATTACAATATAACTACAATGTAATATATGTTATATTAAAATGTTACATTTATGAGTGGGAAATTACAACTAACATGGATGTTACATGTAACGTACACGGTATATTCCGTTTTATTATAGCAATGTAACAATTATATATCGGTGTTTGCTGGGATGTCACATGGTAAACACCATGATAACGCTACCACCACGTGGATCACGTGCTCGTGCCGTCGTCGAGTATTACGTCATCATGTCTTCACCGACACGACCATCCACACAATCGCACTTCTCTTGCGACCTTGTGTTTTGTATATATCATCCTCTCGCTGCCTGCCCTCCTCTCTCTTTCTCTATCTCTCCCTTGATTCCCCCTTTTCCGCACCTTGCGAGAATATCACGCCGCATCGGTGTCACGTGTGGTGCGGATAGGAGAAAGGGAGCAAGAGGGGGAGTAGGAGGATGATGATGGCGAGGGGGATCGGGGGTCGGTGAGGAAGAGGGGGACGAAGGGTGGTTTAAACGGGTGAACACGTCGCAACTAAGGTCGCGGCGGACGTTACTAGGTCACTGGAGTGACCGCGATGCATTGCACTCGCTTTTGCTGGTGCCCTTTCTTCGATTGTGCTTTACCTTCGTTCAGCATCTGCGACTGAGGAGCGGATTCAACGGGGGTGGATTAAGAGATGATGGAAAATCTATCTTTCTGTTTTTGTCTCCTTTTTTGACGCAAAATGTTTATATTATGATTACATAATCTAGTTTTATATCTATGAATGTATCTTTGTCGAAGATTCTCTCTCTCTCTCTCTCTCTCGCTTAAGGGAGGTCAGTCATCAGAGTATCATGTTTTAATCGCGTTATCTTTTAATTGACGAATTTTTTTCTCAGTCTTGTATATATCCCAGCAAACACAGATATATAATTGTTACATTGCTATAATAAAACGGAATATAGTAGGTAATATAACGTGTACGTTACATGTAACATCCATGTTAGTTGTAATTTCCCACTCAGATGTAACATTTTTAATATAACATATATTACATTGTAGTTATATTATAATTATATACCAAATAGCACATTGATGTATTGATAAGTCAGTGCTATCTTGGGATATAATGACAATATAACTACAATGTAATATATGTAATATTAAAAATTTTACATCTATGAGTGGGAAATTACAACTAACATATACGTTTCATGTAACATGCTTAAGTATATAACATTTATATACTGTGTTTGCTGGGATATATCTCTGCGTAACTAAATTAAAAATTACATTAAATTTGAATTACATATTGTTCATAGCAGAATAATTTAGTTTTTTTATCTATTCGCCTGACCTTGGTTCGTGAGGAATTCTTTTCTACAACTCACCATTCCAAGACAATCGGTGCCTCATCTCCGAGGAAAAAAGCGAATGCGAACGCGTTAAAGAATCTCATTAAAATTAAAGAGTTACGAGTTATGCGTCTATGGTATATATCTCTTACTTACAAAACTCTCAAACTCCATCATCTCTGAACTTCCTCGCGTGCTTATCAAATTCTTGATCAATCCTTGAGGATTGTATGATTGATACGGTTCGCGAATCTTCGCATCTCGGAATTCTTCATCAATCGTGATCAAAAGTGGATTTCGCAAATCGCATTAAAAAGAACTTGTCGATGACGTCGCTCTGCGAAATCAGAACGAGTTTTTTTTTTTGCTTTAATCTTCGACCAGGAGAGTCCGGCTGCTTATAAGACAGACCGAGTTCTTGCAGACTTCTTGCTTCGCTCTTCGTCGCAAACCGGTTTCAACGATTTCAGTACTGGCTGAAAAACCGGACCCTGAGGAGGAACGCGCGCATGTAAATCGCGTAGTCTCAAAAACACGTAGTCGGAATTAACAATAGACAATGAATTTCATATACATGCTCTCATTTCCTGCTTCTCTATACGATCGCGGCTTCAATTTTGCGTCCAAAACAATCTTTTTGAAATAAAAATATATAAATATGAATATATCTAAATCGCACATATTTCTCTCTGCCATTATTACATTACATTAATTCTGAAAAACTAAATATTCTAGAACGAAATATTTGCTTTGAACAGTTAATGAATGCGAGTCTAAAGGGCAAAAGTGGATTAGCAATAAATGCGATTAAGTTCGAAAATGGATAAAGTGTAATCTGACATATTTTACGAGATTTAAAGTTTAATATAATTTAAATTAAATCTTGTTTACTTCGAATTATACAATTTGTTTATTTTCATTAATCTAAATTATATATGTTTTATAAAAATATAAAATTAGTTTTATATGTATGTAAAACTAGAAATTAAGAGTATTGGAGTGTGTTATTTTGCAAAAATTTTCTTTTACTTTTTTACATCCAAACTCTTCATATATGCAAGAATTTAAAGGGATTCATAAATATCTGCTTTCACACCGATTCAGTGTTTAATCGGATAAATTGCATAACTGTTAATAGATTGATAAAGAAAATCTATTATCAAGATTAAATTTCATCTCTCTTCTATAAAAAACTAATTCTACTTTCATAATCGTGTATTAGAGATTCAATTTTACACCAGCTTGTGCAGAGGCAGAACTGCGTGGGCAAGCAATAATTATTTTTTACATTAAAGGGAAAGTATTTCTTATTTAATGGTATACACGTGAATACAAGTGAGGAAAAAAAAACGAAATTACCGTGTCGATATGAGTCAACAAGCTGCAAAGTGTCATTATTGTCGCTCGAGCCTACGAAGGTCAACGATATATATGGTTTTACAATGTTCGTTTAGCTGGTTTCTTTCTTCCGGTGATTCATCTCGACTCTCCTCTACTATATACTGCACTTTATGTTTTTTATTTTTTAATTTTATTTACAACTTGATCAATGTTTTTATGTCCTTCACAGGTATATAGCTTTTAGTAAACAAACGGAATAACAGCTATATATAAGGATAAAAGGATGAAACGAACGAAAAGAACAGTACTTTGAAAAAGTGTTTTTCAGAGACTAACAATAAGTCCAAGAAGAAAGGTTTCTTTAACTGAAATTAAAAAAAAAAGAGAACACAATTTTAGAACTGTGAAACTCGAAATTTTGCGCATTTTTTAATCAATGATTTTGTATTTTTAAATTTTTATCTATAGACTTTTATCAAAAATGTGTTAATTAGAAGAATTAAAGAATGCATGTTATGTACATATATAATTAAAAATTATCATGATTATAAAATTTATTTTTTCCAGCATTATTAGAATTTTATAAGAAAACATACCGAAATCGTCTCAAAATTTATATTTTTTCAAACACATTTTTTAATATTTTTCACATACATGTATATAAAACATTTCTCTTTCAATAACTTCTGCGATGCATAAGAATAAAAATAATTAAATAATTTGTATAATTTTTTTCCACGAGATATTTTTTATAAAAAGTTATTCAATATTTATTCATATTTAATGATTAATATTTCTTTAAAAAAAAATCAAAAACATAATATTTATAAAAAAAATATGATACACTGTAGATAAAAAATACGACAAAAGTGATGGTAGTGTATACAGCAGAGGAAAGACACATCCTTGTGGCGATCGAAGACGGACGTGGTTTTGCGGCCGCAGCTTTGGTTTCACTTCGCTCCCAACGGAATAAACGGCGACGATAAGGAGTTAAAGCAACGCTACGTCGAGAGAAAGTCGGAAAGATGCGAGACATGTTTTACTTTCACTTCTCGCACGTATATCCACAGTATATCGTCGTGTCACGCTCGCTCGAAGCTAAAGAATGACGAATCGATGTTTCGAAAAGTCCCGCATCACAAGACCTCATCTGTGTGTCAACCTTTTTTCGTACGACGTTGTTATTTCAGGCAGGATCACGCTTTCTTCTCCGGAACCGCTATGAAAATCATTATATTTTGTCTTTGACAGATAAAGGAAAATAATATAGATGCTTCGAAGCTTTTAAAGCGATCGCAAATGCAAATTAAAGAAGACGGAATCGGAAAGTCTAACGGAGAAAAGTGCCACAGAATCCTGACGTTTCATTTCTAAAAAAATGTCTTGATGTGCGTTTAAAAATTAAGATAATTTGGAATTTGAGTTTTATTTTTCATGGCATAATCTAAACTCTTATTGCAATCTTGCTTCAAGGAATTGATTTCTGCAAAAATGTGAAAAGAAGCGAAATGCTTTAACAATAAGACTTAAAGGGGGCTCAATTTTGCGAAATAAGTCATCAAAGAGGAAATGTGTAAAATGAAGAAGGAAGGTAGCAAGGGGAGATTCATTGTCGTAAAAGTTCGATCTTAAGAATTAAAAAGCTAGAGAAATTTAGGAAGTTTAAACGTTCATTAAAGAATTCATAACAACAAAATTTCGAAGTCTAAGATTATAGACGAAAGTTCTTCAGTAATAGCAATCAATGTTCAAAAGAACTCTCGAGTAAATACAAACTACGTATACTTAAGGATACTTAGAACTAAGAACGCGCATAATTATATATGTGTATGTGTGCAGGCCGGACGCTATTTTACTGAGCTTGATGTTGGTTTTTTTTGGACTGAAAGCATTACTTTTATTTCCTTCTAAAGTTTTTTTTTTTTACTTACAAGGTATTTGGTTTGCTCCATGCATCACTCTGACATGCAGTTTTCTCATTAGGTATATAAATTATGGTAATGATTCGGTATTATAATAATTATAATTATAATAATTATTTATCATTATTATTAATATTAATATTATCATTATGTCCAGTATTTTCGCTTTTGTTTTTTTTTACTGCTCACGGAGTGATTTGCTCTCTTCTCCCCCTCTTTTCATTCACATACAGCTCCCTTTCTCTCACTCTTTTTTCCTCTCTCCCTCCTTTTCTTTTTACAACAATGATCATCTCTTTACAAGGAATCATTCGAGAACTCCACCATACGTTAATTCACATTACGCAAAATTAAAACTTGATCGATTATCAGCTAACTGAAAACAATACACGCATCCTAAAAGAATCTATAATTCTACGAAGATTCTTTTCAAAAGTTCAAGGATGCAAATATATTTGTAATTAAATTTTTTAAATATTTTCAAAAAAACATTGTGCTTGCAAACTGACTGCAAGGATCTTTATCTTTTTCACTTGTCAAAACAAAGATTTGTTAGTTGGGCGACTTGTCAATTATGAAATTGATGTTGGATATTTATGCTCACATAGAATCCTTGAATCATATAATTCTCTCATAAGCAAGAAAGAAAAAGCGCATCTAATTTTTATTCTTTGTATATTAAACTCGCATATTAAGAGTACTTATTTCATAATTGAAATAATGTTTTATAAATTCTATTTGTAAAATTGATATAATCTTACGCGTAAGCATACAATATCGTTTTTAAAATTAATGATTATTTATCATGATTAGCTTGACAAAAAAGAACAAAATTATGCGACAAATAAGTTTCACGATAAGAAATTCCAACGCAAGATTGTAACAATCGGAAATAAATAGAACGAGGGAGTCTCGTTATTTAGGATATATGATATTGTGAAGGTGAAGGGTGGATTAGAAAGTGTACGAGAAATGTATATTTCAAGAAAGTTTTGCATCATCTTCTTGTTTGTAGAACGGCAGTTGTGTTTGCGTTGAAGAACGGCGATCAAGGAATCGTGGAAGAAGGGAACATTCGGGCGGATTTGGCGATTCGAAGATTCAACAACGTAAATGATTCAACGTGTGTATGTAGATTAGCAAAATTGGAAAATTTAAACATTTAAATTCTGTGAACGCAAAATTTCCACATTTCATGATTTTTGGTTTTTTTTCTGAACAAATGTAAGGCAATGTTTTGAACAGCTTCGGTAAATTTTTAATTTCCCCCAAAAATTCAAAGAATATTAAATATTATGCGAGACATTTGAAAAGATGTATATGTATATATATATATATATATATATATATATATATATATATATATATATATATATATATTAGTCAAGAGAATTAATATTTATAAATCTGTAAAATATATCATTAATAGGGATATAAAGTCTTATCTCTTATACGTATATGTATATTCGCGAAATTGGTTTATTTCTACAATTGAGTATATATACTTTCACGTTTCCTCGTCCGCTCCAACATACTTTGTACAGGAGATCCATAATCAAAAGACGGTGCAAAACTCTTGTTGACATTTACATGAATGCACGAGATTGTCCGAACAACAACAATGAGAATCTAGCTGTATCACCAGCTAACATTTAGCATCAACAAGAATGCAGATTCGTCGGTCACTCGGTAAAAATCCTTACCAGAACGGGAGGAGCCGTAAGAAAACGGGACATAATCGTGGATGAGATGCGGGAAAGATCCGAAGAGGGAGAGAAACAGAGAGTGAGAAAAACAAGATTCGAGGATTCTAGAATCTATGTACAATATTCTGGAATCCCGCGAATCCCTCCCTTGATTTTCTCGCTCCCTCCCGCAGTAAGAGCCGAGGATGAAGCGAGCGGCTATGCTCCGTCCAAGCAATCGCGCAAATAGAATAATCCATCCATCCATCCGCGTCCGTCTGTCCGTCCGTGCATCCATCTTCTATTCTACCTATCCGTTCGTCTGTCCATCCGTCGTCCGTCCGTCCGTCGGTCCATATCATCCGGATCGATGATTCAGAATCGACGACGCGGCGCCGCAATGATCGACAGACTTCTGGCGGGCACGAAAGTGCTGACGTTGTTGCTTGTCGCGTCACCGAGCCGATCGGGTCACTTCTTACTCTTCTTGTTGGGCGGCTCCTGCGCGTCTTGCGAGTCCTCCTCGGTGTCCTCGCTGTCGGTAGGTCGTGGCGTCGCGTTGTTGCTGCTGTCGTTGGTGATAATGGAATCGTTTGTGTCCTCGCTGGCGCCTACGACGGTGTGATGATGATCGCCGGCGATAATCGGCGTCGCCGGTTTGTCCATCGAGTCCTCGGTGAAGGATGTTGTCGTGCTGTTCTCGTCAATCGCCGCAGGATCGAGCGGCGCCGTGTCCTTGCCGTTCGCTACCGTCTCCTGATTGCTGTCATCCGATGGCTCCGTTGCCTCGCCGTTGCTGGCGCTGTGCGAGTTGCCGTTCTCCGTCGAGCCCGGGATGCCGTCCAGCAACTCTGGCTTCAGCTCGGATGCCACGTAATGCGTCCATAGCGCTAGCTCGACTTTATGTGGGCTCCATGACTTGCCATTTGACGCTAAAAAATAAATAACATTTTTTTGTATTTTAATATTTTAGATTTTTCGTTGCATCCCGAATAATTTGCAATCAAAAATTCTGCACACTTACATACACATATCCCACAAGATATTTTCTGAATGTCTTTTGAGACTACGCATGCTGTGTAAATGGGATATGTGTATGTACGTATGATCTCAATGAGAAAATCGAAAAATTCAGATTCAAGAATCCCATAATGAAAGAATCTCGTTTCCACGACTTGTTATGTATTGTAATATGCGCAACTCGGATGTCTACACGCGGATATATAAGTGACTCATGACCGCTTACTCTGCTTGTTCAGCCTCTCGACAGTGTTTTGAATGTGCTGGACGAAGTTAAGGTATTCCTTAGTGGTGTAATCAATGCCCTCGATCTCCGGTATCGCCATCAGGCACTCGTCAGCCATGAAGGGCGCGTTCTCCGGCGACGCTGCGGCGAGCAGGGCGGACGCCATCGTGGTACCGACGCCCTTCAAATTCGATAACGCCGTAATCGCCTGTTCGAGATTCGGAAGCTTCTTGAACGCTTTCTTCGTTTCTGCCATCACGGCGCGCGGTGTGTTCACCTTCACCAGGTAGGACAGCTGTGGGTAGAACTTGCCGCGCTGAAAACAAAATGGCAGTCAGCCTCGTGAAACGCTTGGATCGTGAATATAATACTTCCTTCGATTTTCGCGCTCATCAAAGCATCGACGAAGAATACCGTAATTAGAATCAGACTTTGCCGAGTCCCAAAATCGACGAGTTTTATATATCAGAGCAAAATCAATGATTTGAAATGGAATATGACACTATCTTCTCTCTCGAAAATTACTTAAAAATGAAGAATATAATTGTTTTCTAGATGACGTATTAGCTTACAAAAAAAAAGCTTATATACACATTTTATCATTTGTGCAGCTTATATATAATTCAAAAAATACTATTTTTCATATTTTACTGCTGAGGAACTTTTTCTTCTCTCCCGCGGCGCGCGTGTACTTAAAATAAAATGAGAACAGCTATTAAAACTCGTCTACTTTAAATTGCAATTATCCGACGAACTTCTTTGAATTCGGCAGAATCTGGGTGTTTGTTCGAACAGGAGTAGAAAAAGGAGCCACTTACTATTTGCTTCCATTTCATCGTCTGGCACAGCTCCTCGTGATTAAGGTGCGCGTCCTTGCCGCGTGATTTGATCTTCTTAGGAAGCTCATTCTGATACCTGCCGATAACAAACAACAAGATCCGAGCGATCAAGATCGATCCAGCGTTTTTCATCAGAAAATACAGAGCGCGCGCACACATACGCACGTATGTGTATGTACAAACATAGCCGCGCACACGCTTGCTTACGCATGAGCGAACGAGCGGGCGTGACGTAATCGCGCCGCCGCCGCGCTCTTGCTGCTGCTGCTGCGGAATACAGGAATTCGTTAAAGGCTCGATTAAAAATACAAACGCTGCTGCAAGAAGCCCGACACGCCCCTCGTCAACGATTGGAGGATATTCATCTTTATCGCGCACGTGGATCACACGTGGATCCCTCGCCGCGTGACGTCTTTTTTGAAATTCATTAACACTCGATTAATACAAATCAACTCGAAACGATTGGAAAGATCGGAGAGGTTTGATGTGAGAACAAATTTGAAAAAAAGCGCCGGCGTTCGAATCGAAGGATCCGAAGATCGTGACATGTAATAATTTTATTCTCTACGCTAATAAATTATTGAAATGAACAAAATTATTTTCAGACAAATCAGTATTAATATTATTAACTCGAATTTTCTACATTTGTTATAAATAAGCGGGATTTATATAGTTTAATCATTTTGCCCCGGATTTCAAATTTGTCGCAAAAATATTATTAAATTTGTAATCCCGACTATATTTAATTTTGAAATTTATTCGGTGTTAATTATGATTTAAAATATTAATTAGGCTTTTTGATTTAATCCGTTTCATAAATACACGTATTAAAATCGTAATTAAATACGGCTAGCTATTATTATATAATCGCAAGACATAATGGATATTTTCAAAAGTTGAAATTTTATTAATTTCTTTAATATTATCAAATAAAAAAAACTATATGAAATATTCAAAATCTCTATCGCGCGTTACATAACTATCAAATTTTCAGAGAAAATAAGGAATCCGTTAAAAGGAATGTAACAATCGCTCGAGGCAAGTTTTGTTGTTCACCCTCGCGCGCGTTTCGCAACTTTTGCTCCCTCGATAGATTAGCACGCGTCGCGCTCACCGTAGAAAGACTTTTTCGCGAATTTACGTTTTCGGATAGTTACGTTTCACAAAGCTGAAACGCGCGCTGCACCTCGTAATACCGCATATCCGCACACGGCTTGGCACCGTGGAAAAGCAGCCTTGACACAAACTGGCCTCAATGGGAATGAAAACAACGGTACTCCACTTCCCTCGACCCCTCGACACCCTCACCCTCGCGCTTCTGCAACACGGAAGAAACTGGCGCGTAAAGTCTCTCTCTCTCTCTCTCTCTCTCTGGCCTCCCTTTCTCTCCCACCGATACCGGATACCCTTTTACACTCGTTCGTTCTGTCATTATTCTTGTCCTTCTTTCTCCCGGTCCCATCTATCTCATCTCGCGCGCATGTATGTATGTACGTCACGATCGATAAAAACAATCTGTATCAATCGTGTGCAGAAACAAACAATACGAGTTTATCACTCGCGCGAGAAGCAACGATAAATTGGAAAATATATAGATTTGATGTTTGCGGAAATTTTGTTTTCGTACACGCGCTCCTAGTTCTGCTCCGTTATTTCTAGCTTTTATTAATTGGTTTGTGTAATTGAAAAAATTATAGGTGTTGTGTATTATATGTGAAACTTAGTTAGTAGCAAATAGTTATTAATATTCCGTCTTTTAATATTTTTTGTCAAACTGTTATCTATTTTTTAAATTCTTCAAAGTTTTTCTTATTGAATCATATACATGTAATTAAAAGATTTAGATTTTTGAGATATTACGACTCGATCTTATATTGCAATATTGAAAATATTTTTTGTATGAATGTTATAAATTATTTAAATTACAAATAAAAAATTCAAGATATCGATTCGATATTATATTGCAAGATTGAAAGAGCTTTCTTTGTACAATGAAAATTAAGAATAATTACTATTGTTATTGTAATAAATTATTTGAATTACAAATAAAAGATTCGAGAAATTATTTTATGTAATCTTGAAGGTAATCTTACTTGTTAGTTTCATAGGTTGTACTTTCAAATCTATCGATATTAATCTAATACGAGACAAGATATTTAAATCCTTTTATAATACAACTTTTTTATTTTCAAGTATATCAGATAGCATTAATTTAAATCTCTTTAAATTCTTAGACTGGAATATTTTGAATGTCTCTTGGAAAATCTTGAATTCTTAGGTTCGAAGGGTCCACAATTTTAATTGTCCCTTGATCTAAGAATATTATTATTCAAGAAAGTGATAAGATTTAACATTTTGTGTGAAATCTATAAATTACTCCTAATTTTTGCATAAAATTTACATATGTAAAATTCTGAAACCTATATTTTGACAGATTTATTTATAATTTTGATGTTTCTTTTTTTAAATGAGTTGATATCATTATAATATTGAAACAAATAATTAAAAGATATTATTAAAATTTTATATTTTAGATATATTACTAAATTTTATGATCAAAATCTTAACTGTTTAACTCTAACATTTTATCTCGATTTTTCTACATTAGACAATAATTTTTTTCAAAAAGAAATAATGTATGAGAGAAAATCTAATATCGTCAAATTATGCAATTTTTAAATTAAACCTTCTAGAAGCTTTGAGAAATATAATTACATTGCCATATAAGGACGCTTTACTAAAAAATATAAATAATTATATTGACAGAAAAAACAAGAAATCGATCACGACTTTACATGATTTTCAAAAAATTAATGCAGCAGTGCACGATTAATGATATGTTCAATAACATGAAATGTTCTTAGGCATTTCTTCACATCATTAAATACACAAGTAAAAACATGAACTGCATTTCAAACCTATCAATATTAATCTAATGAGACAAGATATTTAAATCCTTTGATAATACAACTTTTTCTATTTTCAAATATATCAGATATCATCAATTTAGTAGTATAACTCTAAAATATTCTTTTAATCAATATCTGTTCTTTTAATTAATTCTTTTAATCAATTATAAATAAATGCATAAATATTCTCTCTACATACTGTAAAAAAATATGTAACACATCACATAAAAATATATAAAAAAATTACACTTGTTTATGCAATTTTACATATATTGTTTTACAGTGTACAAAATATATCATCTCATTTTCTCTTCTAAATCCTTCTTCGCTAAAAAAAAAAGCCTAATAATTAGGACCGAACTCCGTATCGATCTCGCCGTATACCTGTTCGGAGCAACATCCTAAGGAAGGGAAAATCTCGGAAATCGCGTTCATCCGTCAACGTCACCTGGCATTTTTACAACGTTCGGACGGCCCTTTATACAGCGAAACGTCATCTCGGGGAGATCCATCGCACGTGACGCGGTGGTCTTTCGCGACGATTCCGTCGCGAGGGGATGATCCCTCCGCGGATGACGTCCCTCTACGGGAGTGCGGAGAGGGTTGACATATGCGGCGTTGCCGCTCGCTCGCTCGCTCGCTCGCGGAGAACAGCACGGGTTCATTGTCCCGCTTGCGCCCCGTGGTAGAGCGCCGTTTCCTCCCTTGGGCCGCGCCGCAATGTCGGCCCCGTCAGAAGCTCGTTTCTCCCTCTCCTTCTCACTGTATCGCGTTTGTGTCTCCTTTCTTCCTTCTTTCTATCTGTTAACTATCTATCCATCTATACATCTATCTTTCTCTCGCTCGCCCGTTCCCTTTCTCCGCGTGCGCGCACACATAAATATATACACATACATATATATATATATATAAAATATACACACAGACATGCATAGCAATATGACAGCGTCGCCGTCCGGAGATTCCGACTCGACTTACCAGTTGTCCAGCTTGATGAGCTCCTCGGGCTTTTTCGATTTGTGATCGGCCTTGAGTCGCAACGCCTGCGGATAGAGTTTGAATACGTGTTCGAATTGTGTCGCGGTGCCCTCCGCGAAGAAAGTCGCGGTGTCTTTCACGGAAGCCATTGCGATGACGCGGGTTTCGATCGACGGCCGTCGGGGCGCAGCACCAACGCCGCCTGCTGCCGCTGCTCCGTAAAACGCCGCGTCGTCCCCGTCGAAACCCCCCGCCACCACCACCGGGCGGCGTTGCCGTCTGTCTCTCTCTTTCTTTTCTCTTCTTCCTCTCTCTTCTCTCTCTCCTTGTCAGGAGGAATCCTACTTCACCCTCGGCTCACCAGAATTCCCTCACCAGTGCGGCGCGAGGAAGCGCGTCGCGTGGGAAATCGATGAGGGAGAGTCGCCGGGAGTCGGGACCCTCTTCTTCTGGTCGAGAAGATCCTCCGGAGAAGTATTCGTCGAGATAGGAGCGATGGAAAACAAATTCGCGCACTTTTTTCTTTTTTTGACAGTTCGAGTTCGCTCGCTCCCGAGTACAAAGTGACAGATGAGTGATGACGTCACGTACTTATAAAACGCGGAACGTTCTCCTCTCTCGTATCTCGGCACCGCACGACGTCTCGAGGGATAATCGCACTACTGTAGAGCACTCTTCTCCAACGGACCTCGCTCGACACTGGCCTCCCGGGTGGGGAGTCGGACGCGACGTCGCCAATAGGCGGCAGCACTGCTCGGGTTGCGCCTCTCTCTATCCCTTCCAACGGGTCGCGCCTCGTTTCCACCGAAGAGTTATCGTCGTCTCTCTCTCTCTCTTCCTCTGTCGCTCGCCGAATACGTCTGTCACGCTTTCTCGCTCCGTCCCACACTTGGGAATCCGTATCTCTCCCACTCTGGAGCTTCTTCCGTCTCTCTCTCTCTCTCTCTCTCTCTTGCACGAGCTGTCCTTCTTTATCAGCTTTGATCGCGTCTATGTATCTCCCGTATGCGTCTACCTCCCTTTTTCTGTCTCTCTCTCGTGCATGTACGCACTTCTTCTCTCTCTCTCTCTTCTCTTGTTCCGTCTCGCTCGCGCTTACGGGCCGCGAAATTCGGTCGAATACGCGCGACGACGTGCCTTCGACACCTTGTGGCAGTGTGTCGGAGTGTGTCGGAGGGGAGCGTGAAGAGATTCTCCACGAAGAGGCTCCTTTCTCTACGAAGAGTCGTCTTTTCTCTCTCTCTCTCGTCCTCGGCGCACTCGCTCTCTCTCTGACTTTTCGCACGCTGAAAATTATACAAAGCGTTTTAGAGAGATTCGCGCGTCTCAACCGGAATATTAATATATAGCCTCCGTAATTCTAATTCTCTCGCTCGTTCGATTTTACTCGCGTCGCCTGGCAGGCGTGTTTCCACGTAAGCGACTGAGGTTACGTCGCGCGACGACCGTGTCTCATCGACGACGGAGCCAGGAACGCGGCGATTGGTCGAGCGCTCTCTCTCTCTCTCTTTCTCCCCACCCCGTTTCCTCTCCGTCGTCGCGATCGCGTTTATCGAGTCGATATATTTCTCCTCTTCCACGCGGAAATATCCGCGCGCGGCCGGGAAAATTCACGGGGATGCATCATCGATACATTTCGAGGAGAGCGCGAGGACGACGCGCTTATCGGCTTCGAAAGGGCCTGCGTGTAACACGCGTGTAATAACGTGTATGTATGAGTGAGCGCTCGCTCCTTTTCTCCCTCTCATCGCTCGGGAAACGGGGACGCACGTAGGCAGCCGGCCAGCCAATCAGCGCGCGCGTAGCCGTAGTACGCGAGCCGGCCGCGCGAGGGCGCGCATGCGCGCGCCGCAGCTGGCGCCCCGCCAAGCCAGCGAGTTCCCCCGACTCTGGCGGTGACCCGCGCCCGACGTGCGAGAGCGAGAGGACGAGAGAGAGAGAGAGAGAGAGCGCATTCTCCCCTCGCGCACGTCCGGACGACCGCGTCTACCCGTCAGCTGCGCATTGGCGTCCCCTCTTCTTCGTCCTCCGCCGAGCCGAGCCTGGTGGAAATCAGCGGAGAGACGCGGCGTCCAGGGATGGATAAAATAACTCCGAGTTGTTTTCTCGCTCTCTTTCTCTCTGCGCTCTGTTGTGCTTGCGCTTGTGGAAAAAAAAGCACGGAGAATTTTATGATATATTTAAATATGCCCTACCTCTATCCTCTCTCACGACACGACGCTGACAAATTTTATTTTGTTACTATAGTAGCGGAATTGAGTTAATATTACATACTTGGTCAATTTCGAATATTCATGTATATATATATATATATATATATGTATCTCTTGTGTAAATGAGCCAAGCGAGGTGGTAAAGACGTGGGGAGTTTATTTTTGACGATTTTATATATATATTTCGAGTGTATAAATACGTATATAGGATACACACAATTTCTTTTTTCTCTTAATTATCGCAATTTTTGTTTCCCTCTGTTTTTATCAGTTTTGATTATATGTAAAACTGATAATGATAATTAAAATAAAAAAATAAAAGGTTTGAGAAAAGCTCGTATATAATTATTAGCTGATATATAAATATTGGAGCTTTCTCTTCTCTCGGCGTTACATACAAACCTTCTTCAGAAGCGTGTACTTTGTAACGGATGTCTCGCGACGAAACGCTCGACTGTTTCTGGCAGCCGCTTCGAACCGATTCTCCGGAGGGTGAATCTTACGCAGCTGCGTTCAGATGATACTCCGGTGCGCATTTGCCAAGTTTCGCCATCAGCTTGTAAGATAAAGACGTAGCGCGGCTAATGGGTCATGTTCTTTTGGGACATCCAGTAGAGCGTGCCGGACGGCAATCTATTAAAACAAAAGTACAGTCATATATTGTGCTTTAGTCCCAAAGTCACGTGGTTACATGCGATAAAGGAATGCAAAGAAAAAGAGAGAGAGAGATAGAGAGAGACTCAGTTTTCGAAATAACTTTTGTTCTTTTATAGAAGAATTGCAATTTCTTACAAAAGGTCAGAGCTACAACACAGTTTCTCAAAGGTCAAACATACAAGGAATGCAATTCGTAGAAGAAAAATTATGAATTTAATGGAAAACAATTTTAGATATCACATTAGAAAATGTTAGATAACATTTTAAATAGTTTCAGAGAAGTAATTAAAAAATATACGTATCGCAAGATTTTTATAATATATCATTGATGTAAAAAAATTGTTGGAAATATTTACTAAATAGAGATATAAGAAAGAATTTGGGTTTGGAAACTTCTTAATAACTTTTTTCAAAAATCTTTTAAAAGAACATATAAATTATATATCTAAAATACTTTTCTACTTTCGAAATTTATCGTTCGGGCCTGTGCAATCGTTGGGCCCCTCTATATATAGGGGCCTGTAATACGGGTAAAGTTACAACAGGAAAAAGGGCGATAAAGGTGAAGGGAAGTTTGGTTTTCCCAGGCACGTCCGTCTACGTTTCAACGCCCCGCTCTCTTCCATTCTTTTCGAAATAACTCTAGTGCGTGTCTCTAAATCTAAGAACTTGTCCGGATTGAAATCTAGTAAATTCCATCGCCCTTCGGAATACAAAACTCGAATATGCCTTTTCCTTTCTGTCCGCCAGACGGAGCCCCATTAAGCGAAGTGGAACGGAGCGAAGCGAAGAGAAACGATTGTGTGGAATATAGGCACAGGCACGTAGGGGCCAGACAGATAACCAAGCAGGCAGGCAAACAGACAAGCAGGCAGGCAGGCTGGCAGGCAGGCAGGCAAGCAAGCAAGCGAGCAGGCAGGCAGGCAAACGGGCTTGCTGGGTATAAGCTCTCCAACAACATGGCTGTCGGCTCACCGTTATGCGCCTCGTGCCCCCTATACAAAAGAGAAAGGGCCGCCGGTCGGTCCGCCCCCTCTTCTGTCCCTCGGGCGCTTGAAATTCAATTCCGGCACTGCGATTCCAGCGCTGTTGCCAGATCGTCCCTCGTTCGCTCGCACGCTCTCCCTTCTTCTCTCGCCACCGTCCGTTATCGAACGTTCGATTTACACGGCGCGCGCGGCGCGGGAAGATTTTCGTCGAGGCGATATAGCGGCGACTTTGCGAGGAAAATGCGGCATGACGGCAAGTCGGCGAAAATAGAGACAACTATGATAAAATATGAATATTAAGGGAGAGAAAGAGAAGGAAAAAGTATGCGATAAAATGTAGAAAATTAAACAAAATTACATACAACTATACGCAATAGATTAGTGTTAATCGTCGAGTCCTATGTAAGCTGGATCACATTCGTACATCCGGTTGATCTCTTTTTTCCCTCTTATTGCTGTAAGATTCCGTACAGTCATTTTCTTCCCACGCAGTCATTTTATCACAACGACGCAAAAGTCGTCAAATTGACAGAAGATTGACATCGATGAATATAAAGATGAACATTCGATTTCCGCTCGCAGTTACCCTGTAATATTGAATGAAAAAATATTAAAATATATACTTTAATATAAAAGGAAAAAAAATTTATTATCGAATAACTTTACATATATTATCTAATAACAAAATTTTGTTTGATTTTTGAGAATGCAGGTCGAAAATTATTACACACAAGAAACTCAAATGTATATTTTTTCATAAGTAAATAAGAATTATTTCTTCCCTGTTTTGCACACTATTGTTTTTTTTTTCATTTTAAACCACTTGTGTGTACAATGTCTCTTTTGTGCTGTTCAATGAATATAACGAAGCGATCGGCTTTTGTGAAAGACAGATCTGATTGATAGATAAATATACATCAATTACAAGCGATTGTTATCGATTCTTTGTATTTTCTGAATACACAGTCAGACATTTATTTCTATTCGTACCTTGAAAATGTCCAGAGAAAATACAAATTGCAAGTGTCAATCTTGCTAAACTTTCCAGGATCTGTTGTGTTGCTTATTGTTAGTGGAGAAGTACTCGTCCGACAAGCGAAAGTCTCTCGGATTCGATTTCCAGTTGTAGTTACTCTGAAATATTGAATGGAAAAATATTAAAATTTAATAAAAACTTTAATAAAAACGAAAAATCAAACTCACTCACTGTTAATTAAAATTGAAAAAAAACCGTGTTATACTATGTTTTCTGATAGGAACAAATATCTTGAATAAAATTTTGCTTGACTTTTAAAAAATGCAGGTCGAAAATTATGTGTGCATGCAAGAAATTTAAAGGTATATCTTTCCTCAAGTAAATAAGAATTTTAATATTTTTTCCCTGCTTTACAGTTTTTCATATAAAAATAATAATAATAATGGTCGACAAAATATCACGGACACTGTGTCAGACGAGATAAAAATTTCCGACTTCTTCAAAATAAACAAAAATCGAAGCAAAATAGAAAGTAGCTTGTGTCTTTAAAACGTAAAATTGATCAAAGAAGAAACGCATTTAAAGCTAAATATACACTATTTTTCATATTTATATCTAATATATATTTACATCTTTATATGTGTATCTTATATTTTAAATAAAATAATAATATAAGCTCAGAAATAAGTGACGTTTGGAGCTAAATGTAAAAAAATAAATTATATAACCGTCAAGGTAATTTAAAATAAATAAAGATGTACCAAAAAAAATTTCATATAAGTTTTATAAATAAAATTTTCATATAAATTTTCTATAAATAATTCAGAGATTATTTGTAAACCTATTATAACTTATCTCTTATCTCTTTCTATAGCTTTAATCTATATCTCTTTTTATATCTTTCGTATCTACTTTTTGTATTATCTTCATTCTTGCGATAAAGAGAGCAATCGCAAATTGAGGAAAACATATTGCAGAGAAAATAATGATTGATGAATTCAATAGCATATCATAATTTAATGCTAATGAGTTCTTTTGCATTTGACATTATAAGCAATGTCGCGACATTAGTACAACAAAGATAAGAGAATCAAAGGATTTCTGGATTCAAATAAATTCTGGAATAAAATAAATAAGAATCTCTTCGCAGGGGTAGAGAGAGAGAGAGAGAGAGATATGAATGCGTCATATGACGATTTGAAAAACGGAAAATCCTGTCGCGTCATTATAATATCGACATCGGAGAACGCGTCATCCTCGACGTCCGTGGCCTCCTAATGAAGAAGAATCGACAACATCCACGCGGCTCAAGAGGTATCGCGTAACTGCCATACGATTCGTGTGCCAACATCGCGCCGAACGTGATGCTACGCGAGGAAACACGTGGGTACTCATTCCATCTCTCTCTCTCCTCTCGCTATCTCTCTTTCATTCCTCCTGTATACCTCGTGACAATGTCGCGCCGCTCTGACGTGCGGTGCGGACACGGTCGAAGGAAGGCAGAGCGGCAGCGAGCGAGCGAGCTGGCGTGCGAGGAACGAGGCGCTTTATCGCGAGCCAATCCGAGCGCTATGACCTTGAGCCGCTTCAGAGAGAAATATATATTTAGCTGTGGAAGAGAGACGGAGCACGCGCATACATGTACACACACACACACACACACACACACACACACACACACACACGCGGAATGTGTTTGAGCTTCCAACCTCTAGCCGTTCCCTCCTCGGCCGCCCTGGCTCCGGCTCGCTCTCGCCTCTCCGACTTCGACAACGTGAACGCGGCGATCGATATTTATTTATTTACCATGAAAAGCGTGGAAAAACTCGTCGGTCTATGGATATCTCCGCGCTCGAAGGATATTTCAGGATCCAGGCGTTTTCTATTTCGAGACGATTCAATGTTCATTGGAATACAGAATGACGTTTTGCTGCGCTCGATGTTTTCTCTCATCGATGTGTCAAAAAGCTCATTTCGACGTTTATCTGAAAAGAATCGAAGATTCGAATTAAATTCCGATATTGTGCAATGTATCATATATTATTCTATTAAGATATTAAATTAATGTATTGTATATATGTAAACAATATATTGCAGTTTATTAAATAATAGAAAGATAAAATTGTCATGAATGTAACTGTATGTGAATATTGCGAAATATGATCAATGTTCAGTTAAACAATAATATCATTAAGAAAAATCTATAATTCAATTCATTTATGACTGTTCTTCAAAATAGAATTACTAATTATCATTATAATTACGATTATTATTATAATCAAATATATTAGAAAATAATAATAATTGTATAGAGTCATTTTGAACTTGATGCTACGCCATATAATTAATTTGATGAAAAAAACTATTATACATAAATTATAAGATCAGAGAGTAATACTTTCATTACATATTTATGAGATCAATATAAGTGCATGCAATATTGATGCGTTGCGATCGGTATTACCCTGAAATATCGTTTTGCAATAATTCTAGGATAGAGAAAAATATGTAGAGAGATATGAGCGCTACACGCGCTGGATATCTCGGCTGAGTGGCGGCGGCGATGACGAGTTGGAGAACGAAGAAGTTCGCCTTGGTCGCTGCGAAACAACTCGACGTAAGCGAGCGAGGAATACAGCCCGCGAGTTGCAGCGCGCGTTTTCTTACGCTCGGAAATGCGCTCCAAGATGATTGAATATTCCTGAAATAATTAAAATTACATATAAGTATATAATTATGCATAATAATATAATTTAGTAAATGTAAATTATTTTATATAAATTTTATAATAAAATTTAAATTAATTTTATTATAATCTATTATAATTTATTTAAATTTGATTATATAATTTATATGTATATATATACGTATATAATTCCAATTATTTAAGAAATATTCGATTATCTTATAGCGCATTTATACGAAAGATATGGATAGAAAGAGACAATTTTAATAGATTTATAAATAATTTCTGATTCGAATTGACGGAAGATTTATAAAACATACCAAAATTCCTTTAGTACATCTATATTCATTTGTTGTAATTAACTTGAAAATCATTTACTTGATTAATATTTCACTTTTTTGATACTACATATATTGCATGTATATGTCATTACAATATAGATTATTATTGATTTATTTAATATTATGTGGTTACGCTGCGCGTGTGTTCACATCTATTATCTGTTATTATAATTATTCAGAAATGAGTCCCCGTGAATCCCAAAATTACTGTGAATATTTTCTCTACACACAGGAGCATAAATTGAAAATGGTAATCGATTTCCGAAAGCAAAAACCTTTCTGCGAAATTGAAATCAAGGACTTATTTGTTAAAGCTATTAAGCCTCGACGTTATTATTGGATAATAATGCTTTGTTTTTTATTTAATGCACTATCAATAGTATTATCGTAACAAGATTGTTGTTTTTCAATCATAATCACTATCTTTTTTTATTATCTAAAAACATGAATTAGTTGCTCTGAAATATAAGTTTCAAATTATGCAATAATTTTACAGACTGATACGTATTAAATCTTGTTTCAACGAAAATTCAAATTGATATGGATTTGCAAGATTATTATTGTGTTTCACGAAGAGAATAAAAAGTTTAGCTATATATACTAATCAATAAAATCCCTCTCTCAGTTTCTATCCTAGCAATTTATATTTTATTTATTTGATAATGTTCTATCTTGTCAAATGAATTTTCCAGAATCGAATATTATGCAATATATTTAAGAGAGGTATCTCAAAAGAATCAAGCTTTAGGACAGAATCTGTCAACGAAGAGAAGAGTTCTATATCACATTATAATATATAGTACATTATACGTATATGCAAGTACGTTAATCATTGTTGAAAAAATGACTTCACTTCTTTCATCCCGCAGATAAAAGCAACGTGTTACACGAGATACACGAGAGACAGCTGTCCAGCATTCGGATGTAAATCTCTTTTCCACGATTTAAGGCCTCCCGCGATAAGATTGTCATTCATGCATCGTGAATCAGGGACTTTATTTTTAGACCGGCGTCTGAATGAAAGTGGAGTAACCCGTCGTAGTATAACAAGAATAGAAGGAGAATAAGAGAGGAGAGAGAGAGAGAGCGCGAGAGAAGGAGGAGGAAAAGGATGAGCAGAGAGCGAAAGGGGAGAGACGGGGGCAAGGGTGGCAGACGCTTCTGGGATCCCGCGAGTAAATCGTAGTAGATCCTCCGCACACGTGACTCTCTCTCATCCCTCTCAGCCCCTTCCGCCATCGCCTTCCTCTCTCGTCTCTTCGTCGAACGTGGACACGCGAGACACGCGGCCAGACGTACGCACGTGCGCACTCGGACACGTTCGGTTTACCTACGAAACCACTGGCGGCAAAGAGAGAGAGAGAGAGAGAGTTCACGGGCGGCGATACATGAAATGATCGACGAGTGACGTGCGACGACGGCGCGTCGCCGGCGAATGACGCGTGGGAGCCGAAAGCGGAGATATATATGTATATGTGTATACATGTATGCAGCAGCATGTACACGACACGTAGATATATATCTCTGCGTGCATCGTAATGTTAAACGGATAGATATTACGTAACGTGACGCAAATATAATATACACAGTGTCCCATAAAGGCGCATTTCGTTTAAAGTATAACGTTACACAACAAACGGATGATGCATTGCGTGAATTGTTCGTTGACATTTTTGCGTGCCTGATCACGAATTTTCGACGGTACATTGAGAAAAACATGATGGTTGTACATAAATTAAATGTATGATTAATAAAGGTATTTAAGAAGATTGCATTTTGGATAATTAATTAAAAAATAATAAGGATATTAATGATTAGTTCGACCATATACTGGTTCTTATTAATATTATTCGTCTTTATTAGGTATGAATGTCTTAGCGACATGTTAAAGTTCACAGCGCTTGACATATCATAATTTATATCTCTATATCTTAATGTGGCATATTAGAATTGTTTTAACACTTGAAAAGGACCTAAATTTAATTAATAATATTAATAAGAGTCAGTATGTGGTCGAACTAATCATTAATTTCCTTATTATTTTTTAAATTCTCTCTGGCGAAGAATACAAATCTATTAATTAATTAAAGTTTAGAGACGAAACTCTGATATGCAGTATAGTTAATTTTCACTCTCAATTGATTTTCTAAAAAAGATTTTCAAATACGTTTGGGCTTATCAATAATTTACTCCGTTTACTACACTGAGAGTTTGGAACTTGATTTGAACATAGACTATCTTCGACGGATTTCTTGATATGAATTATGTAGGAAAGAAAAATCTACAACACAGTATAGACCGCAATAATAGATAACTACGCAGTCTATACTTTCTTACTTCCGTATGCAAAAACCACATGTTCTATACTTCTGGTTCTCTAAGAGTTTCACGTCTTATATATTTTCCTATCTTATCTATAAAAAAACTGCAACGCTTTGCCATAATATTGTTAAAACAACTATTCTTATTTCTTTAAAAGTCTATCTTCCTATATACTATACAAATTCAAAGCTAAATCAAGCATTGCACTAAAATTTACACATGTATAAATTTCCTAGAAAAATAATGAACGTATAAAATTTGAAAAATCATGATGCAATGCAGTAATTGCCCATTAATGTCCGCTACGATATAATTTTCGTACAGTAATATCTCAAGTATGGTACGTTGACTAGAGAATGTATATCCTTAATGTAGTCATTAGCGTAATATTATTACGGCGCAGGTATACTCGGTAACGAGATACGTTCCTCGCGAAGTCGAGGAGACAAGGAGTCGAGGTGGAGCTAGTCTGGTTGCACGTCCTCTTCCAAAACTCGATCGCAATCTCCGACTTTTCGGTCACCCCGTAGAAGCGGAAGAAACAACATCCAGCAACAGAGTGTACAGTGACACACGCGCCGTGCGAGCGCGCGATTCAATAAGTGGCAGGCAAGGATCATTGACACCGGCGTGCGGTGCCGCGTGGCCGCGAAGGTTGTACTACGATGTTTACGGTTTAATTCGAGATATACTCGAAATGTCACGTGTGCACGCGCGGCGCGTTACACGCCGCCGGGAAATGCGCCGGGAAAGGTTGCGGGAGGGAGGAGGATCCGGAGGAGGAGGAGATGCACGGAGAGTGCAAAGATCGACGTGCTGTCGCACGCGGAGAGTGAGTCACCGCTGTTACGTGCATCATCCCCTCCCCCTTTCATCTCCCCTATCCCCCTTTCACACCCCCTCGCCACGTCGTTCCTCTGTGGTCCTACCCTTGTCCTCTCCTCGCCTCGACGACAACACCGGGTCTATCGTTCGCGGTTCTATCAACTGGGTCAGTACTGTTCGCCCACTCGTTCCCCTTGTTTTCAGACGATAGCAGAGATCAAATTATGCTACGATTATCAGAAAAGTACATATATATAGAAAATATATATATATAATATGTGATGCGTGTGATATAATATGAAGTATAATAAATAGCGAAGCTCTAGATGAGACAGATTTTTGTTTTCAAACTTAAATCCTAATAACTTAAGTCAAATCAGATGATAGAACTGATGTGAAATTTTCTGAAAGAGCTAGATTCATATTTTTGACTGAAACAGAGTTTAATTTTTTTTCTCTCTCCTTTAGCAGTAATAAAATATAATTTGTTGTTTGAATTAAATATAGAAATCTACATTTTTAGATCCTGTGTCAATTTTGTTAGATTTATCAAGTAATTAACTTGATGCAACTATTTTCTGTATATTTTTGCACAATAGAATTCTTACAATAGGCATAAGTGAATTGATGTTTATATGAATTTTGATTGCTCTTACACAGATATTCACGTGAGAGAAGATTATATAACGTCATTAATTGTGATCCAGAAATCCGCTTCAGTCAAAAACACTATTAGATTTTACGATTCATAAAAGTTGGAATTGAGAGATCTAAAATCAAATATGATGATAGAACTCGAGTAAATAATTATAAGATGACATGATAATAGGAAGTACAGTAAAAATTATAATATAAATTAATTTAACTAATAAAAATATATAACAGAAAATTATTAGAAAGCAAGCAAAAGCAATTTTATAATTAAATAATTATCAGTCACATCGATGTCAGAATGTCATCTTACAATCATCTGTTAGATATTAAAATTCGCAAGATTAAAAGTCTCCTTACATTTTCCTGACATTCTTATAATCGGAATTTTTTCTGAATATTTCGTGTTGCTATTTTTATCGCAAAAAGTCAATTTTTTTTAGCATTTCGAATTTACACTTTTGTACATTTGTAGAAACTGAAACGCCAATTGTCTCTTTTGACATTCGAGTTTCTCGAAAGAAGAATAAAAAAAATTCGATCAAAGCGGTTTGAAACGATGTGAACGCGACTCGTTCTCATGCAACGTGCGTGCTCGAGTATGATACACCCGGAGTTTGCCTCGTCATGATGTGTCGCAAGTCACGCAACGCGGTTTCTGCGTTATAACCACGAAGTTTTACAGCAATATATACACGCCTAGAGATTACTCTTCTCCCCTCCTTCTTCTCGCATAACGATCGCAGCAATTTCAACATTCAATAAGTTACAGGAAGATCTAAAGAAATTAATATAATTTTTATTAATATAAATTTGATTTTATCAAGCTTTTTTAATTTCACTCGAGAACCGTGTATAAATTTAATTTTCCTCTAATATGAATTATAAAAAGCGACATTTTTTGTAAAGTATAAAGTTTATAAAATCAGGTTTAAATTAAAAAGTCAATGTTAACCAAAAATTATCTTTTGACAGAAAAAAATATTAAAATGTATAAAAATAGATGTACAAATATGTACAGCATTAAAACGTAAAAATTAGAAACATTATTAATAAATTTACTTTGCAATATTTTTTCAAATGTTTCTGATAATATATCTGACATTATTAAAATATTATAATATTTATCAGAATATATATACATATATATATATATATATATATATATATATATATATATATGTATATATATAAGCGTCAGTTTTGTGCATTGATTAATGGTTAGAGGAATGAAACAACTTTTTTGAAAACAGGCAACATATTTTTCCACTCGCATGTTCTTGGAGAGGAGATAGTGATAATCTTTTCTAAACACTTCTGAGTAATATAAGATATAATGTCAAATTGATCTAAAAGATGAAATCTCTTTAGTTTCTCTTTTTCTGTGCACGAAAAAGACAAAGATATAAAAAGATACATATATAGATAGATAAATAGAAATATTTATTGATATTTAAAAAAATATTTATAGCCCTTCTTAATATTTTTTCAAAAAAATTAATTGATTTTGCTTGTTCCTTATATATTCGCATTTCGTCTCTATCGAAAAACGATTTTCTAACATTGTGATTTTGATTTAAGATTCGTGTTACGCAATCCATAATTCATCCGTTTGTTGTGAGAAACATTACTATCAATTTTTAAAAATTCTAAGTATATAAAGTGCTGTTATACCTTATATATTTTGCGTCAGCCTGAAATGTCCGAAGTCAGAGGAAAAACACATTAGCTGGCTCGCTTCCAGGACGGTCCGCGAGAGGTCGGTCTTTGATTGCGCCTTGCGCAAGCCGTCCTACGCGCTGAGAACGCGGCCAGGTCGTGCCGCCGTCGTCGTCGCCGCCGCTGGATTTGATGACGTAAGAGAATAAAAGCAGCACAAAGACTTGCTGCTTCATTAGCGCAAACTGTACGGCATCCCCCGGATGATCGAGCGCGGCGCAATCTTTGTCCTTTGACTCCGGCATATGTTTGTGAATCGTCGTCGTCGATTCGTCGAATCGTCGTCGCGATCGCTGAATTATTCACAAACTCCCGTTCCCTCGTGCGTCGTAACATCCTTGAATAAGCAACTATTCGAATTTTACGATCGCGTTAAATCTTCTGCTTATTTGGATTTTCCAGATTTTAAGGCACTGATAAGAGCCAAGGAAACACTAGAATAAGATAAAATAAAATTAATATATAATGTTTTTAATATATATTCTAAATAAAAAATAATCTAAATAATATATATTTAATGTTTGTTAAATAAACGAATATTTATATTTTATGAAGAATTCAATTAAAGTTATTTCTAAAAAGTTCACTTTTATTTTTAAATCGATTAAATATTTATATGTTTAATTTATATTTTAGTGCAGTACTTATACAGTCGAGTTTTAAGTTTTGCAACGCGATGCAAAGTTATATTGCAGCTGCACCTGGCTTGTACCCGTGCAGGTGCTTAGGAAAGTCTCACAGAGAGGACACGTTTCTCCTCCCTACATTTTTATAGACCTTTTATTACAGAATAACTTTAAAGCACCTGACAGCATTTCATCTATTTAAATAATATTCTCTACAAGAAAATTAGTTCTTTCAAGATTATATGTATATTTTTGATTTTAATCGTAACATATTTCCATTCTTTGGCCTTAGGATTAAACCTTGCAATTAAAAAGATTGTTCATTAATTTATTTACTTTATAATATAAAGTATTAAATTCTTTCAAATATATATATAATATAAAAACTCAAAATTTATATATATACATAAGAATTAAACATTTTTTACAATTCTTTTGTGTAAAATTGAAAGTTGTCTTTCAACTGTATTCACTCTAATGATTTTTTCATTGTCGAGAATCGCTCTCAAGAGCAATACTTTCAAACGTACTCTCGGCATCCTTTCAAATAGATACAGTCTTAGAGAAAAGATGTGGAAATACGTTACGATTAAAATCAAATAATATTTACATATATATCTATATAATGATTTGTACATTGAACAAAGTAAACGGAAACTTTGAAAAATACGATTCTCGCGAATGTTTAATCCGACTATAATTTAGTACGATTATTTAAACTCCTTTGCAAATTAAGAAGCGAGAATCATTTATTATTCAGTCTCAGTGTTAAGAAGCTTATAAAGTTCAAGATTCCACGAATGATATGAGCGAGGAGAATACTCGAAAATTCAAGAGCGGAGATTTTCAGGAATGCCGAGGTTCTCGCGAACCTATTCGATGTCCAAGGACTCAAACATCCGTGACCGAAACGGCTGACGAGTTTGCACGAAGAACGCAAGACGAATGCCTACGTAAGCGCGAACGGAGCAGGCTTCGCTTGCATTTCTCGGTCCCCTCCTAACTTGCATCACGCCTGACCGGAGGACGGAAGAGGAAAGCGCGGAGGTGGTTGCAGAAGCTAGTGGAGGAGAAGGGGGATGAAAAACACCTGTTACGGACTTCCGTAAACACGAGGTGTTCTGTTTATTTTCGTACTACGTCGCCTGTTTCGTATTGCATTAGAATCACATACCTATGTTTATTGTCACATCATCCGGATCGCCTCGTCCTGCTTTGCCGACCGCCGCTTTTCAAGATGCCGCCACCTTCCGGTCTTTCGATTGCCGTCGTTCTTCCTCTCCGCCGTCGCGTTCTTTCACATATTTTCAACTGCAAATTATAAAATTGTCTAAATATTCTAAATTAAACGAATTAAATTATTTTTCATTAGTGATTATTGCTTGAAAAATCGAAATCATATAAAGTTGCGTGAATTTAAATATAAAAGAAGTAATATATATATAAATTTTTAAATATAAATAATAAATTAAATTTAAATATAAATATATATAATATAAACAAATATATGATTAAAGCAAATTTGAATAATCTGCAAAGAAATGTACTTTCTACAATTTTCGTTTATAATTATATTCTACTAGTTTCATGATTCGTATAAAATAAACTTACTACCTTTTTTATCAGAAAATACAGGCTATATTATGATGGATATATATAATTATTAGATCGTATGTTTTTGCATCGAGAAGACTTCTTGGAACAGTAGTTTCGGCTTCCACTTGCGATGTATATTTCGGGGAATCGAAGATTACAGATAGATATCCTGCATGACGTAAGGTTAGGTTATTATAAAGTACAGCGAAGCCCCAAGTGCACGCGCGAAATTCAAAATTTATATAAGAGCCAATTTCACCTCACCAATTGCGATTAGATGATTCGACGATTGAAACTAGCAGGGTGGCCAATAGACATGGAAATATTCGCAGACATGAATTTGGCCATCCTGCTAATTTTAACCGTTAAATTGAATTATTTTTATTCAACCAAACTTGATGAATATTGGCCTTGAGAAATATATGTTATAGCAATATTATATTCATTGGAATTTATGAAAAGAGACAAAGTTAAAGACTGCTTTAACAAAATAGTAGGATGACTAAAAACTGCATCTCTAAGATATTATTATATCTGTCTATTGAACCCTAAGGACCAGTTCCAACTCTTGATAAGTTTTACCCAACAGGTAGCATATCTTCGTCTCTGTTTAGAATTTATCTGACTACCTGTCGGGTCGTAAAACTTAACAAGAAGTTGGAAAAATCGGTCCTAAATAGTATATATTTCATCGTTTTTCTCAGTTTTATTTATACATGTATAATATATATATATAAAAATCGAATGGTATGAGATTTTAGCAGCTTAAGATAGTTCGGAAAAAAGCGAGCTAGGCCTACCTTAGTTTCATTTTGCATCTAGTTTTACGATTATTCTTATAATTACGCGAGCAATAGACGGAGCAAAGTTTCCGTCGCGAGTAAACGACTTCTCGTACGGTTTGACGCAAATTTCCCAGAACCATTCGCGCGTGCCATTACCTCCTAATTTCTCCCTCCGACGTTCGTTCGAGTTCCGCCTCTCAGACGTCACGAGACGGCTGACGTAAGCGTGAAAAAAAACTTTGGAAAGTTCCTGTCGTTCGGGGAACGAATACACGTTGCGTGCAAACGACACAACGGTTCCTCGTATACTCCTATCCCTCCACTTGCGCAGGAGCGGTCACGTGACGTCGCGCGAGCGTCGGTCACGTGACCTCGCGCGTGCGCGGTGACAGCCGCGCGGCTGCGTCGCGTTCGGAGATCGGCCTGTCAGTCGCAGTCGCGAGCCAGCGACCAATCGGAGCGGGAGGAGCGTAGCCTTGCGATTGGTCGATCGAACTCCGTCTCATCCGACGTGATGAATCTTCGAACGTAACCTAAATTCCGAACGCGACCGAGTGTCGTCGAATCTCGCCGAGTGGAACAAGTGTATTGCTTTGGCAGGAACCAGCGATGAACTGTCGCGACGGTGCGTGCGATCGCTTTTGACAGTTCGTGGGACGCGTAGAGGATCGAGGAGGATAGAAAATACGATGTCGAGGCTCTAATTCGGGGTTTATAAAACGCGAAATCGGAACGGAGTGAATTTTAATAAGTGTATACGTGCGCGTTTGGGATTCCTGTGTGCGTACATAATTTACACACGCATACACACCTATATATATATATATATATATTACACAAATACAATATCCTTATCCTTCGATCGACACCGCCCGCCTGGACAAAGGACGGTGACGTCGGTGTCATCGTGACAAGAAGCTCCAAAAGTATCTCCCCTCTCTCTTTTTCCGTACATATCTATATAAGTCCTCTCTTCCTGTGCTTTGTGCGCGGTCTTTCGCTTCCTCCAATTTCCTTTCGTATCGCCCTCTCGCTCTAGCAAGGCATCGCATACATATATATATATATATATATATATATCGGTGCCTTTTGCATACTATTCATGAGCTAAATACACGCGTGCTATTGCGTGCGGCGCGACGAAGGTCTTTTCTTCGTCTCTCATTCTCTCTTTTCCTGTTCTTCCTTCTCCCTCTCTTCCTCCAGCGTACTCCCTCGCGCCGGGACGTAGCACTTCGTCCTGCGTCTCGCTACGGTGCGGAATAATCGTACGGAGTGAGCGCCCTCTCGCTCCCTCCAGCAGCAGAGCAGCGGACTCGTCGTCGTCGTCTCCGATTTCCCGTCTCTCGGACGAAGAATGGAGGCGATAGCGAAGCACGACTTCACGGCCACCGCCGAGGACGAGCTCAGCTTCCGCAGGAGCCAAGTCCTCAAGGTAAGGTCCTCCGCGAGAGACGATGACCTGCCCTGTCCTTTCCACCACCCTCCCACCACGTCGTCGAGCGTGCGTGTCCGTCACTCGGTTACCGAGTGGACGAGGTGCGCCCGCGTAGCGTCACGAGACTTTTCCCGATAGACCCGAGGCTCTGTCCACTCTCTCTCTTTCTCTCTCGGTCTCTGTCCGTCACATGCGGTTTTAGAAGCGTCAAGCTAATTGTTATTGTTGCATACGGATATGTATACGCTCGTTGAGCTGGAAAACTGTTGCGCCTGTTCGAGAACGTTCATAATGTTTTTACGTTTAGGCGATAACAATTTTGTTATTGTTTGGGCGAAATATTGATGATTATCTCAATGTCGAATAATATGTTGTTTATTTGTTATATACACTCGAACTTTCTTGCATTTAAAAGTATATGTATTCGGGGGCAAAAGAAGAATAGAGACAAAAGTAAAAACACTTGAGGCTAAAGTGTAAGCAGATGTATTGTATTTTTGAATTTGTTGTAAACTATTTTGAAACTTTGCTCCATGGATAAAAATAGAATGGTAATTGTGACTTGACTTCAGAAGAAAGAATTTTTTTTAAAGATTTCTTAGGATAAATAGTTAGCGATGAAAAAAGATCCACAAAGTTTCTATAGAGAACTCAATGATTTATAATTTCAAACTTATTTTATGTTGTCTGATTTTTGTTTTACATTGCAAACACTGTTTAATTGCTGTGTTCTCGATGATATAATATTCTATTTTTATATGTAATGTTCAGATATATCATATATTTAATTTACTAAGTTCTGTATTAATATATTTTATAATTATTAGAAGCTATATTTAGTTTTTGAGGGCAGAAGAATTCATAAGCAACCAAAAGATAGATAAGATAAATCGAAAAGATAAATAATTAAGTAAGAAAATAAGTAAAGATAGTAATGTTTTTTATAAGCTTCATTTTTCACAAATATGTTACTTATAATTATTAATTTTTTTCTTTTTTATTTGCATTTGATTAAAAGCTACATAGTTTTTACTTGTTAATATTTGTTTTTAAATATTTTTTGGGGCAGAAGAATTTATAGGAAACCAAAAGATAAGATAAATCAAAAGGATAAATAAGGAAATAATAAAAGATAGTAATGTATTTTATAAGCTCCATTCTTCACAAATGTTACATATAATATTTTTTCTTTTTTATTTGGATTTAATTTAAAGCTACATAGTTTTCACTTATTAATGTTTGGTTTTAAATATTAAAGTAAAAATATTTTTTTGATGTACCACATAATACATATATCTATGAATTTATGTATAAAAATTACTATTACTTTTTCTATATGTATATAATATAATTTCTATGTAAAATGCATTTTGCAGATTCTGAATATGGAAGATGACATGAATTGGTACAGAGCTGAATTAGATTCTAGAGAAGGGCTTATACCAAGTAATTATATCGAGATGAAGAGCCATGAGTATGTATTTCAAGTATTATGTATGCATGCTATATATATAATATATATTAAAATGTATCTGAACTGCAGAAAAAACTTTGTTTAATAAAGAAACATGTAAATTTTTTTTTTTTTTTTCATAATTTCTCTTCATAGAAATTTACTTATGATGTTATATAGCTTTAATCACATACAGAAAGTATTTTCTATGTATTTTGTGTGTTTAAAGTTGGTACTATGGAAGGATAACCAGAGCAGATGCTGAAAGATTATTAATGAACAAACATGAAGGTGCCTTTCTAATCAGAATCAGTGAAAGCTCTCCTGGTGATTTTTCCTTATCTGTAAAGTGAGTATTTTTGTTACAATACAATAAACATGTATAATATGTAATTATATTTGGTTAAATAACTACAATTTATTATTAAAATTTTTCAATGAAATGGCAGACTTACATTATAAGAACTTTTGTATTATATGAAAGAATATTACAAATTATCTATATGTGATAATTAATTTTGTTATTAATTATTAAATAATTTCATTGAAGAAAATAAACAACTGTGTTATGTCTGCAGGTGCTCCGATGGTGTGCAGCACTTTAAAGTATTAAGAGATGCACAGGGCAAGTTCTTTCTATGGGTTGTCAAGTTTAATAGCCTCAATGAACTGGTAGAGTACCATCGTACAGCATCTGTTTCACGCTCGCAAGACGTTAAGCTGCGTGATATGATCCCAGAGGAGGTAAAAACAAATGTTGTTTTGTCGGAACATTTAATTCATAAGAAATATATAAAACTTTTAAGAAAAGTATCTTAATTATTTTGTTGTCATAATTGTTGGCATAAAAATGATTTGTATCATTTTAGTGTTTGGTGCAAGCGCTCTATGATTTCGCACCGCAAGAACCAGGCGAGCTAGAGTTCCGACGAGGGGACGTAATCACTGTCACAGACCGCACAGATCAGCATTGGTGGCACGGAGAGATCGGTAGTAGACGAGGACTGTTTCCGTCTACCTATGTCACGCCATACCACTCCTAGGTAAGAAATCGATACATCTATTCTAATATGTGTGTGTGTGTGTGTATATATATATGTAATTTCTTCTATTTATAAATTTAGATGAATTATAATTTGAAGATAAAGAAAACACATTCAGACAAATAATATTATATAATAAAAAACCTTATTTGTAGTTTTTGCATTCTTGCTAATTAATATATCTCTTCTCACATGTATTTTTCTATAATATATGTATGTCTAATTTAATTATTAATGTAAACTTTCAGGCCTTATACGGTCGAATGCACAGAGGCCGTTATTGGGAACAGCGGCCGTCTTATCCCACCACTATCACTTACAGGATCCGAATTGCTGCGGATTTGATAAACAATATTTTGCAAACCTCACCTATCGAATGGGCCGCTAAAGTGTATTGGTGGTCTCGCCGAAAAGTCTTCTGAGTATAAACACGATTAAGTGTTTATATATTTCAACACCAAGAACGTACCGCAGAAGGATAGTTGTCACGTTTATTTGAAAGAAGACAGAAAAAGAAACGATACTACATCGAAACGTCCGAGATACAACATCTAGGATTTAAGAATGATGACGTGCATATTTAAAGATGTCCGACGATATCCGAGGATCCAAGGAAATAAGAATGCGTTTACGACTGTGTTTTGTCTAGGGATCTAAAAACGCCTAAAAGATGCCTAAGGATCTAAGGATTTAAGCATTTATAAAATTCTAACAAAAACTGTATAATGATCCTTTCTTTAAGAGAGTTATCTAAGTATCTATGTATATCTCCAAGGATCTAAGGGTCTCTAGAGCGCGATCTCTACCTACGACGGAGTTCGCGTTCAAGAATAATCATATATGTACATTTTTGTTTTCTTTTTCTTTTTTTCCTTCTAAACTTTCTTTTTGACGATTCTACGTTTTCCTTACTTACGGCGTAAAGCACAAAAGTTTAGTAGCATTATTGTGTAATTATTATCTTTTATGGTTATTATTATTATGACTATTAATGTGTTATGTTACATTTTATTGATAACAATATATTATATTAATTATGGCCGCGTGTACTTTGTTTATTTGTGCCCAAACGGTATCGATTATGCTCTTTTGAATAGTAGCGTTACGAGATAACACGCTATACTATACCGGTAGCGTTTATCTCGTAACAAGTATAACGAGCGATCAGCCGGTCTGCTCGTTTAACGTTAGTGTGCCATTTGGGAGATTTCCTGTTGTACGCTTTTAGCTTTATCAAGCGACCGCGATAAATCCTAGAAACGGAAACTCGCGATTCACGATCAATATCTTCATTCCGCCGGTTTTAATGATACTCGACGTTTGTCCTTTATAATTAGAGAAATCTCAAGGCACTAGAATATATAATTTAATATTAGATTCGAAAGGATTAGAGATTCTAGTAGAAATTATGTAGCAAAATTTAAATTTGGGGATTTTGTCGAAAGTCTCGATGTTTATAGAATCCAAGCATGTCTTGTGACTGTGTCATATCTTTTTGAATCAAGAAAATTAAGTTTGCAATTGATTGATTATTTAACTATGTTAATGGACTGTTGATGGATTACTTAATTACATCTTCGACTTAAATCATGTGCAAACTAGAGAATATTATTGATAAGAAAAACAGATAAGAGAGAAAAAGACAGTATATTCAAACATATTTTACGACCAAATGCAATTAGATTCGAAAAGACGTATCTACTATTGGTAGAATAAATATCACCTAATGAATTTAATGTGATTATTTATTAATCAATGAATTAACCAAATTAAAATTGCTCCAAGAAGAAAATTCAGCTATAAACTGATACACCTCTACTTCAAAATGTACTATGAAGCATAATACTTTTGGACCAAGCATGTATAATAATAATAATAATAATAATAATAATAATAAAGAATAACGAAGCAAATGTTTACCCAAGCCTGGCGATCGTGAGCAAATCGATTGCGAGTCGCGTTCTCTTTTGTACGATTGCTGTTTCTATTGCTAATGAACTTAAGCTGTATCTCTTAATATTGACTATAAGTGTGAGCTGATAAAAACTGTGCAAGCATCTCACGCATGTAATCGCCGTGCGACACAAGTGCATTAAAATACTACTGAAACTTACAGAGAAGATAAGAAAAAAACGGCGTATACATAAATATGAGAATCATAATTATTCACTGCTGATTGTATGATGTTTTGAACACTTGGTGCCACAGTTTCTTACATATAGCAATAACATCGTATAATACAATTGTAGTTATTATTAGCGCGATGGTGTAATAAAACAGATAGGAGATGATACGCCATTATAAAAATGCTGGTACAATAAATGGCAAATTTCGAACTGAAGTGTTTAATCTTATCTTTAATCTGTGAAAACTTTTGACAATTCATCTTTAATGTATTTTTCCCCAATTCCTTCCTTCAGCAAACTAGCCTGTAGGATATGTATCTCCCTGCAGTCTCTGATGGCCTAATAATCTTGACAACTTGTCCACGCTTCAGACCAAAGTATCGTGCTACTGGATCCCCAGCTTGTATTCTCATTAATTGATTCTCCTTCAGTTTATATCTCGTCAACAATTCTTCTTTCTCGTCCGGAGTTAAAACAATGTGCTCAGGTACCAATTCATGTTCAGTAATATTGATCAATAATTCAGACTCCAGGAATTGTTCCAGTATATACTTTGGTGCCATGTCTACCAAAGATTGCTTGGCGGAAGGTGTCATGCCTTGTTGAACTACAATAATCGCTCTGTAAACACCACCAAAAATATCTTATTATTCCTTCTATGTATTAAATATAAAAGAAGTAATACAATGTCTAATAATATTCAGAAGATTAATTAAAATTAGTCATCAATAATTAATAATAATTTCTTAAAAACTGTCATTCCAATTTATGCTTTAACTCTTTTTTAAATAAATATTACATATAAAAACATAAACATATTTTAATATATAATGATAAATGATAAAGAGTAATATAAAATGTACTGCAACATCTGTAACAAACCCACCTGTGAATCTTTTCCTCTTGCATTCGCTGACAATAGGTCTTTATAGTTTTGATGCCAATTTTTGGCTCGTCTGGAAAGAAGACAAACAATTGATCGGTAGGATCGTCATTATGAGCTACTAAAACAATAAGATCGCTCCTAGCCGGTCTCTTTTCACTCGGTTTATCACCGAATTGATCCTTAAATTGCTCCAATGTTTGATCCAATTCATCCTGCGTTACGAGATAACCTCTATCGTGACAGAGCTGCATTACCGTTTTTCTAATGCGCCATAATTTATATGTCTCGTCCTCGTCATCCATATCGACGTAGAAATTATGCCAAAATTAACCTGAGGAAAATTGGACACAACACAGAGCTACAAACACAATTGTTTGATTTTTCGCAACAAATTTGAATGGAAAACAATTCCAAGCTCTCGTGGTATTTTCAAGCGCATGCGCAGTAATGTTGAATAATTAGGCTTATGTACGCATGAAAGTATCTAGGAATAATTTTAATTCATCGCGATTCAATTTGTTTATTTATTAATTTTATGTAATCTTATCGAAAAAATTCGCCTGATATAAATTGGCGAAACTTGCAAAAAAAACTATTCATTAATACACTGATAAATATGGAGTAATAGAGTTAAAATGCAATGATACGCGGTTTCTAATACTCTCGAAAATTCATTTCTGAATGATTAGGAGACCAGAATTTGCGAGGAAGTCGATAATTCAGTTTGCGAACGGTATAGCTTGGAAAATTTGATTTTGAATGACTAGGAGAATATATTTGGCAAAGAGGTATGCGATCGATCCGAGGTAAAGCAGCTTTAAATCCTGATTGGTGGAATCGCGGACCAATGGGAAACGATTATGCTTGTGATTGGTCTGTTAAACTACGCCTCTGGCCCTATTGGTTGCGATCCAGCCAATCAGGATAGATTATTTAAAGATGCTCCCTCCGGATTTTTCGAATACTTCTTTGCGAAATATATTCTTCTAGTCATTTAAAATCTAATTTTCGAGCTATATCGTTTGCGAACTGACGATAAGTCAAGTCGATAAGACTTCCTCGCAAATTCTAGTCATCTAATAATTCAGAAATAAATTTTCGAGAGTATCAGTAACCGCGTATCATTGTACTTTAACCTTATTACTGGCCATATTTATTAATGTATTAATAAATAGATTTTTTTTTAATTTTAATCGTTTATAATTAAATGGATTCCGGCGATGAGAGTGCAAATTCAAAGCAATAAATTAATAAATAAAACAAACTGAATCGATGATTATAAAAATTGTTCCAGATAACAAGATGGCCGCCCATGGAAATCTATAATTATAATTATAATATAATATAATATAATATAATATATAATATAATATATAATATAATATATAATAATATAATATATGTTATAATTATAATATTTAATAACTTAATTTTTTTCTCAGTAGCCATGTTAGATTCAAACATTTCTGGACATTTCTGATTGGCTGTTGCTCGACACGACTGCGCATGCATGGGGGACTGATACATCTTTATATTTACCTCATGGAGTGAACGGTTGCCTAGGTACCGTAAATGAAGGATTGTGTTCGACGTAAACAAAACTTGGTTCGTCAGCGGCTGGAACGGCGTATCCTGGACTCATAGTTGGCCGATGATCAATTTCATGCGAGATGACATCGCTCGACTTGCGACAGCAGAAGCTGGAACAGCAGGTGCGACCTGAATACGATAACGTAAACCGCCGAATCTTTCACCCTCGACATATAAACCTAGTCTCTCGGAACATGTAACCCCGTTTCTCGTATGCGACCTATTTAATTTTGGAAAATATCACTCATGTTGTACAAAAAGGGGATCGATTTAGGGAAAATCTTCCGAAGAAATTCACCGTTAGCGATATTTAATTAAATACGCAAACAATTAGAAGCATTGAAATCCAAGTTATCCATTTTTGTTCCATGAATAATTAACGAATGCTCGAGAGAGAGAGAGTAATAATAGCCCGACACTCTCAAGTAGCCTTGAATTTCTCTTCTATCACAAAGCAAGATTTATCACTAATAGATATTATGCTTATTTGTTATACTTAAAAATATACATATTACATTTGCAATAAGAAATACTTCAAAATTGACCAAGTCACTCAAGTGTGAAATTTGTGAATGCAATCAAACTGAACTTATATATTCAAATAATAATCTCTTATATCAAGATATTAATTTTCTATTTGATAATTTTTTTTATTGGTAAATTATGTGCTCATAATATATTTATGTCACATGTCAAAATTATAGAGGCAGTTAATTGCACAAAAAATGAAGCAGAAAAGGCAAACTGGTGCCAGCGGAATGGTGCAGGCATCTAATGTATCCAGTGCACAACTTACGAGTCATAGATGGATAAACCCAAACAAGGACAAGGAACTTCATGGTAATATAATATGAAAATAAAATGACCCTATAATTATTAATGAATCAGATGATTACAATTGACTACGATTATTATAAATGTAATATAGAATATCTGAATTATTTTTTATATTGTACTTAATTATATTTTAATATGTTTATAGGATACGATGGCCCATTACAATATACTATGACTCAAGCAGAAATAGGGCCATATACACACAGAAAAGTAGTGACGACACAATTAATGGTAAGTTGATGTTAAGTGATTTAAAAATACACAAGATACGTATAATTATTATTGTATTATAATGGTTTATAGATAATATATTGCAAATCATAGTAAATTAATTAATTATTGTAATATTTGTAGCAAATTATTTTCTGATAATATGCCGACAAAAACGATAGTTAAATATCTTGTGATAATTAATTTATTATTGTGTCAAAATATTCAACATTTTGTAATTTAAAGTTAAGCTGAATATTTTCTCCCTCTTTGTTTTATATTTCAAATTAATTTCTAATTGTATCAATAATAACAACAAACTAATGTGTGACATTAAATATGTATTTTACAGCAGTAGTCAATGAAAGGAGTTTGTACGAAAGTTTTCAAAGTTCTGATTGCGCTGATGAGGAATCATCACCTGTAGATTTCCATTCACCTTCAGAATCTTTACCACGTTCCTCGCCACTTCGAGTAGCACCTTCAGAAGGACCTAGTACTCTTATTAATAGAGATAATAATTCTTCTGTACGCATTTTTATAATTTTTTTTTATATATTACATATATATTATATATTATAGTAATCATATTTTATATATATAATCATATATTTAATATATATTTTATATATATATATCATATATTTTATATATATATATATAATGCACATTATATATGTATATGAGCACCCTAAATATGAAAACAGCTGTACCAAAATAATTTTTTTTTGTCTCGGATTTTTTAGAGTCCAGAACTGGAAGGAAATGTTGAAGGTAATATTGAAGAATTTGTGATACAACCGGGAAATAAGAAAATGTATTACAAATGTCGAATAACGCGCGACCGAAAGGGAATGGATCGTGGTCTTTATCCGACCTACTTCTTGCATCTGGAACGTGATTATGGAAAGAAGGTATGTACATTCAATTGAATAACAAATTTGTTATTTGATCTTCCATACATCGATTGTATATTTGCAGATTTTTCTGTTGGCTGGTCGAAAAAGGAAAAAAAGTGCAACGAGCAATTACTTAATCTCAACTGATCCTACGGATCTCTCGAGAGGAGGAGAATCTTACGTAGGTAAACTTCGATCGAATCTTTTGGGGACGCAATTCACGATTTACGACAATGGATACTCGCTAATGAAGGATGACAAACGCGACGAACGTTTCAATCCGCGGCAAGAATTGGCTGCAGTGATATACGACACGAACGTTCTAGGTTTTAAAGGGCCACGTAAAATGACAGTCCTGATACCAGGCATGACGCCCGATCAAAAGCGGGTGAAAATATGCCCGCGGGACGAGTCTGAAACTTTGCTTGGTGATTATAATTTTCATATTAAAAGAACATATTTTTTAAATTATTTTATAATGAAAATTACAAAGAAAAATTATTTAAATATGTATAATTCTAACATATTATATTATATATAATTGTATGTAATTAACATATTACATAATTTTTTTAAACTAATTTCCAGAACGTTGGAAATTGAAACGTATGGACAATTTAATAGAATTACATAATAAAACTCCAGTGTGGAACGATGACACACAGTCTTATGTTCTTAACTTCCATGGGCGAGTAACTCAAGCATCTGTAAAAAATTTTCAAGTTGTTCACGACAGTGATGGTGAGAAAAGCAAAATTTGAACATTTTCTGTATTTTAATTTCTGAAATTTTAATTATCAATTTATTTCGAAAAATATAAACATAAAATATAAAATTATAATACTAAATATGTGTAATGTATATGTGATCATTATTATTATGGGTTTTAATTAATTTCAGCGGAATATGTCGTGATGCAATTCGGACGTGTCGCAGAGGACGTTTTCACAATGGATTATAGATTTCCTCTTTGTACAGTCCAGGCATTTGCCATCGCTCTGAGTAGTTTCGACAGTAAATTAGCGTGCGAATAAAAGCACGACCGCATGTCATCGATCAATCTATCAGTTAAGTATATATATATATATACTTGCCCATACGAGTTACTATAGCATTCTAAATCGTTAGTTTTCTAATGGACAATCAATAGATTATCAGTAAATACCAATCTATAGTGTCGAATGATATCAGAACATGATATCGAATCATTTTATAAAACTCGATTATATGATAAAACGTGAAACAAGAATCACTGTAAATGTGTGTTCACTTTTCATATATTTCGTGTAGCAAGTCTATTTCTATATTAAATGTATAATGCGAGATGTATAATGATTTCAACATTATTCGTGATATAAAAATGTTAAACTCTTTATAAACATTTCAAATGTTGCACATTACATTGTAATCATTTCATTTTCTTTTTGAAATCAATTACCGATATAAAATTATTGTTCGTAAGAATCCATCTGAATCTCTTGGCCAGTAATTTAGAAAATCAATGTAGTACACCTTTATATTAAATATTTGACATATTTTTATGAATAATTCATGCACAGGGTGTTTATAGATGATAAGACATAAATATATATGATTTTACAGTGCCTTGGCATGATATTCATTGTGAAGGATCATATTATCATATTATCAATTGTGATAAGAGAAAGAGATTATAAGATGGCAAAATTATTTACAACATAAAACAGAAAAAATATATGTTTAAATATTTTATACTCAATAATAATACAAACTGTTAATTGCAAAATTAATGAATATCACGAAAAATTCATAACTCTTCTTTTATATATATTTTTCCAATTATTAGATTCTTTAATTTATAATATATATATATATATATATATATATTATTTAATATATATAATATTTATATAATATTAATTTATATAATATAATATTTAATAATAATCTCTCTGTTAACATGCACAAATTCTCAGATTGTAATAAGATTATATGTAAAAAATCTATATACTCACCACCATGGAGATGTGCAATTTTCAACAGTAAAAGATTTTTGAATATTTCTAAGTATAATATATATATATGAAGCACATGATGCACACACTATTAATCAGAAATATCGCACATCTTTAATCGAATTTTTTGTCTGATAAATGCATTTAATATTACAAAACAGAATTGATATTTTTTTATTAATGCTAAATATATTGAAATTATATATTATCGAAAATATAATAATTATTTATATATGTATAGTCAATATTATATCTTAATTTTGTTTATAATTTTGCACACATCAATTATGCGCAATAATCAAATATATTCTTCAAATTGAATTGCAGAGCGATATGAAGGTTTTAAAAAATAATTTGAAATGGACTCAAAGTTAATTAAATGTTCGCATATTATTTATATATACGCGTATATATATTATATATACTATTTAGATACAAGTATAAGAAAATGACCAAAGTATTTTTATTGAATTTTTCGGATTTTTTATAAGCACTTGACAAAATTATTTAAATATATTGTCAGTTATTAGATGATTGGACATTATTTGATTCATAGCTATTGTTTAATCATCCAAGTACTGATTAGTATTGTAGCTTTTAATGCAGCAATGTTCGGCAATTATGCGAACATATTTATCGCAAGAACATTAAATAAGTACCTGTATTTTATATAATGACATCTAATTATAATTTATATGCAATCATTGTAATACATTATTTACATTGTGAATCTTTTCACTTATTTTACTTCACATTAATTTCATTATTGTAAATGTATAAACAGTATATCATATCAATTTTATTAATTTATATTCAGTGAGACATATATTTGTTATCGCTGTTTAATTCCATGCATACTATCTGTAGCTTATATATCATTATTATAAAAATTATTTATGTCTCCATTTTATGTAATTAATTACTAAAAATCTGTCCGAAGATTAAAAGTATTTTGCGCATTTGATGTAATAGTTATGTAAGGAATAGATATCTAGTCTTTTATTGTAATAAGTTATTCATATTTACAAAGTAACATATGGAAAATGGGATAAAATTACCATAAAGCAAACTGCACTTCTAAAGCGAATGCATTATTTTAATATTCGCAATAAAATTAAAAAAAAATGTTAATGGCGTATTTAGGATATTATTTAAATTAAATGTCGAAAGATTTTTTATCTACGAGATGTGCAAAGAAAAGGAAATTTAAATTATATTATTCTAGTAAAAACTAAATGCGTTTGATTTTACTGGAATAGACAGACGGAGATATGTATAATAACATATATTATTTATTATTACAAGATTTATAAAAAGAGGTAACATTAAATATTCCCAGCATTATTTGGGCAGTAAACTTGTTAGATTAGTGAGCGCATTTTCTTAGTTTTTGTATTTTTATGTATAAACAACGCTGTTTGTATCTCGATTAATAAAGGCACTTCAGGTCTAGCACTTATTGACATAAATAAAGATTACAATACACGACGATCACTTTTTCGTTTTATTATTTACAATTCGCATACACGTTACTTCCCAATGCTGATTCGCGATTACTTTGCGTTAGCGTTTTACGCTTCCTGAATAAATATCAGTATAATATATAAAGTTTAGTTAAATAAATTTCTACATTCTTTTTTTTTGTAGAATATTTCAATGTAATATTATAATACATTTGTCATAATAAAAATATTACTTATGTTAATATATAAATAATTTAATGTGTTTGCCATGGCATATATAATAATATTGTAATTGACAATCTCATTAGAAATATTTTTCATTAAATTGGTTTTCTCTCTTAATGAATAACGAAGTAAAGCGTACGAACATTATTATTTGTTCATTGTATGCTGAATATGAAGTCCATTAAAAAAAAAGTATTGCAACTCTATGTTTAATAAATTTTTATCAATATATAAAAGCGAAAACTTTCTATAAAATGCATATTTATCTACATGCATGATGATACGTGTGAAATCAAAAATATTTTTACATTTTATGTTATTTTTCTGCTCAAAACTATCGGACTTATGTTCGCAGCATACTAACGTTTTAATAGTCGATTTGTTCAGGTACTGAACAATGATGATATGGACGCCTGGATTGAACAGTTTTCTTACATATCGCTATACTATTTACCAATATTTAATTTCTTTGCATATTTATAATTTGTTTGTACACGACAAAAATCAACAACACATGCAGAATTCAATAAAACAAAATATTCAAAAAGAAGTATTAAAAGAAAAAGATATTTACTTGAAATATATATAATTTAACCTTATACCTCTAACGCGTGACTACTAAAGTAACAGTGATATTTTTAGTTCTATTATAATTTTTTTCTAATTTTAAATTGATAAAGAATATACATAAACAAGTTTTCATAAAAACATGTATCAAAAAGTAACACAATAGATCAATTTGTGCTATTAATTGATATGCTAATATGATAACATTGTAAATTATAATCTTAGTGCAAAACATATCTCTATCTTTTCATCTATCGTAACTTTGTCATTGCTTTCTGTTATGTTGGTTTAGGATTTCCTTTAAATATATGTTAATATTTGCTTACTTATTTCAAATTACATTATTTACTAATTATAATTTTAATTTCATATTAAAAAAAAAAAAATTACCGTCGTTGTTTAATGCATGACTAGACTCAGTAGGAAGATTCATTGGAGAGAGCTACATTTCATACTTAAAATTATGTTATATTATATAATAGTAAAACTAAAAAGAGCCCTGTTATTCTAATAGTCATGTTAGTGGCTATTATAAGTAATAAAGTTCCTTAGAATTAAGAAAAATGCAGTATTATTGAGCTTCCAAATCAAATGATGAGACAGAATTATATTAGTAATATTTGCATGTTTATTTGTTTGCATTGCATTTGTAAAATTAATAATGTGAGATTTGCTTTTGTGTAAAAGGATTTCAGATTTATCACTGCTATTTGCACCTGATCATTGTGTAAAAAGCACTTCTTTTTACACAATAGTCAGGAGCAAACAAATAAACATGCAAATATTATTAATAACTCTTTCTCATTGTTCGATTTGAAAGTTCAGTAATACTGAATTCTTTTCTCATTTCTGAAAAACTTCATTATTTCTAATAGTCACTAACGTGGTTATTAAAATAACAGGGTTCTTTTTAGTTCTATTATTATATAATATAACATAATTTTAAGTATGAAATATAAATCTCTAATGAGTCTTACTAGGTCTAAGTCATGTATTAAATAACGACGATAATTAAATTCTCTTGTTTCAATATAAAATTAAAATAATTAGTAAATAATTTAATTTGAAAAATAAGAGAGTAAATATTGACATATATTTAAAGGAAATCCTAAAGACAACATAACAGAAAGCAATGACAAAGTTGCAATAAATGAAAAGATACGAAGTATGTTTTGCACAAAAATTATAATTTACAATGTTACTATACTAGCCTATGAATTAATAGCAGAAATTGATCTATTGAGTTACTTTCCGATACATGTTTTTATGAAAACTTGTCCATGTATATTCTTTATCAATTTGAAATTAGAAAAATTATTACATAATAGAACTAAAAACATCCCTGTTACTGTAATATCCACGCGTTAGTGATATTAAATTATTCTCAAGTCAAAGATTTTTCTCTTTTAATATTTCTTTTTGAATATTTTGCTTTACCGTTTGAAATTTCATTCCTTTCTCAGATCGGCTTGCGGTTTCGCGTTTGGCCGGACGAATCTGAGAGCTGGTATACGCGACGCGGGTCTAGGAATTCCGCTTATCACAGCAGCTGGCTTACTTCCGGTGCTCCAATTGGTTGGCTGTCTCAACCGAGTCTTATTCTCAATTTTAGGCACTACTTGATTCGGACCCTATAAATCAAGATGTGTTTATTGTAATCGTTCTACATATTAGCTAATAATTATATTAGTATTTAATACATAAATATTTATATTTAATATGTTAATATTTATGTTATGTAATATATAAATATTATATTAATATTTATAATATTATTTAATATTTTTAAATATTTTAATTTTTATAAATGATATTTACTCGATTTATCTGTCGAGTAATGAATTGCATGCGATTATAAGTATGATGCTTGTTATTTAAGATAATGTGTGAGAAAATTATAAGACTATATAGAATATATTACATAATAAAATATATTATTTAAAATATATAAAAAGATTAAAAATAGATTAAAACTTTTTCTAACTTGAAATTAATAAAGATATACATATATATATATATGAACTATAAAACTTTCAAAAATATCGGAAAGATAATATAATAAATAAATTTGAGCTATTAGTTCATATTATTAATTATATAATGTCGATTTGATAATATTATAAGTTATAATAAATTTGTACAAAACATACCTCTGTCTTTTCAACTTCCTTGGTTTTTATTATGTTGCCTTCAGGATTTCCTTTATATATAAATATATGTTAATATTTACTCATTTATTTCAAATTAAATTATTTACTTATAATTACTTTAATTTTTATTTTAAAAAGAGATAATTACCGTCATTGTTTAGTGCATGACTAGACCCAGTAGGACTCACTATTGGAGAGCTACATTTCATATCACTATTTAATGAATGTTTCCTAATCTCGCCGTATTCTACACCATTTTTCAGAATCGGGGAAGGCAAATCCGTCTTCTCTTCAACCCAAGTGTTTTCTAAAACACGCGGCTTGGGTGCTGAATCTTGCTTCAAACCTAAAGACATGTGTTATACGTTAATGATTTTATTTTAAAGTAATGTTTTTAATTAGAAACTTTATGTTGATCTCGTTAAATTAATCCTAAACTTTTATTCTAATTTTTTATATTTCAAAATGTTCTATTTTTCTATATATTTAATTAATTCTAAATTTCTATAATCAGATATTTAAATTCTACGTTATATGTTCTAAAATAAATTCCAAATACAGTAAAACCCAGCAGCGCTTACTCTCTTCCTGCATCCGTACTAGTTGATGCAGCTGCTCGATATTCATTGTGCGCCTGTTGCACGAATTGTGACTGCTGCTGTCAGAGCACGTGCTGAGTCTGTCGTCCAGATCGGGTGCGCTGTGCGCGCTCTGCGTACTCTCTATACTCTCCGTCGAGCTGGCGGTTTTCACGCACTTGATCGGAAACTGGATATTCGTGTTAACTTGCTCGAGCAACCGTTGCTCGGAGCCGCTCTTCAGCTTGCCGTACGGATGCAAGTGGTTCCCGGACAATTGCGATCTCTCCGCGACGTCCCTTTGCACGATGTCGGGCTGCGAGCCCTTGATGTATCCCGCGCTGGATATGCTGGCATAACCGGACACGCCCGCGCTGGCCTTCAGCGAACTCGACACAAGATTGGGATTGGACTTTTGCAAGAACTTTGGTAATTTCGATAGCATCCTCGGTATATTTCCTCTTAGCTGCGCTTTCGGCGGCAGAGGTTTGAGGAACGTCTCGTCCATATTCACACGCACTTCTGTGTTCTCATTGGCAATAGCATCAGTCTTTTCGATAGGATTGTTGTTGTTCCTCTTCGTGAAGGTATAAAATTTACGTTGGTCCGCTGTTACTAATTCTCTTTGAGCGATCTCCTTCTGGCCTCTACCCTGATTCGTCAACATCGACTTTTTGTACGTCTGATATCTGTTCAATGGAAGAATATCAGTCTCGTTTTCGTTGCAAACCGCACGAATATTTTCCTTCATGTCTCTCGAGCCAAGATAATCATCCGGGATATGATTGTACGTGGAATCCAACTTGCGATCGTCGCTTCGTTGCACCTCTGCCAGCAACTCCCGCCTCAACGATGTGGGAGCCTTCAACGCGGAATACATGGCTTGTCGTGGCTGATCGAGGTGCTTCGCAGCGAGTTTCGATATTTGATTCACCACGTTCGGATTCATCGGCGTGGATTGATTATGAGTAGGCACCTTGAAAGATAGATCTAAGATTGACGTGGATTTGTCCGGCGGAATGTCACACGTGACATTCAGATCTACTTGTTGCGTGGTAGACTTAGTGTACGTATCACTCTCAATCGATACGGATGAACTCCCTCTCTCGGCATCCTTCGCCGAAGACAGATATGTAGTATCCAATGGCTTAATGTCATTATTCGCCTCGTCCGAATATTGTACAAAGGTAGTGTCAGCCTTAGGCTCGGTTACAAAAGTGGAAGACAAAGTGACCGTTACATCTTTATTGAGATTCAATTGAGGTGCTGATATTTCGATAGGAGCGTCATACGTCTCATTCAAGCCTTTATCCAGTTGAACAGACTTTTGGTCGATGTTGCTCGGAGTATTTGTGCGAGACGTTTTGTCCAGAATGAACGTATCGTTGGCGTTTTGCGTCACGAAAGTTTCATTATTATTGAAGTTTGACTCTTTTCTTACATCGTTTTGAGCTGCATTCTTATTTGTTACTGATATTATTGTGCTATTTTCCACCAATGTGGTCTCGTGAGGTGAGATAATAGATGTGTATAAAACAGAGGGCTGCGACGTGCTCATCAATAGATCACTGAATTCGGGTTCGCCTAAATTTATAAACGAATCAATTCCTTTAGATTGGGACATGTTCAAAAATGCTTCCATGCTTTCCTGGCCTGATATTACTGAAAAGTTATCGTCGGATAAAATATTTACAGCTGTTTTGGCGGATGACTTTAACATCAGTGGCACAGATTCCTTGTCTGTTATTGTTGCAGGTAAATATTTTTCCATCTGTAATATATAAACAATAATATAAGAAATTATAGAATACTAGCGCATATTATATAACAAAATTTTAAATAAGTATTAATATATTACAGATTTTGTCCATCAGACTAATAATTTATACCTAGATAGCCACAGTAATTATTATGACATCATTTTGATGTCAAATAATGCATTTTGACATCAAAATAATCTCATAATAATTACTGTGGCTATCTGAGTAGTTATATAAAATAATTTAAAATAATAATTGTATAGAGAAAATACTATTTTCTTTATATGATTTATGCTATAAATGTTTGTTTTATAAAATAAAAGACACAAACTATTTTATTATTAATTTCCATAATCCATATATCTATACTTAGAAATATATATAAATTAAAAATAATAAACAACTTGCATTTTCTATGTGCGTAACAGCTGTATTTTGTGTCTCTGATGTATTTGCCGTTGGAGAAGATGGTAAACCTTCAAAAATTGAATCAAAACTCATTCGAACTGATCGCTTTTTAGGTCTTGTAAATGTTCTTGTGTCAATGCATTTTTTGTTATCTGGAAAAACATTAAATTTAGTATATAATAAGCAATAATATTGCATGAATATAAGATAAATTAAGCTGAAAACATTTTGCAAACAGTTTATTATATGAAATATTATGCTTTATACTTTGTAACTCCAATTCTGGTTCCGTTTTCAACCAGGTGTATAAATCATAAATTGCAGATCCGGTTGAGCATTGCAGAGGCATATACAACCTGAAAAAGGACAGCAACTTGAAATCAACTTGGTTATGCTGTTAATTTGCATTACATTGGAACAACAAAGATATTGAATAAAAAAAATACTAAATTTTAAATAAAAATTATAATCATGTTGTATAATTATAGAATGTAAATAAAAATATTGGTAAATGTTTAATCTTTACATGGACCACTCAAATTGCTTTGACCTTGACATATATTAATGACAAAGATCAATGGCTAAAATTTTAATTTCAGTTATTCAGTGTGATGATCTTGGCAACATAAATCAAGGTCAAGATGATTGGAGCAGTCTGGTGTAAAGGTAAACTAAAATATATAAAGGAGTACAGAAAATTGTTTAATTAATACAATGATTATTTTTCTCTTTAACAGCGAATAATAAAAGAATATACATCATTTCATATACATTTTATCTATTATATTCTATTTTTCCAAAAATATATTTTTTTTTCTTTCAACAGGTAGAGGTAAGATCGAATAAAAATAGAGATAAAAACGTCACATTTTTTATTCCCAATTAAAGTGTCTTTGTGTGTTGATGCTCCGAGAAGAAACGAGATAATTAAAGAGCCATTGACACCTACCAGTCGTCGTTGTCGTCAAGCTGTAAATCCGACAGATCGACGCGGTCGATCTCGTCGAAGAGATAGGCATCGCAGGTAGATTTTGTGCTCCCGTCCGGATCCGACGTGTCCGCTGACATATTTCGCCGCCGAACGTTATTAACGAGTCGAGCGCAAGCATATATTTCGCACCGTTCCCGGGTGACCAGCACCCTCGAAAACGAGCGCGCGCGCGCGAAAACGAGCGGATAGAGAAAGGAGCGATTCTACTCGCAATGAGGGGCAACGACACAATGACGACTCACTGTGTATCGTGGGAAAAAAAGATTTTTTTTACATACATCAAGCCTCGTTGCGAACATAACATAACCGCGAACGCGAGATTCCGTTGTATTTCGGAAGGTCTCGCATACGTCACAGTCACGGATGATATAAAAGAATAGAAGGTCAACTCATGATGAAAATATCGTGCGCATGCGCAGTAGCCCTGAATAATTAAGCTTTAGATAATTCTGTACATCGATTCAGTTTATTTTATTATTTATTTATTTAATTAATTAATTATTTATTATTATTTTTTTAATTATATATATATAATAATATTTTTATTTATTTCTGAATGATTATAGAATATATTTATAGAAAATGTATTTATTATATATTATTATTTAATTATATTACTTTAATTATATTATTAATAATAATAATAATTATTATTGATTATATATTTTATTATTTAACTATATTACTTTAATTATATTATTAATAATAATAATTATTATTATTTATTATATATTTTATTATTAATTATATATTATATATTATTTATTATTATTATTAATATTATTTTTATTATAGAATATATTTCGCACAAAGTATGAAGCCCCTATGACAACGCGTCTTTACCGCGCGGCCAATCAGCTGATTGCCCTTCCGCGAGAGCAGAGATCTGATTGGCCGCCACCTTTTGCCGCGCAATGGTGTCCAGTTTACCTTTCTCGGTTCACCCTCTATCTTCCGTTTATCCACGACCAACGGTCGAGAGAGGCAGCGACCGGTTCGTGCGTGATGTCCGTTGTTCGCAGACGTTCATCTTCATTCCTCGCTTCTGTCTCAGATTTGGTCTCTACTCCTGCGGATCAGCTCCGTGATACGAAGGTAACCGACAGCCGATAGAAAAAGAGAGAAAGAAACTCGGCTTTTGCGTGTCTCGCGAGGAAGATTTATTCCTCATCGCGAGGAAGGATCTCCACGTTCTCGACGACGTATTTCCTCTCACGCGCGCACTTTGTCCCCCCTTCGCGTTCACATTCTTTTTCACGTTTCTTTTATATTCCGCACGAGAGACGGTTCTCGCGGGCTTTTCCACCGTTTCCCTCCACGTGCGCACGTTTTTTTTCGAGTAATTTTTTTTTTTCTAAACCGAGGAATATACTGCGTCTTGAATTTTTTCTATCCCATTATTTGTTACTCCACGCGCTTTTTATGTCGCGCCTCGTCCACGCGCTAAATTATTGCGTATAGCCGTGTCTTCATTGTCCTTGCGAAGTAACCTTTCGCACGAAACGTCAGCCTCGCGCGCAATCGGTTTTCATATTTTATTCGAGGAACTATCGAATAATAGAGAAAAAAAAGAGAGAAAAAGATCGGGAAATTTCAGCGAAATTTGGTTAGCGCGATTTGAATTGCAACGGAATTGTGAGAATCTTTGTTTCGTCTCACGATTTAATTATTATTTATTATTGTTTTATTATATGGCTGCATTGAAGTTGTGTAATTTCTTGCAAGCTTATTTTTACATATATATGGAGTTTTTGATATATCATATTTTCAGAGCACATTTTTTGCAAGCACTGCTTTGCATCCTTGTCTTGTCTAAGAAATTGAAATTTTTCTATGTTGAGTTTTCTAGTACCTGAAATAACTTATTTTGTAATTGAATTTTTTTTTACAGAACATTTGTTGCAAGAATCCAAAGATTATAAGAATTTTTTGTATTGAATTTCCCTGCATACATTTAACTATCACCCTTGTGTCGCCTTAAAAATGAATTTTACCTTCTCGCTATTTATTGTACACATACATATACATGTTAATTGAACTACATGTATACATATTCTTTTAAATTATGCTGCAAGTAGTTTAAATATGTTACAATTAAATATTCTTATGATTGGTTACTTGCCTTTTTATCTATGTGACCCAGCAATGTACACTTGCACATAAATTTCAGCACTGCTTTAGCGAGCGAAGTAAAATGTTCATATATCGGTGTGTGAGAAACTGATATAGATACTAAAAATTCTCAGTCTACGTAAAATTTCAAATTATAATTGCGCACAGGATTCAACAAGTTTATGACTCAAAAAGACCAAGCGCTAAAAATTTCTTAGATTAATAAAATAAATAGTTGACATTAAAGATACAGAAAGGCAAAAGAGATTGATTGCGATACATTTGAATTATAGTAACATGACAACCGATCCAGAACACACCGTCAATACTAGTGCTACGGAATCCGTCGAAGACGAAGATGATAACACCCAACGCAAAATTTTACGTAACACTGAAGTATTAGATGCTCTTCGAGATTGTATTACTACACCACTAGAGGTATTGCAATATTATTTCGCGTCTTGTAAATTCGAATTCATCTCTGGATTTATAAATTGTAGCTGATCTTGTTCAAATGTTTATGACCACGATAATATTGCAAAAATTTTTTTTTAACTGCATGCTTTCTAATGCTTGTTTGCTTTTATGTTTTACTTAACTGATAATTTAATAAAATACATTTCATATATCTGTCATGCAATTCATTAATTTGCTATTTCTCCATTTTGTTTTAATTTGAATGAAATTATGAGATTGTATATCATATTAAATAATTGTAAATTTTATATGTATATTATTGTTACTATCTTGTAAAATTTTTAAAGTTCTAATTACTGATTTATTAAAAATGTAAAGAACGAAACCATTTTTTTAATGAAGTATTGTAAATTAAATATTCTGAATTATATATTAGCAGAATTAGCATATTTAACTAGTATTAAAGTTTTACTGACTATCATATTTTTAGCAAATGCAGTCTCTTCCTGCTCCTGTCAAACGCAGGGTTAAAGCACTGAAACAACTGCAGCTTGTTACTACTAATATTGAGGCTAAGTTTTACGAGGAAGTCCATGCTTTGGAATGTGAGTACTACAAAATGTGTGCACCGTTATATCAAAAGCGGAGTGAGATAATATCTGGTACATATGAGCCAACGGACGAGCAGTGCGTTTGGGAGAGTGATGAAGATGATGAAACGCTAAGTAATTTTATGAAAGATAAGGCGAAAATCGAGGATACTACAGAGAATAAAGAGTACGTTTTTATACAATAAATAATGTGTTACATGTATGTCTATCTATGTAGGAAAAATTAAGTTAAATGTGCAATTTATGTAGATATGTAATTAGTTGTTTTTGTGCATATTAATTTATATATGATTTTTCACAGAACGGAAAACGAGGATGATGCTAAAGGCATCCCAGATTTCTGGCTAACAATATTTAAGAATGTAGGTACATTAGCCGATATGGTTCAGGAACATGATGAACCAATCCTGAAACATCTAAATGATATTAAAGTCAAATTTCTGGAATCGAATCCAATGGTGAGTCATCAAGTCATGCAAGATAATATAATTAATGAAATAAACATATATATAAAGAAACAAAATTAAAGTTAATATATTTTTTCAGGGATTTGTTCTCGAGTTCTATTTTACATCGAACGAATATTTCTCAAATTCAGTTCTCACTAAAGAATACATCATGAAATGTACTCCGGAAAAAAATGATCCATTTAGTTTTGAAGGGCCCGAGATATATAAATGCAAAGTAAAACTTTTTTTTAATTATTTTTAGTACTTTTTTATTACTTTTAGTTTTCAATATTAATGGCAATACTGAAAAAATTGTTTTGCATAGGGCTGCGTGATTGATTGGAAGAAGGGCAAGAACGTTACAATAAAAACTATTAAGAAAAATCAGAAACATAAATCTCGAGGATCTATGCGTACCGTAACCAAAACAGTTCAAAATGATTCCTTTTTCAACTTCTTTAGTCCGCCAATCGGTAATTTATATCTTACATAAATCTTTATATGTTGAATTTATGTTTATTTCGTTTATAATTTTGATATAAATATCTATTTTCAGTGCCAGATGATCCTGAAGCCGATGTAGATGATGAAACTCAAGCTATATTGACCAGTGATTTTGAATTAGGGCACTATATTAGGGAACGTATAGTACCTAGAGCTGTACTGTACTATACAGGTAATCTTCACAAGCATATTATAATTTCCCGTTCGAATATTGTGAATATAATAAATGTGATAAAACATTTTATAAATTCAATATAGATAAATTTTAAAAAAATATTTTATTTCAAAATATCTGCAATTGCAATATATATTTGTGCAAATGTATTTTCGAAGTTTTTTTTAATAAGACAGGATTAATTTCAGGCGAAGGTTTAGAGGACGAAGACGAAGATTACGAGGATGAAGAGGATGGAGATGATGACGAGGACGTCGACGAGGAGGATGAGGAAGAGGAGGGTTCATCTCCTAATGCGCCTTCAGGTGGGAAACAAGGCGAAGAGCCCAATGAGTGTAAACAACAGTAGAATTATATTAATTGCGAAAAAGAAAGAGAAAAAAAGAAAAATCAATCGTTCGTGCGTTACAGTATGCAACAATACACTAACGACACATCTGACCGATAACTGCCTAGATAATCCTGCACCATGCGGTTCCAAATGTAATCCCTGTTCTCTTTGTATCAATCATCTAATCATATCATGTCTCCTATTCCAGATCAAGCCTAGAACTCTTCAACATACCAGTGATACAAAAAAAGAAAGATAAAATTTACGTACTACACCTTCCTTTTACTCGCCGTTGACGATGAGTAGAATACATGCGCCTTATACCTGTGCTATAAGATCTAATGTCATATATGTATACGGTAATTACTCTCGCTCTCGAACACTAATTATTGTCAATTTTTAATTGCTTTATTTTATACGACTTGTTACGTTTATATGCGCCGACAGAGAGAGGTTGTTTGAATTCTTTTCCGAAGAAACGCACGTTGCTCTATGGAAAAAATTTTTGGGTACTGTTGAAGCATTTTTAATACAAAAAGTGGAGAAAAAAAATATCGTTGTTCGAGTTGTTTCATTCCTCTTTATTCCTCTTCGCAAAATATCCTTCCAAAGCGTTCGTAAAGAGAACGAATTTTTTACGAAATATTTACAAATTATATATTAATATCATGCTTTTTTCTATATGAATTTATATTTACGGGAACATCTGATAACGACTTTGTATTAAATCGAAATGACTCGGAATAATTTATAATTTTAACGTGGTATAAAACGCATTATATGTCAGATATATATAAAAGTATAATATAAAAAAATTCGCACATTACATTTTCAACTTTTATCGAAGAATGGCGGCGTCATCGGAAGATACAAAAAAAGGACAAACTTTGTTTTATCTTTACAAAACATACTCTTCGAGAATTATACTAGCAGTTTTACGTCATTTTTAATTCTTGACATATATAATGGCAAGTTTTGATTTGCATTTGAAATGTACCTAACATTTTGGCACGTGAGAGAGGACTCCTCGGAGAGAAGTTATTTATATTTTACAAAATATAATCGTCAGAAGATTTTTAGTCCTTATGCTTATCTTCGATTTTATCTATGAAACTGCGAAATAAATCACATAATTTACAATTAATAATACACAGAACTAAATATCGTGTAACGGTGTATTATGATTCCATAACATTTTTTAATATCTATATTTGAATTCATATATGATGAACATATTTTCATGCATACCGGATTGATGAACACTTAAGTATTTTGAGTTTTATATTAAAATATGGTAATTATATGCTGTGCAAAATTGCACATAAAATATATCTCGGAAACATGCGTTTGAAAAACGGATGTATTAATTACTGCGAATGTGTGGTTATTAATATGTTATAAATGAACAGATGGATATAATAGATAACAAACATGTGTCTCTCATACAAAGAATATCACCATTCAAAAGTAATTTGTGTCACGAGGGAATTGGCAGTGTAATCTTGCACAGCACGTAAATCTAATGCTTTTGTATATATATAAATGCAGTATAGGGTTACATATATATATAAAGATATCTTACTTTTCTAACAAAGCAAACTACGTATTTGATATTAATTATGAGATACCTAAAATGCTGTAAATAAATAACTGTACAATGACTGAAAAATTGATCGAAACGTGTGCAATTACTTTCACGGAAAATTTAAAAATTTGTCGTTTTTATCGTTAATTAGTATGCGCGCTCGACTCTAAAACCGAAAATAATAATAAATAGAAAAGAATTTTATTTCCAATTTTTCTTATTAAGGAAATTTTATCATTTTACGTTGTGTACCTGCAAGAAGCAACGTTTGTTTTTTTTTTGTATTATATCCTTCTAAAAAAGTACTTATAAAAATACAGTTTCTAGATATATTTTTTCTCTTTTTCTCTTTCTATCTCTCCCTCTCTCTCTCTTTTTCTCTAGAACTTCGCATTTTGAAAATATGACAAAGCTCCCGAAACAATTATTACAATTTTGATGTGACCACAATCTATCTCTGTAAAAGTGTGTAATGAAGATAGGAGAGCCAGGCATGTCTTGCTTTCGCAAAACGTATCGACTAGACCAAAATAAGCTAACAGAAATAAACCGTATATGCTTTCCATCTTATAGGTCAGTCTTACCCTAATCCCCTTTTCACAATCGACATATATGACTCTCAAGTCAGAGAGTGGGAGATTCAATTAGCAATTTATATATAGAAAAATCGCTTTAATGTCGCATCCATTCCAGAATATCCTTTACTAAATCCCTTCCTCTTCATCTTCGTCCTCGCATATCGCCTCAGTACTACGAGGCAAAAGCGTAGACACATGACCATACCTGAAGAAAGATTCTTTTGTTAAAAAAAATCTTCAAATATTCCACAATTCGTAAATAAAATATATTTATTATAAGAAGATAAAACGAGACACAAAAAATAATATTAATATCTAATTGTATATACTATATTTAATTACAATTTTTATTATATTTATATATAATTAGATTTACTATGCAATCATGTTATTTATTGTTTATATTGTTTGTAAGATTTTTACTTACTTGCTGTTTTTATACTTCTCTTGTATTGCTACTTGTGGGATATTGGGGGCATTGCGAAAGGTCTTGCTCAAGTATGTGATACATTCCTTAAGAGTTTTCAGATCATATCCTGTCGATAGCTCTAATTCGTGTGGCCAGATCTCTTCCCGCAATGTATGTCGCGCGAAAGCCAATGCGGACGCAGCCAAATGGCTGGGCATATATTGTAAGTATGGGTCTGCCTCGAGCATTGATAATTCGCACAAATACTGAAATACAAATTACATTAAAAATAAAAAGAGTGAAAGACAAAGCTAATCAATACAAAAAATATATAGTATTTAAAAACTGTAATATAAATTACTTATGTTTATTAAAACCTACCATTGCCAAGAATTTAATTTTATCCGACAAATTGTTGCTGATACAGTATTCCGTTAGAAATGTGAAATGTGTGGGTACAGTTAGATCAAATGATAAAACCCTCAGTATTAAGTTCTCCATTTTTATCACCTGTGTCTTTGTGTATGTATCATCTGTGATATATACAAATTCTCCTACCTCGGGAGGATAAATCTCTTCGTATTTCCTATTGAAGAAATATACATATAAAACAACTGTATGTAAAATAATATAACGATTGTGTGTATAATAATTTAATTTCTCGAAAATTCTAAATCAAATAATAAATAATTTAATTTTAATAAAATGTCTAATAAAATTAATTCTACTGACACTTCACGTGTATGGAGTAATTATTAAAATAAACTTACGCCGCTATAAACATAGCAGCAGTCCCAACAAGTTGTAATTTTGTTCTTACAACGCTCATATATGATAAGAAACGATCTATATATGAAATAGCCAAGTATAGTGTCTCGTCTTGCAATCGATATTCTTCAGCTACTTCCACAAGCCAATCTATCAATATAGATCTCATCGAATATGTAATATCGGGTTGTTTCTTCATATAACCAGGTTTTGGTCTATGTAGTGTCTGAAAAGTAAAAAAAACTTGAATTAAAAAAAATTTTCAACTACTAAAGCAAAAAAGAAAGCTGTTGAGAAAATTTTTTTATACTTAAAAAACATTGATATACTTTGTTTTTGTGTAATGCAATTAAAATATATATTAATTTTAAATAATTTAATTAACTAACATCTTAATCAATTTATATTTCAATATTATGCATAAATTAACATTGAAACATGTATATTGTAACATGTATAAAGATATAAACAGAGATACATACTTCCGATACACGTAAATAATTATATATATCAGCCCTGTATTCGTCTACATCAAAGAAATTAGTTCTCATTTCCTTAATATATTCTCTTCTGGTTTTATATTCTTTGTTAGAAGAACTGCTATTCGTCAGAGACTTCTCCAATGGCTTCTCCAAAGACATGGGACTATCTTTTGAAAAGATATTATCTTCTTTATTTTGACAAATTTCTTCGATGCTACTACGAAATGTTGCAAAATTAACACTGCTTGTAGTAATTATGTCTATTCTCGGCTGCTCTTTATTGGATTTTGCCACTATTTCGTGCACAACTGTAGTCTCTTTCTTTTCCATAGAGTCCCTAAGTACAACAGATGTTTCTTCTTCCAATTTATCCTCATAAATCTTGAAGACTGGCTCATCTTTCTTATCATCATAAATTTTGAAAGACTGTGTGATTGTGTCAGATTGTGTGGGATTAAATGGTTTTAATTTGCTTGTATATTTTTCATCTTTGTGAGTCTCCTGCTGAAAAAATGAAATAAATTTAGTAATGTACAAGTCTTTCAATATATTTCATACTAAGACATTAAACAAGGATACAAGATTGTATGTCACAAGATATTTTGGTAGGATATTTAAGATATATGTAAAATTTTTGACTTTTCACGAGAGATGATACAACATTCTAAGATAAGCACATGTGGATTAAATTATATTTAAAAGACAAAGAGAATCAATATGTATATAGTCTTGATTTGGAAAAATTAACATAAAATTATAAAGAAGATACATCAAGAAGAAAGAAAATTGAAAATGGAATAAGGATAATAATCAATTATCAAGAAAAGTGACTTAGATGTATTGTGGAAAAAAATCAGTCCAGAATTTGTAAGATTATTGTTTAGAACAAAAGAGATGAACCAAAAGACAAAAAAAAAAAAATACAAATAATTTTGAAAAATGTCACTGACATATATAAAACTGAAAACACATAATAGCAGATTAATTACAAGATGAACGAACAATTCCTGACGTATCAAGAGGGATAATTCGCAGAAAACAAAGTATAATATTAAATCCAAGTGCTAGCTGGAAGTATAATTAAAAAAATCAAACAACATTAGCTGTAAACATCCATTCCATCATCGATCATCAAAAAAGATTAGACAAATTCCAAATAATTCAAGAAAAAAGTAAAAAAATAAATAAATCAGGATCTATGCTCCCTTGAATTTTCAATCGAAAACTCGACTTTCGCTAAAGGCGCGAAAGGCAGGTTGCAACGTGACTAGCCGATCGCAAGGGCAGAACACACACGTGGTGTACGTACGAGCTTCGTGCCGTGTCGCGGGCAATTATTGTGCAGCACGCCGAGGACGGCGCGTTTGTTCGCTTGGAACCCCTGTTGAGTCTGTGCGCTCGTGGCAGCAACGAGGTTCTCCTTTCCGCGACCGCGCACGTCGGCGCCGACGCGATTCTCCTGATCCTCCTGGTACACCCTGATCGTGGCCATCGTTTTCCGTCGACGACGACGACGACGACGCGCTCTCTGGACGAGGATAGAGGACCGACACGATACTCGTCGCGGTTATTCCGTATTTAATAACGTGTAGGGGATCGGGAGATCTCGAAACCGCCGGAGACGACGCACACGCGAATACTTATTTATCCGACAGACCGGGAGAAGGGAGAAGAAAGAGTGCCTCCGCCGAAATAAGGAACGCGCGCGCCCGTCCCGCTTTTCTCTGCGTGCCGCGAACGAAATCGTCCCGCTTCTTCACAGTTTTTCCTTTTATCCGTGCATCACAGAGAGTCGCGGGAAAACGGACGGGCGCCTCCGGCACGCACACACGGGGATCCCGTTCGGGCGGTTCGGTTGCCGTTTGATTTAAAACAAACGTAACTTCAACAGCTGGCGGGACGTTATGGGGAGCGTTGCACGAAACCGGCCAATCGCGAGCGTGGGAAACGCACCGGCCAATCGTCGCGCCATCTTCCCGCCCGAGTGTTCGCAAACTCGTCCGCCTTCGAACGCAAGCAGATGCGACACTCGACTGCCTCCGCGGAATCTCTCTCCTCATTGGTCGAGCCAGAAAATCCCTAGAGCTCTGTGAATCGAACATGGAGATTAAAAATTTATTAGAATTTATTTATATATATAATATATTATTATATTATTATATTAAATATATTATTATATATTAATGTTAATGTTATAAATATGGTATTATTAATATTAATGTTAATAATATTATATATTATAATTCTTATACTATTATTGTAAAATTAATTATAATTATACTGATACTATATAAGTATTGTATTTAAAAATTATAATTTATATTAATACTCTTATTATAATATTAATTGTAACTCATATTAATGCTATTATTATAATATTAATTGTAACTTATACTGATATTATTATTATAATATTAATTGTAATTTATACTAATGCTATAATTATAATATTAATTATTGAATCGAATAGGGAATTTTGAAGGTCTCGCCACTAGTTCCAGATTTGACAGCCAATCGGATGACAGCTCGTCTTCCGCTCTCGTGGACAAAAATGTCCATAATGCGCAGTCGGTGGATACGCTTGCGAACGGAATTTGCGTATTAAAAGAAAGGTGGAAGAAACAACGCGAATTCGGTAAATCGGTTTTGCGAGAATCCGTCTTCTTCGCAATCGCGGTCGCGTGACATAAAGACTACGTGGCGATGTAACTCTCGTTCACGTCCACGCTATAATTTCTCTCGTTTTTTTTCTCTCACAAGACGCCGAGACTCCGTAACCTCCTTGGTGCCGGGCGGGAAAAATTCACCCGGAAACGAGGAGACAGCTGAGAGCATCATCCCTGGGAGAAGAGGCGAGCGAGAGAAAATTCGATCGTCGAGAGGAAGAGAGACATCAGGAATGAGTCCGCTGAATCGGGGGCCTCCTTTGGGCACCAGAAATTTGCCGGCCGGCGCGCGCCCGTTGCCGCCACCCAGGTTCGGAGGTCCGGGTAGACCTCCCAACATGTCGCAGCGCGGCATCTCGCTGCCGCCGCCTCCGCCTCCGATGCGCCGGATGATAATGCCGATGGGCCCGATGATCGGGCCGGACGACCCCAGACGGCGGAGACCTCCACCTCTTCCGCAGCCGCCGAGGCAGGGCTCCGGTGGAGGCTGCATGTCCCGGTTGAACAGCGTTCCTCCTCTGTTCCCGGGTGGACCCAGACCGCGCGCCCACCCTCGTCCTCTGGCGCCCATCGCACCGCCCATGATGCCCCGAGGACCTCCCATGCTCCAAGGACCTCTTATGTCCTGGCCCCGGAGGATTCCGCCGCCCATGAGGCACCCGGTGAGGTACAACATGGGCAACGGGAATGTCAAGAGCAAACCCTCGCGAAATGCGAAGAAGTTCAACAATCGAGGGGTACGTATTATTCGGTCCCCCTGTTGAGATGTCTATTAATTTTTAATTGTTTATGAAAAAAAATATGCTTCTCTATCCTTGAGTTGACGTGACACGTGGATTCTTTTTTGGCGGGAATCTTGAGAGCTTTGTGCAAGCCTGATTTTGCCAAAATTGATTTTGGAGCGATGAAGGGTCATCACTCTCTGGAATGTTTAACTGTATATGGCTTTGTTGTATTGCGACGAAAAATTGCGTCGTCCGAGGACGAATTTGCAAGATTGATATATAAATAGTTGAATATCGTATACAGAATTTTTGTAATTGTGTTTTTTATATTTTGACATCTTGAAGTCTTATTGTAAAATATGATTATTTAGGAATCAGACTTAATAAAAAAGCCGTGGATGACTGACGAAATTCGTCACGAGATACAAAAGAAAACTAGATTGTATCTTAGAGCAAAAAAGTATCAAAAAAAATACAGTAGAGTGGCAAGAATTTAGAGATACACGAAACAAAGTAACCAGGATGATAAGAGATGCAAAAAATGAGTATCTTGCAAAACATCCTGAACAGGTATCTTTTCTGTCTGTCTTGTATCTGCAGCAAATTTTTGAATACCTTCTTGATTTTATGCTTTTATTGTTCTTTTTTTTTTAATAAATATAAAGAACATCCAACAAATTAACATAATTTTATTTTTGCTAATTTGCCATTTTTTTATATCATATTTTTAATTTATTTGCTGCTGCTTTTAATGCTATTTTTTATTTTTTTTTAACTCTTTGTTTCAACATCTCTTTATTATTATATTTATCTGTTATATGTGCATATGTAATGTGTATATGTGTGTTCCGTGTATCTATGTCATGCATAAACAAATTATCGTAAAAGTTAAAATAATTTGCATAATTTTTTGTATGAGCAAGGAAATTCATTTTAGTTGAAGAATTGTCAAAGTTATATAAAATGTAATTCAAGTAATAGTTTTTCTTTTTCAGTATTAATTTGAAAATAAAAGCATGAAGACCTTCTTAATTAATTCAAGATGGAAGATATCATCATCATTTTTGTTTATATCAAAAACTTACTTTTCTCTTGACTTATAAGAACAAGATGAGATAATGATAAAACGGCTATTAAAATATTTAGTATTGAGTCTATAAGAGGACAATATATAATTAACCATTTTTATTAAGAAATCTACGTGTTTATTGCTTGGCTGCATTTCTTAGAATATTTTCAAACAGATAATAACATCAAATCTGTATATTTTGTTTGCTTTAATAACAGATGTAAGAGAGATCAGCAATATAAAGCAATAGATAAAATGTGAAAATTAATTAATGACATAATATGTAATTATGTACATTAATTCTAAAGAGAGTATAAGTAGTCATTGTGCGATGAAAATTCCATCTGTTCCATTCAACGTTTATAAACTTTTGTTGATTACTTTGGTTTTACAGGGTGGTCACAAAACACGTGATAACAATTGCTCGAATGAATCCGAGGGTGTTCAGAAAACTGTGAATTCAACAGAACAATCAGAACAAACGGACCATATGGAGGAGAAACAGCCTTCCAGCGAACAGGCACAGCCTTAACCGTTAGGCTACTCCTCTCATAGAATTTATATATATATATATATATATATAATACAAATATTCTGTTTTCAAACTTCAGAACGATTTTCATCTTATGCTTTGATACTATCTGGCAAATTTTTAATTGTATCGTTGCTATAAGTCCTATATAATCTTAATGTGCAGACACTAACTTTTACATCTTTCTGTTTTCTTTTATTATTTTGTAATATAATATATTTACATGATAATTTTGACATCTGACATGATAGTCTTTTGTATTATTTACATTATATGATGATATATACTATTTAAAATAATGCTGACAGAATCAATTTTGAAAAAATAGTATCTAGTAGCTGAAATAATGGAATAGCTTTAGGTAATCTATGTAACAATTTGTTTAATTTCATTATTAATCTATATATACTCACATGTGTGTTATATCTGATAATAATTCATAATACAAAACTTAATTATAAATATCTGTATTATGACTGTGACAATTAGATATAATTTAAAGTATGTGAAACTGGCTATTTGTGGATAATTTTTTCCAAGTTCTTCCTTTGTATTTATGGCCAGTATACAGTGCTGCAAGCTATAGTATGCTTAAGAAATAGTACACAGAATTAGTGTCCAAACTGTGACTAAAAAATAGAAATAAAGAATTTTATAGAGATTATATTCATATAAAATATTTACATGTAAAAAGTTTCAAATAGCTTGTGGCTCTGTTGGATTAGTAGTACAACTTTTATAAATAATTACGTTTACATGTGTCATATTTAATATACTTTCTTGTTTATTTCATACATGACTTCAAAAAAAGAATAGATTGACAAAAAGAAAAATAAGTTTGTAATTGGAACGTATGTTATGAGAATAAATTGTATTCCTATAAGTTCTAAGTCTGGTGTCCATCATTTTAGCATTACCATTAAGAAAAAATTAATAGAAAAGTAATCGTTCTGAACTATGAAAATAATTCTTTGCCACTTTTATATTTTATCTAAATATAATTATTATAATGCAAACTTATAATAATATATATATAAGTTATGCTAATATAACATAAAATATGTAAATAGAAATTCGTTTATATATATATACATTATTGATATTTACATGTAATATAAAGAAAAATATAGTTGTGATTAGAATGATTTTATTTTATAATTATACAATAGTACAAAATTTCGTGATGAAGTTTTTAATATTACAATTAATGCACATTATATAAATATGTATTTATGTTATATTGTATGCACTGTAAAAATGATCAACTAATGCTTTAGCAAAACACACGTAATTTATTTAACTTATAAAAAGGAACAAACGCGGTTTCTGAAGAAAAAGGCAAGGTCTGCCTTTCTTACGTATAGAATTTATAGATCAAATTTCTGAATACCCCGGTTTATAGCTTCAAATGTTTTGTACAATAATCATTTACAAAAAATAAGGTAAAATTTGATAATAGATGTACACAATGTATAGATACAAAAAGATCATAGTATTCGATTCTGAGAAAATAGCGATAAAGAAATAGTAAAGATTTTAGTAAAAATCTCTTAAAACATGATTGAGAATAATAATAATATAGCATTGTTAATGTTATGAATAAATGACAAATATTTTGAAATATTTTTAGTGTACAGTGATAATTTTTAGGATCATCCAGATGAGGAAGAGACACAAAATCAGGAAGGTGAAAATTGTGTGAGTCCCGATGACGAAAGATCTCACTATTGCGAGGTGTGCGACAAAGATTTTTCATCCAAAGATACTCTGCTTGAACATCAAAGCACGCACATGACTTGCGGTATTGATGGCTGCACGTTTTCGGCGCATCCTTTGCTTGTTGAGAAACATATTAGTATGCAGCATCGTACCGGCTTGTACCAGAGGATGAAAGATTTATCCGAGGACCTTGAAAAGTGGATAATGGAGCGGAAGAAGTAAGTTGTCTTTATATGTTTTCTTTAATATCTGAAAAAATGATTGCATTGATGTGAGTAATACTTTTTTCTTGAATATAAAACAGGAGGTATCCCACTAAAGTTAACATAAACTTACGTAAGGCGGAAGAATTAGAGAAGTTGCAAAGGGGAGAGATAATTAAGCGGAACTCTAATGTAAAAAATGTACACACGAGAATGAAAAAGATGGAAAATATGCGCCAGAAGAAACGTAAACCTCGCAAACGTTACGCATATGAAAATAACAATGACATTCAAACAGATACGTTATACAGAGGTTTATGTCCTTTTCCTGGAATAAGTAAGTTGAAAAATATATTTGTACATGGGTATATATTATAGCACAAAAAAATTTGTGATTTTGAATGTATTGAGTCAGTTGTATGCTATTTAATCACATATTAAATTAATTGTATAATTTATATATATTATAATAAATTAATTACAATACATTGATACAATCCAATTGTATTAACATTTTAAACTTTTATTTTGGTATTATTTAGATAAAACTGAGAAAGATTTTTTATTGTAATTATTAATGTTTCAGGTGTTTTAGAAGATGATGATAAAGCGTGTTTAGATGAACAAACAGATCTGTGTGAAGAAATTATTGATATTTCAGATGAGGATGATATACCACAAACGTCTATGACACTTGAATCCACTAATACACCTACGATCAGTTTATTATCAAATTTAGTAGCGGATTATGAAAGTGAAGACAATGGTAAATATATTTGTCAATAAATATATTATTCTTTTTTCTTAATTTTTTTTTAAATGCAGATATCTCGAAAATTATATTTTATTGTTATAATTAATATTGTTGATATATATATTCAATTTTTCTCAATGAAGATTGTGATTACTGATTTTTTTTATATTATATAAAGCAGCTTAAGAAGTATTAATTTTATGTTTAGATGAAGGTCCAGAAGAAGTGCCGGTGAAACGAATAAAAATAGAAGAGCTTCAAGATAAAATAAAAAATACAGATCAAGAAGAAATTTCTGATATACAAAAATGCGAAAACGAAAACGATAAATTAAATAATAATAAACCCGGAAAAACTGTCGTTAAATATCAAGATCAGCAAAAGCATGAAAAACATCAAAGAGTAATCGATAATAAAAATAATAACTATTTGTATAGATATCATGATAAATTATTAGAAAAGTTACTTTCGCGTTCTATACAACATGAGAGAAATTTAATTTGTCAATGTGTAAAATATATTATAGAAAATAATTTTTTTGATTCAAACTAATTTAAAATAGTAATAGTTATGCAAATATAATACTAATTATGTAAAAATAATAACTTTGAAAGAATTTTTATGATTATCGACTAATTTCTTTTGGCTGTATAATTTTTTTGGTATAAGATGTAAAAGAGTGTAACTATAATTTATCATTATCAAGTATAAAACTGCGATTTTTTGTTCTTCCAGTTATTAAATTTGTATATTTTCAAAATAATATTTTAATATAATAAACATGTTTTATACATATCAGTAAAAATATCTATTATTAATTAAGTATATTAATTATTTAATATTTATTTCCAGTCAGATATATATAAATTATGAAATTATATATTACAATTTTAAAGAATGTCTTTTTTTCTTTTTTGTGTGTTTCTTTTCAAGTTCTTCTACATTAGTGTCTTCTGATGGACGTTTTTCACCAGTCTTTACAGAAATAAGATTTTTGCTGTGCTTCCCAGATAATGCACTAGTCCAATCTGCTTCCGATCCCTTAATAGCATACTGTTCCAAATTTTCTTTCTTTAATTTCTCTAATTCTGCTTTTTGTTGAATTTTCAATTCCTGTAACGTACAATGTTATTTAAATATGCGTTACTTTAATTATTTTAATACATGAATGATAAATAATGTGAAAATAAATTATGCAAGATACAAACTTTAGCTGCACTCTCTAATTCTTCGTGTAAACTCTGTCCACCTAAAGGATTTACTTTCACTTCCTCATTAACTGATTCTTTGGTCAACATAGTGCTCTCGACATATTTTTCTGCGATATTGTTAAAATATTGAATCGATTTACGTATTATACGATTGAATAAACCGAGTAATTGTGAAGATGGTAAATTCAATTCTTCTGCCAATTTGTCGATGGTTTTATGTTGCAAGCCTAAGCCGAGTAGAATCGCCTAAAAATTGTCATTATATCGATACAATACTGCTATAATGTCAAGTAAAAATGTTGAAAGATATCTAGCTTGTCTTACCGATTGTGCTGGTGAGAAATGAGTATCTCCCATCATATTTAAAAAGTATAAACGTGCTAGTGACGGCAACAAATCCAAAATTAAATGATAATCCACCATATTATTACTATACATTTGCAAACGCTTTAGATCATACGATGTAAAGTGAACATCCAAAGTTTCTTTGCTCAGTGCTGAAACATATGTTTATTTAAATCTTCTATAAACGTTCTATGTTAATAAATCTTGATTATGAAATAAATTTTACAATATACAAAAATTCTTAATAAAATTTCTAATGTATCATAGTTAATTATATTTAATAGTATAGTACACTTACTGACAGATTTCAAAGATATTGTCTTATTAATTAATATACTCAATGCAAGTGACACTGGATAGGTATTAAACGAATAAGACAGCAGACTTAAGACTCGCCGGCGAAAATCACTCCAATAAGCTTGCAACCATTTGTCGTTATCCTGTTCTATGTTAATTTTGCAAAGCATTATGCAGGTATGCTCTCCTGTTATGTCATTTGTCGTTTGCCTAAAAAATTACACATGTTCAAGAGATTACGTAACTTTTATTCTGACTGTTCTATTGATATATATACATACCTTAAATATACAGGTACAAAATCGGACCGTTTCCAAAATTTCAGTAGTTGCTCAGTAACTCCAAAAGATACTCCAATGTAATCCAGATGTTCAGGTTGTCTCTCGCTTAATTTCAATAAAAGCGGTGGTAGCGAACTGCGAGGTTCTGCAAAAACAGTTACAAATAGAATCAAGTATATCAACAGTAAATATTTAAATCGCATTTTTAAAAAATTGTATCTTTTTAATGGAAGAAATTTTATGCAATAAAAGATTTATAGATATATTATATATGAGGTAGATATTATTACACAGTAGATTACCTATATTTTCTTCTAATAAATCGACTGTTTCATCGGGAACATTTTTTATTTCCATCACTACCTCTTGCGCAACGTTTTCATTAATGTTGGGTATCTTCATTTCATAATATTGTTTCAACAGCTGCAATGCGCGACTACCGTATCCCATCTGCAATCGTTATATTTTTTTAACAAAAACATAATTTTTTCAAATTGGTAAGTTTTGAAAAAATATACATACTCCATGATAATCGGGATGCGTAGCAATTCGAACGACGCGTGCGCCAGCTAATACTGGAAAATCGTCATCTTGATATTGCTGAGCAATCGTCCAAGGTATTAGATCACCAGCTGCTCTACGACCTCGTGTGAGACCATCCTTTATGCTGGTTTTACTAATTTCGCCTTCTAGGCAAATCTGTGTATAAAGAAAAAAATTACATGATTTATGTATTTTACGCATAAAAAATAAAAATTTTTAATAAATAATTTAGAATATATAATCCAAATAAATTAGACATTTATTTTAGATAAGCTATTTATATCTTAGATATAATTATAGATTTCATAGAAAAGATTCATTATTATCTCACTTGAAGAACGACTAATATTTCAGGCAGAGTCCTTCTATTAGAATCTACAGGACCCAATAAACAGAATAAATGATGCGCAGGTGCATCAGATATCAATTGCAAATCATCAGGAGTATTCTGAAATAATAAAATTAATATTAAGATTTTGTTTGATAAAAATGAAATATCTATGATGTTGAGAAAAAAATGTAATATTTACTTTATAATGCGATGCAACATACAAAGAGATCAGCCTTTGTAAAAACAATTCGGAAGCTTTGTGATACGAAAATAATGTATCTCTGTAAAAAAATTAAGAACATGTTAATCCCCTAAATTTTTGCAAGCATTTGTGTTCATTATTATTAAACTTAATACCTGTTTATATAATACAATTGACATGCGTCAGGTGGAGGACATCCAGAAAGTATGGGTGCATGTGTCGTAGCATTTAAGCAGAGTAAATCACACAGCCATTGTTCTACAGAATCATTAGGTTTATAACGTATCGACTCATCAAGAGTTAATTCATGCAACTGTCTGCCAATAAGAATTTTTTCTTCTGTTTTTTGCTCCTTTTCATTTTTTCCATTGTGGCTGTTTGATCCAACAGTTTGTGTCCTCAATTGCTGCAGCAGTTTGAGCGACAAAGACCGACCTGTTCCTTCATATCTATAAATAATAACAAGTGAATAGATAATCGACTTAATGTTTATTCTCGAAATTTTTTAAAACGTTTAAAATTGTTACCCGTTTATCGTTGAAGCAAGGAATATTAGGTAAGGCCCAAGCATTGCTTTGACGTAGGGTAAAGGAATCGCTGCTGCTTCGTCAATCACAAGCAGTTCTGCTTGATTTAATTTATGGGTATCTGTTGGATGTATATACTGTACACAAAGCAAAACAATTGTGTTATTAATTTGTAGCACAAAATCAATGAAAAAAATGCATATATCTTATTATTATAGATTAACGTAGTTTATTAGAAAATATTCTACTTTTGAATTATTATTCTCTGTATATACAAAAGGCTTTTCTGATAAAATTACACACCTGAATTGTTTGGCGATGATCTCGAAACACATTTACACGTACAGTAGCTTTGTTGAACTCTGGATTTGTGGATTGTACTAAACCATAGTCGAGATGTTCCTGATATCCGAGCGCGTCAAATCCTACAGCAAATTATTTGTTTCATTATATATTGATATTCAGTGATGTAATTCAGTGATGTAATTGTTAATTATTATATAACGAATCTTTTAATTTCTATTCACACCCTTAAAGACAAATTCAAAGAGAGTGTTCAAATTTTCTGGGCTGGGACTTGAGATGTATATGTTGGAGTATCCAAAGGTAACAGCTCCAGCAATGGCAAGTCCTAATGCAGCAGATTTTCCGCGTCCTCTAGCAGCAGTTAGTGATACAGTTGATCTTAAAGTTTTTTCGGAGATACACTCGATAAATTTAAGGACTGCTTTTGCCTGAAAATTTAAATTATATACACATTATGCACATTTAACTAAAAATTATATTACACAATACTTTAGATTAATTTATTTTTGTGATAATTTATCTACCTGATCGACTGTTTTACAGCAATTAATTAATGCAGATACAGGTTGAGTGTCTTGTAGACTTTCTCTTAAAGCATCTAAACTTGATTGTTCTCCCAAAATGTCTGATTTATGCACAGGTTCTATACTCAGATTGTGCGAAGATATAGGCAATACATTCAGCTGATCATCAACGACCAAACATCGAGTACACGAGGCCAGAGACAGCATGAACCTCTCGTTAAATCGACATATTATCTCCTACATTAATGAAAGAAAGTGTTATAATATTGTAAAGTACATATCTCAAGGGCATTTTAAAAAATAATGTTTGTACTTTATGAGCTTCTGTGCGAAATCTCTGATGAACATCCATATTCATTGTATATAATTGCTTTAGAGAATTCACAGATTGCAATAGGAATACAATGATTCCACCACCCTCTACCGTCTCAATAGTACGAGCCAATAAGTTTGGTGTAATTGCTTCAAAATCCTTCAAATGATAAAATGGTAACATTATAATACAGTAATATAATATAAATATCCAAAAAACAGAAATATATATTCATACCTGTAATATACACATGCCATATGTATTACCCAATATTTTATGTGTTTCATTATAATAACAGTACCGAATATTAGTCGAAATAACAAACAATTCAAATGGATCATCTTCATTAACATCCACTTTGCCCGATTTAATTTTCTTTTGCAAAGATTTCATTCGTTTCTTCCTATGACTACTAAAACCTAAGTCCTTTTTGTAGCACCATAACACAGAAGGCCTAGCTTTCACAACAGTCTTAGACAACATATGATGCAATAACACCACCTGAAAAAATATTTTCATAAGTAGAACATAAGTAATACATGCATGTGTATGTAATATATGAATGCACGATATAAGTTTGGAAAAATATTTGTTTTAATGTCAATCAAAAGTATAAATAAAATATTATAAAATGTTTTTATTTGCATTATACATAGTTGCCTTAACTAAACTTATTAAAATGTATAAAAATACAGAAGAAGATAGGATAATTTCTTATAGAAGACTGCTTTGTAAATAAAAAAATCTTAAAGTTGACATGACTTTGCTCATATAACAAAATATGATACTAATTGCAATGACGATTAATGACACTATTAATTGATTTACATAGAAATGTAAGAACCAACGTGGTGAAACAAATATCTTCAAAATACATGCAAATGTTTAGTTGAATAATTACTTGATCTCTTGCTTTCTCGCCGATGACGACAAACATCGTCCTGTGTCCCAGAGTGACACCATTTTCTATCAAAACTCTGATGCGATTATCAATTTTTCTGCGAACCATTTTTATTCAAGAAATATTCTATTCAATATTTTTCTTAACCTCTTTCATAAAATATTATGCCGCTCCGACCGCGTGTATCTGCTTATTGATATCGATAATTGAGTTTCGATATTTTTCTTATCGATTTTTCATATCGATATAAGTTAGTAGGAAAACCAACTACGATTGACTAAAGTCACTATATTTTGACGAAACAATATTTACAAGAAACCATCTAGAAAATTTGTAAACTATGGTAATTTTAAATGACACGTCGAGGATAGAATTTTCGAACACACCGTTGAAATGTTATTTGTTGGCGGAAATTCAATAAAAGAAAAAAGAAAAAGATTCCTTCTCAAGCTTATGTATTCACTGCTTGAGAGCGCAATTATTTAGATTATGATAAGGCTTGAAGGCTGGATGCGATTGAGTTCATTGACAGATTAGTGAATGAAATGTAGCTATGGAAATGAATAAGAAACAATTAATACGTTAATTAAATTACGTTTAGATTGCATTCACTTCAATGTGTTGATATGAAGGAAAATAAATATCTGGAATAAAGCAGCTTTCTCTTTACATTTTGTCCGCATTTTCTCATTTATGTTCTATTGAATGATTTGAAGATGAAAGTCACACAAGTGTGTTGATCGAGTCTCCGATATTGAAATATCTTATGATCTTCAATGTAGTTTAATAATTTCTCTCAATGAGAGAAATTACAATGATTCGAAAAGTTTCATTTATCTTGTAAGTAATTTGTTAGTGATATGTGTACGTCTTATAAAATTGTATAATTATTAATATTCCTTGACATGTCAACATGGAAAGGTAACATTCGAAGCACATCCTTCGATACAGAAAATGGTGGAAAAGATCCCACTGCGGAAGACCATTGCTCGATTGGATTTTCCAGCGATTATAGCTTTTGGCAATCCTCTCCTGGACATTCTTGTAATAGTGAAGAATGAAGACTTGCTTAAAAAGTACAATCTCAAAATCGATGGCGAGATGGAGCTATGTGAGGAAAAAATGCAGGAGTTGATTGCAGATTTACCACCAGAGTTAATATAATTATATTACATTGTCTTGTTTACATTACAAAGCATTAATGATTAACATTTCAAGCAATTTTTATTCAAATTATTTATTACATTTGTGCTTAGAGAATATTTAATACTTAGATGTTTTTATTAAACAAGTTATTTATAGATAGCATGCCAAAGGATTTAATTATAATCATGATATATATTTATATCACAATATTTATTTATGTATATTTATCATGACACACACATGATTATAATTGGTCTCTATAAAATATTTTATATTTCATGAAAAGTTTATACATAAAAATTTTATATATTTCATAGAACAGAGCAATGTACAAGTCCAGGAGGATCTGCACAGAATACCTTAAGGATTTTGCAATGGTTGTGTGATGAGACTCATGAATCTCAAATTGGTACTTTTTATGGTGGTATTGGAAATGATCAAAAGGGTTCAATTTTAGAAAAACTAGTTCGAATTACAGGAGTGGATGTAAGGTTCGTAATTATGTCTTTATCGTAGACTTGAAAGAATACCATCAAATTAATTTGTATATAATATTTTGTTAGATATGCTGTACATCCAACTCTATCTACTGGATTATGCGTTTCATTAGTATACGAGTCATCTCGCAGTCTTGTTGCAAATCTTGGTGCAGCCAATGTATATACATTGGATGATTTAAAAAAGGCCAATCTACAGTTAGATAGCATGAAGATAATTTATATTGAAGGATTTTTCATAACGCATAGCTTGGATGTGGCTAAGGAACTGGTCAAGCAAGCGCAGGAGAAAAATATTATCATAGCGTTCAATCTTAGTGGCTTATATATATTCCAAGTATAACAATTATATGATATATTATATTAAAAATAACTCTAATACATTAAATAACGCATTATTACATGAAGTCGGTATATATATTAGATAGTAATATGTGTTATTTTTTAATTATGAATCTAAATGATGTAAATACATTATTTTTCTAATTTTTTAATCTACTTTTTTACAGGATCATCAAGCGGCCATTTGCGAAATGGTCGGTCATGCCAAGATCGTGTTCGGCAACGCTAGGGAAATGATTGCTCTCGCGCAAGCATTGAATGTAAAGTACGACGATGTCACCGATATACCCTTCTTGCTGAACAGTTTAAAGAGGATCACGGTGGATGTTTCTAGCGGCAACAGCAAGGATTGGTTGGCCGACGACGGTATATTCATCATGACTCGTGGTGGATCTGCACCAGCGATCATTGTATGGGGCAAAGGACAGTCCGTTCAGGTTCGCTTTAATCGAGAAAATGTGATTGAATTGTTGAATGCGATAGAAGAGCATTTTTTTAAATTTATTCAGATACCACCCATCGTACCGAAAGCGCCTATCGTGGACACTACTGGTGCCGGGGATGCTCTGGTTGCTGGCTTTCTGGCCGGCGTCTTGGCTCACTGGGACCCGAAGAATTGCTTAGAATTGGGATGCAAGGTCGCATCTTATATGATAACTAGACTAGGCGTCACGTTACCTAGCAGTATACCTCACGATTTGCTGCCATAACGTTTCGATCTCTTTAGAAGACTAATCATTGTTACCTGACGTAATATGCATGTAAGTTGCATAGTTATTTATTGCCTCAGAGTTATATATATATATATATATATATTATATATATATATTAGCGAATTATTGATCGATAATTAGCTTTATTCGTCGATGTTACGTCCATGTGTTCCATTAGATATTTATTTCAACGGTCCATGTGTCCATGTACTTATATACGACACGCGCACGTGTTGCATTGTAAAATGCAAGACCCAATGTTTTATTTATTAAAGATTACTGTCGTGTTACTCGTGTCAATCTGCATTTCAAAAAATGCAATATTTTTAGTAATAATAATCAGTAAGATATAGAGAGATATTAGAGATTTATCTGGATCATCGTTGCCATTATAGATTTGTAGTTTATCTACCTGATGTTGCAGTATTGTGAAGAAATTTGTGTAACAGGAGTTTGTAATTAAGAATTATATAATTTATCTTTCTATTTTTCTTATTATTAAGTATTAAGCGTGTGTCGTATAGTTTATGTCACAGCATATATGTATATATCTGTGCAAGAAAGTGTCTATATTAATTTTCATTTGCCAAGGGTTTCTGCTCCTACACCTCATTATATATACATAATTAAAAAAACTCATTAATTTTGGCCATCTGAGGCCAAATTATATAATATATGTATATATATATTTATTTATTATATAATTATATATAAATATATATATATTTATTCATTATATATAAAGAAATGTTATAGAATATTTGTGTTCATTTTATTTCGATACATTCTGCAAAAATTTAATTTAAAAAATTAAATATTTTATTAAATTGTAAAAACATATTATTTAAGAAACCAAAAAAATTGTGTTGAAACATTTATATGTGTATGAATAGACCAATATACACATGATATATAAAATATAGAAAATTTTAAAATTTAGGGCGGATTCACACCTTGGCAGAAAAGCAGAAGCCAATTAGAACTCGCGTTGGTAGTAAGCTTACTAGATCGTAAACTCGGTGGTAGGAAACTTACTGCCAACGCGAGTTCTGATTGGCTTCTGCTTTTCTGTCAAGGTGTGAATCCGCCCTTATGCGTTAAGCAAAAGTCTGTGATCTGGCCTTAAGTTCTCGAAGCTGAGTTTAGTTTATTCCGGAAAAAATGTCAATGTGAACGAACATAACCAAGTGTCGAGGGCGACGAATCATAGCGCACAATTTTAAATTATTAATTCAATTCGGACGTAAGAGGAAACACATATAAAATGTATCGTTGACAAATAAGTTGAGATAAGGATTTTCGAAATAAAATGATGATTAGGTACTTTGACAAGTCGACGTGGAACGAGTAAGGAGGAAGCACCGAACGAGATAAATATTGTATATACATATGAATTGTTATCGTCATTCGAACAACGATAAGGCAAGGTATAGGTTCATTTTATTTTAAGGCGTGACGAAACTTTATATTGATTTAGATTTTTGACGTTTTTATTCATCAGCAGCGACAGCACACAATAATCATGCCGCCACAGCTGGCGCGGGAGAAACATGTCAAATTCTTCCAAAGGTTACTACAAATCATGCCTAGCAGTTTAGCAGAATTTGATTCTACCAGACCGATGATAGCGTACTTTGCACTATCCGGACTAGATTTGTTGAATTCGCTAGACGAGATTGGGGAACAATTTAAGTCTGAAGCCATCGATTGGATCTACGGTCTCCAGGTGGAGGGAGCAGGTTCTCGTTCCGGCTTTCAAGCATCTACAACGATACCAAAAGATGTACCAGAGTATCAGTGTGGTCATCTAGCGATGACCTACACAAGCTTGGTCACTCTTTTGATCCTTGGTGATGATCTGAGCCGAGTGGATAAGAAATCCATCATTGATGGAGTTCGCGCATGTCAAAATCCTGATGGATCTTTCACGGCCATGGTGTTGGGATGCGAGAGTGACATGAGATTTCTCTATTGCGCCTCTTGTGTTTCTGCGATTCTAGATGACTGGTCAGGCGTTGACATTCCAAGGGCTATTGACTACATATTGCGAAGCATTGTAAGTGCATTTGTCATCAGCAGTTATTTAGCTAGTTTATTATTTGCAAATTCTGTAAGTATTTTATTTTTTATCTTCGTGTAACAGATGGTTACGATAATTGCAGTCGTACGATGGCGGTATAGGACAAGGACCAGGACTTGAATCTCATGGAGGATCGACCTTTTGTGCTGTGGCAAGTTTGTTCTTAATGAAAGAACATGTTAACATATTGGATGTATTGACGTGGAATCGTTTAACTCGACTAAAGCGTTGGCTGCTTATGAGGCAGGATGGTGGATTTAATGGAAGACCTGGGAAACCATCTGACACATGTTACAGTTTTTGGGTTGGCGCTACGCTTGAGCTTTTAGAGTTCCTCAACTTCTCGGATGCCGAGCAAAATAAAACATTCGTCCTCAATACTCAAGATACGCTCGTTGGAGGATTGGCAAAGTTTGAACACACTCGACCTGATCCTTTACACACGTATCTAGGTGAGTGCAAATAATTTATATTGCAAAATCTCTTGCTTCGTGATATAAATTTCAGACATTTTTTGCAAGAAGTAATCTCGCAAGTGACTGTATTAAATAATAAATACGAAATACGAATACAAATACGAAATATGATTTCTTCAATAGGTTTGTCTGGTTTAAGTCTCTTGGGGCAACCTGGTCTGTGTTCGATAAATCCAGAACTCAATATCTCCCAACGAGCTTACGAGCATCTACAACAGATCCATAAAAAGTGGCGGAACGAATGAGTTCGCTGTATAAAAATTCGAGAAATTAGTGTTCATATCAAACACACAGAATTTAAATATATCAGATCAGACATCTTTGCATTTGATCATAGCTCTCATTTATATTACATCACATTTTCTGCTCTAAAATCCTCATTTTAGAAAGAAAAAGAAAAAGAGAGAAACGTCAATTAATATTGTACTTAATACAATAATCACGATATTAGTAATATTTTATTTTATATGGTTTGTTGGGCTGTTTATTGAGTATTGTGCTTGTTACGTGGTGTATGTAAAGTATGTACATTAAAGTATAGATATTTACTAGAAGCATTACTAGAAAATAAGAGTATCAATAAAAGTTTTTAGATAGATTACTTTTTGCAACAATTGTCGTTTGTTTTTTTATTTTTGATATTTTTGATATTTGAATTATTATTTTAATAATTTCTATTAATAATTGTTTAGAGATGAAAATACGATATTTTCTCTATCAATTGTAATTATGTTATACGTTGAAACGATTAACACAATTTTCAAGTAAAATCAGCACGTTAAAAAATTAAAATTTTTTCTAACAAACAAAAATAAATATCATTCTTATGTATTTAATTGAAATGAAGTTTAATTATGGAAATAAGGAGTAGAATTTTTACATTAAGATTATATTTCAATATCTTTAAATATTCTTTTTGTGTCTGTATGCTTTTCATTAGCTGTTTTTATCTATTCTTGCATATTTAATTTATTTCAAGTTTGCAAAATATAAAACATATAAGGCTAAATGACAGAAACTAATTAGGTGACATTTTGAAAAGAAAACATTCAGTCAATTGTAGGAGCAAGTCAGCTTTTTCATTTATTTCTTTTTAATAATATATGCTTTTGCATTCCTTATTAACCTTATTTTATTCCATTTTTATATCCTTGAAGTTAGCTTTTCGGAGTACGATGCGAAGTTGCGCATCTATCGCGTCTCCCTAGTTCCATCGTCCCTCAGCCAATCACGCGTGCGCTCCGCTCGCCGGCGTCATGGCAACCGGGTCGCGCGCATCTCGAATCGCAACTCGCGACTACTCGCAGACGTCGCTCGACCGTGCAACGCGACGGACGTGTTTATAGAGTGTGGCGCGACACCTGTGACGTAGTTCTCTCGCGAGGCGCGCGTCAACATCACGTTTTCCCGCCGTGTCGCGACTTCGCGCGATCTCTCTTTTCTCCCTCTCTTCCCGGGAGTACGCGTGAATCAAAGTGACACTTGGGCGATTCGAGGATAATCCGGAGCGATCGGAGCGTGCGGCACCTTGTGCCCGTGGAGAAATTTCGTCCCTTTCGCAGTCGGGTCGCGCTCCCGCGACCCAAAACATTAGCAGAGGTTAGTACTTGCGAAGATTCAAATCTGTAGTACGTGTGTATATATATATATGTGTGTGCATGCGGTGTGAAATTGTCGCTCGTCGTTGCGTGCGAAGTTGCGCGATATACTCTGTCTCCTTCTGGTTTGTCAATTTATTCCATCTTGATTAACCGCGCGAAATAGCGTGGCCCCTTTTAACGTAAACAATTTAACGGTACAGTTGCTTCCTCTCTTCTAAAAGTTAAATTTTGTTCGTTCGTGTTTATTGAAAATTTTCGATGGCACCTTTTATTTGTGCCTTTCGAAATGTATACAAAGTGCGTAATTTAAATTTTTAAAAATACTGCGTATGTATATGCGCAGTATAGAGTAATTTATAAAAGTATCAATTTTTTATATAGTAACTATACGTATACATATATGATTTTGAGGTTGTGTAGAAGGAATCGACCGCTCTTATTACCGAGAAATTATTTTATTGGAATGACTCATTTGTCCCGCGTCGCGTGTTTCCGGGTTAATTCGTTAACGGGAGTTTCTTGGACATAGTCACGCTGTATGTCCGGCGAAAATAACTAATAATAATAATAATATAATAAATAAAAACAAATATACTGAAAAAAATGTTAACTTGACTAAACTGTTCAACTAAGAAATAATTTTTTGTTAATTGAACAATATTAGTATTTAAATCAAATATACATTTTGTTACATTTAATATGTTATATTATTTAATTTAAATATTTCTAAATGTTTAATTAATAAAATAATATTTAGTTGATGAATGATTTAGTCAAGTTAACAAATTTTTTTCAGTGTATTTGTTTTTATTTATTTTTATTATTATTATTATATTATATATATATTATATATATTAATAATATAGTAATAAATACATTTACTTATAAATATATGATATACGAGAAATTAAGGGAAGATAGAGAAATAATTTGTATGGAAAAAAATTAAGATTAAAGAGATTAGATAAGGAAGACGCAAACAGAGAATGTTCGATAACAAAAAATTGATATTATCTTGGTTCTGAATATTATATAATGAAGTTCAGCTCTTGATTCTTTGTCCCTGCAAATAAAAACCCACAAAGGAAAAAAATAAGCTTTATCATCGAGATCAATGAATGTCTCTCTTTCTCGAGTACCTCTTTAATATCTCGTCTTGATTAAAGTTTCCCCATTCACCGTGTCGAATCTCATCCACGCAAATTATCTCTGCGATGCTTAGGAAAATGACTTAAGTCAAGTTTTCGAAACAAATTAAAAAAAAAGATATTTCTAAGCGATTAGTAAAATTCCTATCGTTACACAAAAAATATCGACTATTTTATGCTACATATGTCTCAAATCATTTGTTAAATATTTAATTACATAATATGTATAAAAATATATACAAAGTAATAATAATATTACGACAAAATATGATAACATTGTGATTTATAAAAGACATTTTAACTTTTTCTATTTGTCCTAAAATGTACAACATTTTGACATCGCCCTTTTATATGGAATATCGAAATTTTCTCGCATCAATTTCCGACGAACCTGCGGTGATTTCCGGCGTTTCGACAGCTTGACGTAATCGGAGACGTTAAAGGTGTGTTCATTTTCCCCGCGGTTTTTCTGTAATGTTATTTTTATCAGAGACTTCGAATATTCTATTTTTAGATAGTTGATTTTTATTTTTAATTCTGGAATACACATGTTAAATAAAATTTTATTGTAGCATATTATGTATATAATTGAAAAGTATAAACTTTTTCTTTAATTTTATTAAGTTATTTCATAAAGTATTTATGACACGTACGATTATTATTAACATACAATTTTTATAGTCATCCGGACTCTCTGTCTCTTGTAAGTTTGATAAAAATAAGTTTTTTAAGAATGAAATTGTCCTCCCCTCTGCTTTTTTCTCTACATTTTTATAATAATTATTAAATTTACCGTTGGACGATCATTATGTCGCTCCATTTATTTAACGATTTTAATTATCTCACTCGACCTTAATACAAGAGAGTGCACTATCACATTAAATAGATCGTCAGTTGATATATGTGTGTCGCGCGATAATTTTTATTCTTTACGCAAACTTTAGAAGCTAAAAAGAAATACATAAAAATTTCTAATAATAGGAAGATAAGCAGCTATAATTTTGCTAATAGCTTTGTGAATCATCACTGTAAATTATCAGTATGATAATGTATAATGATAAATGCAATCACCATTAAAGTATAAGAGAAAAGGAAAGTGTACAAAAATAGAATGTAATTAGCAGATACCTAAATTATTATCGATTAGTCTGATATAAATTATTGGAGAAGCAAATATACAGAAGATGAAATACTACATAAATATTTATTTCCTAATTAACAATTTTAATCGAATAAAAATCGTATAAGAATTTTTGGTATCATAAAACTTTAGGAATCGATTGATTCATAAAATTATCAATTAATTGCTGTTTAACTATAAATCACGAGATAGCTCATTCATTATTAGTACAATATCAGAACGAATAAGTGTGAATTCGTCACTCGATAATTTAGTGATATCTATTTAAAAGCACATTGGAGAAACTTACAAAAAAATCCATTTCAATATACATATATATTCTAAAAGATACATCACGCGAACTTTTCTGATTACATATAAAAATAGACGCCGATTAAAGTGAATTCGCCAGAATCATTATCGCGAAAACGTAGCTGATCAAAGAGATTAAATTGCAGAAATCTGTAACGCTACAAAAGAGAACCGGATACGTTTTGCAACGGGGCGAGAAGTCATTTTAATTGCGTCATTTGTTCGTCGCGATTTAATGTCGCACCATTTAGAAAAAAAGAGAAAAAAGTACGATGCTTTCGACAGCTAAAATGCCTTTCATTCGAAATTAACACTTCAAATCAATGTTAATTACGTTGACACTGATTGTTTACCGTCTCTTTTACAGCTAAAAGCAAGAGGTGATTTGATAATTTAATTACAGTCAATCGATATTGCTGAAACTGTCCACTAAATTGTTATATATATATATATATATATATATATATATTTATATATAAATTTCTCTTTTTCTGTGCGCGTATATGTTTTTAGTTTTATATTAAAATCTTGATTAAAAAAGGAAGAACATTACGTTGAGTTGACGCTATAGTTAGCACTATAGTTAGCGAGGTCGAGGAAATCGATCTTTACAGCCATGTCACTTGATTTTATTGTTTTTCTCTTGTATTCTGTACTATAGTACAATTATGCAAATATGGTAAACCCACGATTACTTTAAACTGAATTGCAACCTAGTTTTAATGTTATATCGCGTTTAAACGTTAAAACCAAAGATATAACTATCGCGATTTTCTGTTCTTTTATTTAATTAATTAGATTTAAAAAAAAACTATTTTTGGTTTTTTTACGATAAAGATTTTATTTCTATAAAATTCTATTTTTAATATTTTATAATAATGATTTAATTAATTTAAATGAATATATCAAGCATTAGTACTGTTGAATATATCTTTTCAAATAAAATATGATATCGATGTTCCGTGTTTTTTTCAAAAGTATCAATATATACAACCGATATATATCAATATACTTGAATAATTTTTATTTAGAGATAAACGCCTGAAAGCTCCATCAGCCTGACGAACAAAATCAATGATCGTTATAGCGTGAAATCCGTCCACAGTGCATGAATTTCAACGGTGCGGATATGTGCACTGCACAGGTTATCGGCAAAATATTGAAAATATGAAATGCGTGAAATATTTTAGTTATGTTTTTTAAAGTGCGCGAAATAAAACAAAAACGGATATAATCCTTTTTGAAATTTTTTTAACTTTTTGTGACCGAAAAAATATGAATATAATATATAAGCTTATTTTTAACGAATTTCTTCGAAATCAGTCTAATAATATTTAAAAATATTGAGATTAAAACGATATTAAAGTGTCGAATATTTTTATAAAACTTGAAAGAAAGAATATTCAAGATTGTACGTACATTGTGAAATCGTCATGAAAAAAGGGTCATATTAATATATTATAGATATATTAATATAATAACTAATAACATATTTAATTTACCTATCTATGAATTTTATAATATCTAAAAATTGCAATAATTAATTTATTCTGAAAGCAAAAGCGAGAAAGAAATTTTTTTAAGAACAATTTTTTTCTATGCCATCATATTTTTGTCTCAATTTAATATTCAATGTAACGATTACCAATATCTTGGTAATTAAACTAAAATTCCAAAGAAGAGTAAAATCGAACAATTAGTATATAGGTATAGAGATTCGATTGCTTTTGAGTAACGACAATTAGCGAATAAAATTCTTTCTTCCGGAAATTCGAAAAAATATGATCGGTCTCGACGTTTTCGCGTTGTTCGAAAAATTTATTCATTAAAATAAAATTTCGAAACATCCCTAACATTTAAACATACATAACAATTAGTGAATAAAATTCTTTAGGAAATTCGAAAACTATCGGTCTCGACGTTTTCACGTTGCTCGAGAAATTTATTCATTAAAATGAAATTTAAATATTACATATAATTAGATTTACTATCATACGAATTAATTCATATCAAAAAATATTTGATATATATTTATTCGTAGTAAATAAAAATACAATAATATTGCAAAAGAATTCTGATATTATTTAGAAAAAAAGTTCTAATTATAAATATAATAATTTTATCATTTTTAAAATAAATAAAAAAGCCATTTATCTAATAATAAATACGGCGTTAAATATAGAAATAAATAATTCCTTACACAAAATCATTTTACATAAAATTTTAATTAAATAAAATTTCAAAATCATAACAATTAGCGAATAAAATTCTTTCTTCCGGAAATTCGAATTAAAAAATCGATCGGTGTCGACGTTTTTGCGTTGCTCGAGAAATTTATTCATTGAAATGAAATTTCGAAACATCCTTTTGTAGTCTGGCAAAGCCAGATACACGTCCCGGGAGAGGAGGGAAGCGTGT